TTCCGCGTGAAACTGCAGTCGCATTAGATCTCGCCCTAATCCATATTGAGATGCACCCTGTATGTTTTTTGTCAGCCCCTTGGGAAGAAAGCCGCCCTAGGATGATGCCTCTGAAGATGGATTAGGAGGCTTCTTAATCACAGAACTTCCTTTGTTTCGTGGAACAGAGGAGGCGGTTGCCGATTCGTCCGTTCTTGAGCCAGCTGATTGCTCTCCAGCAGCAGTAGTTAGAGGCTACGGGATTACATTACACTCGTCAAAAACGTTCCTGGCTTCTTTTCTACTAGGAAAAGCGCCAAGGATGGTAATGCGGGATGTAATTCAGAAAACCTTAGAGTAGAGCGTCCTTGTTTATGTTTACTCCGGTCAGCATCAGCGGAAGATGAAGAAGCAGTTCCAGACGACGGAGCATAGCTTAACGAAAGCGCTGCATCTTCTAGAAGATCTCTAGCTTGATATTGATCTTCATGTGTGTCGAGGCCAGCGTCGCGACTTCTTGTACCCCGATCTCCTTCTAGTGGCCCGAGAGGTACGTCGACTAAACCTTGATGATGTTTTCTAATTCTATCTTGTGCTTTTTGATCCAGTTTTTTCGTGTAAACATATCTTTCATCATCTCGTGGTTGTGTAGAGAACTGAGACCGGGTCGCAGACTCCGCAGGATCCACCGACGACAGCCCTCCTTCCTCTGATTCTGATGAAAACTGGGCCCCTACGTCGCCTACGACCACGTGCTCACCACCGAGCACAAAAGTCGCCTCCAGTTGACGTGTGGCCGATCCAGTGGTTTCTGCTCTAGCTGCTGTAGCTGGGCCTCGAGCAGATCCGGCGCTTTCTGCGCTAGCTGCTGTAGCTGGGTCTCGAGCACCGCTCCTCGCAACGTTCGTATCTGCTAGGCTTGCTGCAGCTCCACCGCTTCTTTAGTAATTAGAAGAAGGGAGCAGGACGGCGACGAGGTGGTAAAAAGTAGTGTTCTGTTACTCAAGGCGTTTTGCCTCGCACTATAAATTGTGCTTGATACCGTTCTTGTTTTACATTCGTCGTTGATTATGAACATTTAATGTCAACATTATTCACTTGATGTTGTATTGTAAATCTCATTACTACTTAGCGGCCACATATCATAGGACCTTTAAATTTAATACATAGATGCCATATCTGAAACGCTTCCATCTTCATGAGGCTTGTCCGGCTTGGGCAAGCTTTGACAGAAGACGGGAAAAGGCGGCTCAACCGGTTGATTCAGATCGGTTTCCGCACCCCTGACCAACGACGACTCCGAGGACTTGGGTAAAGGCGCTCCACGTCGAAAAGCGAGGGGGTGCTGGGAGGGCTCAATTTTGTTGGAGCTTTTTCTCTGCCTCGTCTCAACATCCACTTCTGAACAATCATTCTTGGCGGATGATGAACTTCGTCCTTGCTGTAGCCGTGGTCCTGGCGGTTGAGCACGTTGACCAGAACGAGCTCCATTCGGAGTTTCCGAGAATCGCGGAGGTTGGTGATGTTGTCCTCCTGGACGAGGCGATGAATCTTGATTCAGTAAGGGGAAAAACGAGCTGCCTGCAGGAAGATCCCGTGAACTACTAGCGGTTGTCGTTGTTCCCGGAGACCGCTGCTGCTCAAATGATCTAGTATTATGACGTCCCCCTTTACTTCGTCGTCCAGTGGTTCCACTTCCAGTTTGTTGTTCTACATTCACTACATATACTTTTTCTACTGCGTCCGGTGTAGTACTACCACAACCAGCATTTTCTCCTGGTCCTCGCGGCCCTGACGAGTCACGGGAACCTTCACCACTAGGAGCCAGTGGAAAAATCGCACGCGCCTCACTAGGAGCTACACAGCTAAAAGAATTACTGTAGAAAAAGATAAGAAACAACAAAAGGAATACTCTCTTGGAATAGGAGCGAATCCTTGTTGTAACAGGTGGATTCCATCTGATTTGTACTCTGTTGTAGAGTAACTGACGATAACATACCAAACAAGCCCAATTCTTTAAAACTCTACTTAAGGAACTTCGTGATGAAGATGGCAACCCCGAGGACGACCCCTTCTTAGTCCTCGACGTTGTGGTACTTATACTAGTACTTCGTAAAAAGTAGTGTGAAAGTTGTAATAGTACCAACATCTTGATCTTGTTGTTTTCAAAGTTTCAAGTTTATGCGTATAATTTTTCAAAACTAGTATTGATGCAAACATGATATCCGAGGAGCCAAAAATCTTCCTCACACCCTTTTCCAAAAATCAGTACAATCTAAAAAATTCTTCCACGAACTAATAGTCCTTTAGTTACTATTTTCGCTTTTCAGGAGGGGCAATCAAATCCAATTGTCAAAGCGGGCACAAACCAAACCCAGACGCGCGCGCACAAGAATCTGCGTTATGGCTTGAGGCGCAAACTGCCTTCCTCAGTTATACTTATCTGAAAAGGAATAAGTCCGCTAAGAACTTTTGATCTTCTACTCTCAGATTAGTATTTTCATACGATAAAAAACAATGTCGAATGTACTTTGTTCTTCGGGCGGGTCGTCCTCGAAGATGAACTCGCCAAGTAGTTTCTCTTTATTTTCAGATAATCATACTTGTCGAGAAAAAATAGATCAATGCTGTTGGATGTTCCCTATGATCTTATCTTTTAAGCTTCGAGGCATTAGCAAGGATAATCAATGGCGTATCATCTTCATGGCGCTGCCAAAATAGCAAAAAACCACGACAAATGACTAACCAAACTCATTCTTTCTGCGGCAAAGCGCGTTTTTACTCAACCCTTGTTGTCATACATCTAGTTGTAGTATTCGGTTGTATCGACCGTCATGGCACAACAAGCGCGAACGCGAATGTGAGTGTGGCAACGAGTGCCGTCCAACCACAACTTTCGTGCCGCGTTCAAGCCGATGATCCTGCACTACTTCGCGCGAATAAATCTCGAAATATATTTATAATGAAGTAGGGTTAGTAACAGAATAGAAGATACGATTATTTTGGTTCAATACAAATATCCTCACTAAGAAATCGTAGTCTGTCTATGCTTGTCTTCAAATCTTCACTTCATAATGCTTTTGAAACAAATTGTACTTAGGATTGTGTAGCGCATCTTCTGGCCATCAATAATTCTCTATACCTTATGCGTGGTTAGACAACCACGCGATGAAGGTGCTGTTTAAGTTTGAGACACGTTTTTCCCTGCTCTCGTCTGAGACTGAGAAGCCATTAAGATCACCTTACCATTCCGAACGTGAACTTCAACTGTTGCGTGCTCGTAGTCCTTGTTTTGGGGTAATTGTTGATGTCCTCGGTATTCATCTAAGTGGGGCATTCTCCATTTTCAAACACGATAAAGACCGACTACTAACCTAAACCTTATTGTTCATGAAGGAAATGTCGGTCAAGTTTAGTGTTGTATCTATCTACCCAATAAATGTTACAGGATAGCCTTCTGAATCGTCTTCATCCAGACTTTGCTGTTTTCGGATGTACATTAAGGACTTCATAATCTTGGTTGATCCTTTAACCCTTGATGTACTAGTAGACAATGAACAGATACGTTCTCGAGTTCAAGAGCTTCGCCTTCCGAAGCAGCACAAAACCGATAGTAATCCTGTTATCCTGCTGGTGTTTCAACATGAGAGAGGGGAAGTCAGTCATATTTTTCAAGAACTAGGAGGACGAAGAAGGAAAATCTTCTGGTGAGAAGAGAGATGTGAAAATCACACTCTTAACTCCCCCCCTATTTTTCCGTACTCTAGGTGCAGGAGTCTATATTGTTCTTCGCCAGTAGCTGGGTAGCTAACTGCGCTACTGTGAGTGAACGAGACTGACAACAAGGGATGAGCACAAGGGAAAGAAAATAATCTTGAATCGGGTAGATAAGCAAAAATGCTTCCTAACAAACAAGAGCAAAAGGGTATTCAAGAAAGTGAAATCATCCTCCTTTCCTCTTAGTCTTACCAACTGTATGCACATAATATTTTGTCATTTCATGTCATGGTGCCTCTTGTATAGCGTCTCGCTATTATTTTCCTTCTAGTACTCTTTGAAAAAGTTTTATAAAGATGGAGATAAAGAATCACCGCGAAGGAAGAATACACCTTCTTGTAGTTGAGGAGTTGTTAGAGCTGGGGAGCTGCTAGAGACAGGAGAGGCATCAAAAACTAAAACACATCCGAGAACTACAGTGAATGAGCAGGAACGGGACAGGACCGGGACTATTAAAATCAACAACACTGAAATTAAATAATATGATTTAGATTTTTTTATCGACTACATTCACATTAAAAAAGTCATAGTCATACCATCTTCACCTTAATTCTTTAAATAATCATGTTACTATGTTGTGAGCGAACCAAACCCTAAGCCGTGATCTCCAACTTCTCTCTCACGCAGCTACCATGGGACTTTCAAATTTTGGATTTGGTTGGATGCGAGAATCTAGAAGAAGATGATGGTGGTAGTGGTAGATCGAAGGATGTCCAAGTGGAAGAAACATAAAAACATCAGGAATCTTCAACAAGATGAAGTAAAGTATCGAAACCCTAAACCTGATCCATCTTGCGTGATACTGATAAAGGAAGGAATATTGAGAAAACATCATTTCACTTGTTCAAAAGACAACCCGGATGTCATGTGTGTGCTCCTGATATGACCATCCGTGATCACCTTCACCGTAGAAGCAAAATGGCAACCAACAGGAAGTTAACTCCCACAATAACAGGCCAGCCGAGAATACTCTTGTGTCTTTTCTAACTCAAAAATGTCACACGCAAGCGCACCATCTTGATTATCGTGATCATATGCAGGTGCACAACTCCAATCACATCATCACTGCTCTTGAGGATTTCAACCAGCATGCACCATAAAAAACAACGCGCCCTGGATTTACCACGAATAACCAAGATGTTCTTTCTTACGGCAAGTGCAGGTGAGATGACTCCTTGCCTCATATTTGAATCCGAACACAAAAAAATATCACGACACAGCACGAACTGCATCACATCGTTCATCCAAAATTTTGCACCACAAGGCAATACCACCCGCCCTGTTTCTTCTCTTCACATTGTTTCAGTATAGAACTTTCATCTAAACTATGCGTAGTATTCTGCTTATTCCGATATGTAATGCTGTATCTATGGTATAAGGAATTGTTTTGTTCTTCGACATACAGCCGCATTTCTGTATGAAAAGGAAATCCGTATCAAAAGGAGACGCTTCTAGCTCAAGAAGAGTGACGAAGTTGTTCGCTGACTTTATGACCAAACCGCGCCAGCATTCATAAAGTCCTCTAGCTAAAAACTCGCCATCCCTTGCTTACGCTGTCATCGCATCGTGTAATCCCTTAGCCATGTGGAGCCACTTGGAGGGATCTCTTTCCGTCTCATTTTCAAACCCTGTCTTGTCCAACGCGATTTCCCGGAACATGAAGCGTGCCAGGGAGGAGTGGGAGAAAGCGGCGACGTCGAAAAAGAGGATAATGGGATTTGAAACTGTTTGATACTCACTTCAAGATCTGAAAGTGAACATGCATTTCTGACAAATATATTTAATGTTAGGTAACCACGTACCATACGTCTATGTCCATCTCGTCCTACATGCAACTATGATCTAATCTAGTATCGGCATATTTTCGTGAATCATATAGCTAGCAAGGAAGATATTTGAAACCTCTTTAGGACCCAAACGTATACTCAAAGTCATGGAACTGGTAACTGAAACGTCAGTCTATCTTCATAAAAAACATTGCGCCGGCGACTTCGCTCCAGTCGATCTGTCGGAAGTGATCAAAGTAGAACGCCTGTTCCCGGCTTTTCGGTCCAAAAGAGAAGCCCCACACTAACTGCGTCTTGGTATCTATACTGACGTCCCACGACTCGTCGCTGGTAAAGGATTGCTCTTTGTTCTCAAGATGAACGCCTCTTTGGCTTTGCTGCACGGCGCTAATGATGTCATGTCCCCGTTTCTGTTTTTCTTGTTCTTGTTGCAGCATGCTATTTGTAATTGTAGTAACATCTTCCTCGCTGTCAGATGGTATACGAATGCGGAAGCCGCGCGAGAAGTCCGATGCTAATGCGGATAAGTAACTGCCGACGTCTACAGTGTTGTTATGGGTTTCATAGAGGGCCAACGAGTTGGTTTCGTAGAGCTGCAGTGAAACGAAATCAAAGGTATCCACGACGACCTGTCGGTCTTGCGTGTGACCTTCATCTGGCGGTACTCCGGATGTTGTCAACTCGTCGGAAGGAGCATAATCGTTTCCTCCAGCTCCATGTTCATCGAGAAATATTTTAGAGTTTGATGTTTTCTCTAGAGGTCGTGCCGTCGCTACCACAACCACCAGGGATGGAGCGTGAGAAAAAGAGAATTTCAGCAACCCTGACTACTCACGAACACATTTTCAAGGAACTCACCTTAACTGTCTTTCCGTATTTCCCTAAAGCATAGGCGTAACAATTTCGGCCCTGATGCTTAAACTCAGGATGCCATTTTACCGGTGCGGGTGGCAGCTTCAGCGAGAATGAAAAATCGCAGAGAGATCGATTTATGAAGGAAGTCTAGAGCAGAAGATCTAGCCTGTTTTGTCTTTTCCAGGAGTAGAAATAAAGCATGCGAGATGCACAGAAACACGGAACAAAAACAAATGGAAATCTTTCCAAATATCTACTTAAAGTTCAAACCGAATGTAGTATCAAATTGCCCTCTCCCATACCAGTGCCTGTCAGGTCGTTGCTTCCAGGTCGAGTACAACAACAACGTGGATCGAGATAGCTCTGCGCAGGTGCCATAGCGACTATGTAGCCGGCTTTTTTTGCCGCCACGCTGGTATTAGACGAGGTGTGGTAATCGAAACCTCCACCTAGCTGTGGCTATCGAAAACGAAATAATATTGCAAAAATAATTTAGTACTATGACGGCAAACTCGAGTACACAAACAAGTTGCATAATCATCTGTCCCATGACGTCCAACGTATACCGCGAGAAAATGCTCGTCGCTGCGTCACGGTTATCATGGCCCTCCCAGTCCCAGTCGATGCCATCAAAGCCATCCCATCCGTTTGTTTAGAAAAAGAAAGTCGCATCAGTAGCGACGATTACAATTACAAACTACAACGACTACTCACCTTGTTAGTGCTTCCAGTCGTAGCTCACCCAACGTGGAGCTAGAGCTACATGACAATCATGCAAAATCAAGATCAAAGTAAGAAACACAGGCAGGCGTATGTCTGTAAATTTGTACAACCTGCTTGTCATAATATTCCCCACGACTCACAATATCGCGGTTCCAAACGTCGAAAGCTCGAAAAAAGTCCTCCCCTGTCAAAGAACTTTGGAGGTCCTCTTCCATAGTACTAGGCCAGACGATGTGCGGCGCGTTCCAGCCACCAAAGACAACTAGGTGTCTCACGTGACGATTTGCATATTTGCTCTGGATCTCTAAAGCAATCTTGGCAACTTTTCCGACTTCAGGCCTGAAATCAATGCGTATGTCATGCCAACTATATTGTTTGTTAGACTTGTTTTTAGTGATGTGCTCCGTGTCCTCCTTCTCAGCAAGTTCACGATGATGATGTTTTCGCATGGATGTCGAATCAGAATCCTCGATTAGTTTTTCCACAATACGTGTTTCTGAGTCTTTGTTCTCTTGCCCAGTAGTGGCGTTTTCAACTACTCGCAAGTCGGCAGCAAACCAGCATATAACGTTTACGCCGTCCTCGACGGCGTCGAGTATCTTGGCCTCGTCCGTGTTGGTCGCATATGAAACGAGGAGCTTAGGTCTCGTGGTACCATCGTTCGTGGTTGGGTACTCACTCGGTAGCCTCCGACGTTGCATTTTTGTGCTGGATCCCATGGCAGGCGTAAGACCTGCTGGAGGACCGCCAAATCCCCGGCCAAGGCCGCCACAACAGAACACCCTAAGTAACGGGAGCAGTTTTCGCATGCTCCTTTTCCTTAGTACAGCAAAACCTTGGTTACATGTTTACTCTGAAACGTAAGAGATCAATGAAAATGTAGGAACCAGTGGCTTTGTTCAATCCCGAGTGTACGTTCTTCAGAACCTGATCCCCATTCACGGCTGTGATCCATGACAGAAAGACCAATTATGCTAGTTCCGAGCTTATTTTTTCTTTGTACTAGATCTTCGATCAGCTTTCGAAAGCCCAGATGGGCTCCCACCGACGCTGACAAGGTGCGCTCCCAAAGATGTAGAGGCTTCTCGATGCCTCTTAAATCGCCCCGACTTTTCTTTGTTGCATTGAGTGTCTTTATGTCTTTTGCGACGTCTGTTGACGTTTATGTTGATGAATGTCCTTTGTTCGCAAGCTCATCATTCTACTGGTTCGTTAATCAATCAACTATATGCGTCCGTCTAACGAGCGGCGGTGCTGGATAACCAACGGAGGAACAAACAGACCCAGGACCAACCCTGGACTGTGCAAGCACGACTGCGTTCCCGCTGACCTAGCCCACAAAAGATCATCCAGGGCGCCTCTACAAGGCACCTTTTTTTTTTTGTAGTCCGAGAACGCCGAAAGGGCGACCCCAGTGTTGTCCGGTATACCTGCCGGCGACGGGTGGAGTACATTAACCTCCTTATACTACCGCGCACTGCGACTGCCGCACCTCTACGTCCGTGTACGACTGGTTCATTCATAGTGAGAGAAAATTTGCCAATAAATGACGTTGCTAAGGATGATCTACTGAAGAAGTGTGACATCTCAGACAAAGCTCTGTATCTGCATAGGGCTACGGCCAGTTGGTTCCTCTAAGGGGCGAAACATGATGGATTTGTCGAAACAAAAGAAAAATGGAAATCTTGAGTAATAGGTCAGGTGGGAGGTAATGAGGACAGTTCTAACTTGGTAAGATTTAATTTGATTGCTTAGGGCAAAAGAAGGAAAAATTTGTATTGTTAAGGTTGTAGGCTGGATTTGAGTGTCACGTAGTCACAGTGCTTTCGTGCGTAAATGAGATAATGTAGTAGATTCTTAAGACGGGTCAGTAGTCGAGCCAAGCCCATAGAAGTTGTAGTTAGTGCGATAAGAACATTATTGGTTCTTCTGGCTCACATTTATTCGGCATCAGGATGGAACCTTGTTGTGTGGCTCATGCTAGTGCCCTCGTTGCGTATGATGTAACAAGAATAGATTTAGTGAAGAATAGAAAAATCATCAGAGATCGACATCGACCAATCTAACCTGTGCATAACTCTGATGTAACGCTCTTGTAGATGTAGTCTATGCAGCTTATAATAATGTGAGAGGACTCTTCATGATACTTATTTATTATCATTGTTGGAAGTGTTTTCATTTACCTGGAACTTTCTGTCATGCATCTGTATAGCCATTTCAATATCATATTAATTTATTCATGGTTCTACTCAGGAAGACATTCTGCGTCCGCTCGCTAGAAGTAGCCGGGAGGCGTAGTAAGTCTAAGTATTTTGTTCCATTACATGGCTGCCCGTGGGTGAAGAGTTGCAGGGTGGTGTTGAAAAGTTCATAAGTAAGTTCGAAATAAAATGGTAGAAAGTAGTTGAAAAAGTTGGAACTCGGATAAACTGTGCTTCTGGGCTTCGCGTGTCAATAACAACATTCATTATAGAGTTAGATTCTATATGAGTCCCTACTGACGGTAAGCAGGCCATGCGTCCATAAGGCATTTGAAATCATTCAGCATAAGTGTACTTTTCTTTAGGTTCATTTTTTTGTTCATCAATAAATTAGGCTTTTGTTCATTTTGCTCGATTTGTAATTATAGGTATGTTCTACTGTAAGCTGCCCATTTGCGCTATCCGGTAGTCTATCTATCAACAGTAAGTATTTTGAAAATCAATCTCCAGCTCATGAGTGTTATGGATGTTGTAGCATTCCTGCTCACGTAAATGAGCTGCAGCTGGTGGTGTTTTTTACACTGGCGTTCCGGTCTCGTCGCAGCGGACAACGGCATTGGGCTCTAATACGATAACGCGAGGCTCTCCGTCCGCTTGGGCAGTACTAGATGTTGGTTCTTTATCGCCACCTTTGTGTTCTTTTTTCTCTTTTTTATCCTTCTTTTTTTTTTCTTTTTTCTCGATGTCCACTGCTTTCTCTACACCATTTTCGTCGACGATAACTGCTTTTTTTCCTTTCTAGAGCATAACGCATTCATTTCTTTCCTTCATTTCTTCAGATTCCCAAAACAAGGGGAAACAGAACAAAACGACCGTTGGAAATGAATTGCATCAAACCGTAATCTTTCTTCTCCTTCTTTTCCTTACCCGCTTTCTCTTTCTTCTCCTTCTTCTCCTTTTTGGCAACCGCGGTTGTAGCTGCGTCCCCCAGAACCGGAGCTCCGGAAACCGTGCAGTCGTCCAGCGTCGCTACAGAGGCGCCAACTACCTCAGCAGAAGCACCACCAGATAAGGGGAGATTGCTGCCCGCCTCCGACTGGTCTAGTAGAGGTCCGGTTGCTGCTGGCCCTTCAACTTGATGTAGTTTCTCCGCAGGATTATAAGGAGTTGATGTCACAGGAGGTTGAGGTACTACCGTTGCATTCTTGATGTGATCTGCTTGTTCCAATGGAGGTGCAGAATCAACAACATCCGGCTGTGCAGCTGCTTCACTGCCCAACTGCAGAGCACCTGCTACGTCGGTGGAAGTATTTCTTCGACTTGTGAACACCCCAGACCCTGAGGCTAGTGACTGCGCTGTCGGAGACCCCCGGGGACTGACCTGCCGGCTGCTGCGTGTCGACTTGGAGGTACGCCCATCGGCAGAAGAAACGAGACTTCCGCCATCTCTTTAGAGCACGAAACTTGGATATTACAAAACTCTTCTATCACGAGTGATTCTGATACAAGTACTCTAATCCATGACCGTATATAGGAAGAAAGTAAGTAGAGTGTGGTGATTAGCCATAAACCAACGCGGTTGTAAAGTCCGCCTCGACGAAGGGAGGCGCATCCTCCGTTGCAACGATCTGCCGACTAGAACTCGGGCGGCTGTCCTGAGGCCCTCGCCCCCTGCTACTGCTGGGTGCACGGCTGCCTGATGGCGTCACGCGACTGCTATGACTCTGAGCACCACTTGTGCGCGGATTATTCGAAGACACGGTACTCTTTTTAGAAGAGGATTGTTGTATTGGCGCTCCTCTTGCTCTATCGGAAGCAGAAGCAGTACCGTCACCAGTTCTCGAACCTAGTGTTTGTTCACCTTGTGGCTGGGCTACTCCGCTACTAAGGCTTTCTCTCGTGTTGCTGCGCTGCACCGAAGCGTCCGCCTTCAAGGCACTGCGACTCCGTGACTCACTCACGACGCTGCTTCCCCGAGATAAAACGCGTCGCTCCCCGGTCAAATTGAAGGTGCAGGGTCGAGCCACCTCTGGATAAAACATGAAACCCTCGCCACGACGCTGAGGACCGTTCGAGGACACAGCAGACGGCGTGCTGGCCGCGCCTGTGCGTGATGATACCTCCTCTTTCGCACTTCTCGAGGACGTAGCTGAAGAGACGCCTAACCCTGTGGTCGCAGAAGTTCTACCCGTATTTGCTGCCACGGCACTTCCAGCCATCGCTCTGGCGGCTGGCGCCGTTGCATGTCCTGAGGGTGCAGGAGCGCGTCTCGACGATGCGGCAGAAACCTGGCTGCTGGGCGAACGAATCTTTTTCAAGTTTTCACTCGCAACAACCTTCCCTGTGGATGCTTCGTCAATGATACGGTACTCTTGCGTTGTGGAGGACGCGGATGAAGAAGCGGACGAAGATCCTTTCGCAGGTCCTCTTGTACCGCCACTAATGCCCTGATCGTTATTAGTATTCATCTTAGATTTAGCAGTAGCACTATTCTTCTTTCCCATATTGTCATCGCATGAACTGCTGGAAGCAGCTTGATTCGAAGTCACTTGTCCTGGATTCGACAGTTTCTCCGTCTCGGAAAGAAAAGCTGTTGGGCGCATCAGCTGCCGTGTCAGTTCTTGGCGAAGGCGCTTCATCTCCAGCTGGAGGGCACTATTTTGACCAGCCAACGTTCCGTTTTCGACTTTCGTCTCTGACAGTTCGTGTTGCAAACGAGCCATCTCGGCTCTCAAGTGCGCATTCTCCTTCTCCAACTGGCTCCGCACAAAGCGCTTGTCTTCTGGCGATATCGTTTAGTGCTACCGCGTCGCATCCCTGAATCCTCCCCGGCCTCTTTTTTCCCTCGAAAAAGAGCCCAAGGATGCTGCTGAGGATGCCCTCGCGGTTGCCTTAAATAATGCCACTCTCTGCATCGTCCCCATTTCTGCTCGCTCCTGACGAACCGTTACTAAGGAATTCTGCTGGTAATAGGGTTCGATTTACATCCTTATTTAGAGAGCGACCGCGTTCGCATCCCTGACTGCATCCTTGCTCCCGGTCTATCTTTCTACTTGAAAGAGACACCAGCAAGGATGGTTTCGAGAATGCTTCCGCTGTAGCCTTACCTTATTGCTCGTTTTGTTCATCCGTAAAGTCGCATTACCAGCATCACCTAGTACGACAAATTCCTCTTCGGAAGTAGAACTCCATACATGCGCTTCCGGTCCTCCCTCTGCCAACAACCCCTCTAGCGGGTGCTGTTCACCTTGCAGCACAAATGAAGCCCCATGCCGCCGTGAGGGTGCGGCAGCCGGGAAGTCGAAGACTGCGTAGTGTGGAGATGTGCGTCTTCGTCAGCACGATGTCGAGAATTTCGTATTCATACGTAGAGGACTACTCACAGCTCTTGTGAAGAAGACGGTAAGGGTCCTCTCTTACATAATTCTTCATCTGCACTACTTTTCGAGTCGACTGCTGGTACTCAAGAAAGAAGGAAGGAAAGAAAGAATAAGAAAGACAATGCATCATTTTATATACCTGTCTCGGCTTCCGTCGTCCTACCTTCAACCTCCATGCTGCCTCGTGGACCTGAAAACACAATGCTGCCACTACGACGTCCCGCCGGTGCGTCTGATTGAAGTTCTGGTATCGTTGCAGTACTAGATCCATCTGGCAAAGATGCTGCTAGTTGTTCTGGTAAGGTCACGCGCGGTTTTCCAGTGCTAGCCGGCGCTCCGCGAGTATGAGCTGTCGTCGCAGTCGGTGTCAGCAAGCCACTACTTTTAGAAACAAACGACTTGAGGTTATTCTCTGAAATAAAGTCATATCTTTGGAGTTAGTTTTAGAACTGTCTACATACTTAGTTCCAGTAATGAAAATCGTGAACAGGAATTACAGAGTCACTCGTACTACTGATAGTACTAGACTCAAATTGAATGAAAAGGCTCGTCCAAGAACAACTGAGTCTGCTGGTCAGAATTTTGGATCTACTAGAAGAAGGCTTTAAACGAACCCACTACTTAATTGAAGTACGAACCCACTTAGTTGAAGTTAATATCAGAGTCCTCACGTCATAATCTTTGGTACGTTATTAGTGGCGACCGGGTTCAACAATTTGCCTTCAAGTGCTGGGTTCAGTGATACCAATTTCACTGGCCCAAAGTCGATATCGACAACCGGCTGCATATGGATGTGATCTTTCGTGCAGTGCTCATCTTGGCAGGATACAGATTAGAGCTCAAAATATTAAATATATTAGAAGCGCTCAAAGTATGTATTGTTCACGATCTCTTGCTTTCATATTCATTTTCCCACTTTCCTACGAAGGAATCAGTTGTGAGACTCTCAATGACACTGTCCTAAGTAGTAGTAGTAGTAGTGTACCCATTCGTGGGGTATGGAAGACCGTTTAATTAGATGACCTCTGTTTTATATAAACAGTGAGTAGATATAAACAGTGAGTGTAAGACGCAAGTGAATTGTAGAATTGTAGTAGAGAGGAATTTGAATTAAAGTCTTAAGAAGAATCGTCTTCCCCTGACAAAATTTTGACGTCGAGGTCGACGGATTCGCCCTCCGCTTGCGGCAATCTCTGATCAGCGGCATCAACGGCGACGAGAAACTCGCTTACACTCATTGCCGGCTCATTCAATTGCGCGGTGGGAGGAGGGGTTAAAGCTTGAGAATCATACATACGATGAAGGTCGATTTGGAAGGATGTACTAATTTATGGGAAGGTGGATCTGGAAGGATGTTGATGACGCGTTTTTGTTTGTATTGAAAACTTGATGTAGCTTGAAGATACTCGAGGGCTGGTATTGGCTGAAGAGTATTACAACAACTCTCAATTTATATTCTATTAGTGACGCTAACGTAGTCAATTCTATGCAAATGTATTAATCTCACGTAGTCGTAGGAGAAAAGGTAGAAGAACCTACCAACATAAACAAATAGGCACAAACTAAAAAAAAACACACCATCACCAGCCTTAAATAGAGGTCGTCTTGAAAGAGCATTGCTCTGCGTGGCACCTTGAACGGCAAGAACGTAAGATTGCTCTCGCTGTCTAGCTTAGCTGCTCGTGCAACTTCGTGAGTGGACACATCCATAACGCGTTTCGGGAAAAAGGCGAGACCTAGTTGTAACACATACAAGATGCGGATGAAGCTTTTTCTACAGGCAGGTAAGATCAATAAGAAAAAGAAAAAAAGATCAGGAATAAAGGATGACGATAATAGCGGTCATGAACAATGAGAATTTAAAGTTAATATGCTTCTTGCAACACCAGAAGTAGAAGTAGGTCATTTTTATCATTCTTTTGAATATCGGATGTTTGTTATTGCCAATGCGGATCAAAGAGGTAATCACAGATCTATCATGAAACCTCGTTGCGGTTGGTTGCTTGCATAATCGTCCAAATAATGAAGACTTCCATCGACATATTCGAAAAACTTGATGTTTCCGTCACCCTTTCCCGCCAAGAAAAGCAAACCCGTTTCGCGGTCATAAAACGGGCATAGAGCCCCGGTCCCAGTATCCAGAGTCTGTTCGTGGCGAGGCGTTCCAGGATATCGGATGTCCCATAGGGAAAATTGACGCTCGGCTGTAATATTGAAGAAAAGGACGCATATTAGACGATATTCCTTTATGTCCTAGTATTCATTGCAATAATTACTAATGACACCAAACTAATCATGAAGGAAGTGATGGATCCCAGCCGGACCCCGTCGTAGATGAAACTCCTAACTAGTGGTCCGACTTAATAGGAGACTTGTCGAGGAAATAGGAGCAACCAAAAGTAATACCTTGTTTCGGCACTGTACCTGAAGTATGTTATGAGAATGAATGGTGCCTGCCAAGAAAAAAACAAGTCAGATGAAGTATAAAATACTAGACTGCGAGAATCCCGTGGCGATGAACTCGAACGAGCAGACGTCGCCGCCGCTTAAATCATCGAGCCAGCACATCTTGCATCCCCTTGTTGACTCAGAAACTTTCTGCGTGAGAACTGGTCGCGTACATTGCCCACCGAAGCCAGGGGATCCTTAGAGCTCTTGAGACGCGGTCTGTTCGTTCGCGCAATAAACCCTATGTATTTACTTAGAGCTTTTTGCTCCTATGCAAGCGTGAGAGAAAGGTGTTCGAGTTCGCTTGCTATTCTCACTAGATCACAAGTAATTCTTTCTAAGTATGCGTGTGTCGACATCTATCTTCATCAAACCGTCCACAAAGATTCATGAAGATATAAATATGCATAGTTAATTCTAAAGAAACCTTGTCCCAACATAATCGAAAGACGGAGTCGTGCCGCCACCCAGACGGCTGTCGTAGAATCGGACTACCTTGTCTCTGCATGCTGCCCCCAAAAGCCGGCCGTCAAGACCCCACCGCAAATCATGGACCAAATCAGGAACACAAATTAGAACCAAAAAAACAATATAAGCCAAATAAGTCGCGAAAGCTTCACTGGCCTATCATACCTTCATTCTATCACCTCTAATCTGATATCTCTTTTGCATGCATTCTACAATTTCAGTCTGAATTTTTGGATCGTAAGCTGCTGTTGTTGAAGAAAAAGAAAAAGATGTCTAACATAACTGCAGACTCGAGACTTCTCTTTCGCTTTCTAGGTCGAAGGTTTGAACTCGAGCATCGTAGCTCCCACACGAAAGCAGTTGCACGCGCGGATGAAAACACAACACATTCACCTTCTTACTCGTTTGAAACATGCAGCGCGCGTCCTTCACAGGATTGTCAGGCGGGATTTCGTAAACGGCGTTGATTCTTAGAAGGTGAAGAGATGCAACAAAGGAAAAACGTTAGAAGTGAAAGAAATGAAAATAGGAAAAGCGAAAGAGCATGACCAAATGTTGTCTGGGTAAAAAACGTGCGCTTTTCTAACTAACTACTAACTTCTAACTGTCAGTTTTCCCTTCTTCCTGAAGAACCATCATCCGCATTGCCTGGAATCTGGAAGAGCCGCACGCAACAGTCCTCCGCACCCGTGGCGATAAGGCGTTCATCGAATGGTGAAAAGCCGAAGTCCAAAATAGCACCAGTGTGACCAATGATTGCCTGATAAAAGAAGGAGACTCTATTCTGTACAGCAACGCAGATATAAAGCAATAAATACTGTGTAAGGACTAGACGGCGATTAATCAAAGACTAAGAGCTAGCCCTGCGCTAGAAAATAGATAATCTAAACGAGCACACAGATCGAGGGAGGAGAGAGGAAGAGTGAGGTCGAGCTAAATATTTAAACTTGTGATAGAGCAAGTACTTCGCGCGAGAGTAAAAGTACCTCGATGCCCTACCAACAACATATATTTAAATACCGGAACGCTTCCAGTCGCAAGTCTCCTTGGCTTTCGCCAGTCGAGGACACAGAGGCTTCCGCCGCCCCCCGTTTGCCACGGAAAAGCGAGGTACTGCGAGTTGATTGCAATACCAGGTCCCTCGAGCTTCTTCTCGGTATTTAGAGAAGATCACACTAAGACTAATTCATACCGTCCTAAGCTCATCTTTCCAATTCCTATAAATTCATAAGGCGGAGACAGAAAGAGCACGAGATGGTCTATGAATTTGGACCTGAACTACTTCAATCAGTCTAAGTGAGGAGAAAAAAGAGAGCAGATGAAGGTCCTGTATAGTAACTAATGCATTAAATAGAAATGCTTTGTTTCTGCCTTAAGCTAAGTTTTGTTCCTTCAAACCGGTCTTTACTTGGTTCCACCAGTAAGTGCCTGAATCGCGAATCGCGTACAAACTTCTTCCGGCTACTGCGGTTCAGAGACACATCACGCCTCGCTGATGACTGCATCTTGAGGTTGAGTGCTGCAACGCTGTACAACTAAGTGCTGCAACGTTGTACTAACAGTGCTGCAACGTTGTTGTTGTCCTTCTACTAGCAGGTTAGTACTAACGTTTGCTCTAGTTCTCCTAAAAATACTCGCCCGTTTCTTCTAGTACTAAGAGGTTTGCTCCTGTAGCTAGGTTGTAATTCTTATATGAATGGAGCACTTCCGTACATTTTTTCCAGTTTCAGCCGCTGTTTCCTCAGATTCAGACTTCGACTCCTTGAGTGTCTCCCAACACAAAATCTTCAACCAACTCCTCAAGGAAGACCCTAAATAACTTGCAGGCCTCACGTACTACGGGCTGCCTTCATTGGCGCACGATACGTGCAGGCTGCTGTGAAACTCAACACGCGAGATACCCTACAGTACAACTGTGCATCTGTTGATCGTCATGACGCTGAAATACGCACATGGTAGTTGTAATAATGATCCATCGTCTTATCATGCCCTATAATGCACATACATATTCATAACACGATAGCTATGCGTACTTTTGTACGTCAGAGGAAAAGACTACATGAAAGACTATGTATCTATATTATATATACTCATATGTTCTCGTATTTCGGAAAAAAAGGACGCTACTTTTCTACTGAATTTCTGAAACTGTAATCAGATGGATACACGACATTTTTTCATTGTTTTACTGTCCTGTTGCTACATGCATTGCTTGAGTGCTTCCCATGTCTCTATATTTTTGTTCTTCATCAGAAGATTTCTTAATTTCTCAACCTGTTGTACCGTTGCTTTAGTACTACTAGTTTGCTTTTTGCATCTTTCGTGGACTTGACTCTCTAGGAAGGTGTCCATCATAGATACGTTCGTGGTAGCATCAATAAGTATAATTACAACTTTATTTTTTAGCGCTTTCACATTCTCCGTCTGCTTTCGTAAAAAATCAATGATGCAACGTTCACTGCAATTGCAAAGCTTCCGTTGTCCAGCTGTAAAAACGTTTGTCGCCACTTTTGTATTTCAAGCTCCAGGGGTTGCCTCGAAGTATCTCTGCCATCAGGTCGATAGCCGATATTGGATCGCCGTTCTGCAAAGGCCTCAACTTCGTTTTCACGAGAGCGTTTGCGATTAAACCGCATGATGCATTCCCACCATCTCGAACTCCACCTCCTAAACGAGTCGCTGTGTGCTCGATCAATGTAAATGAAGCGTGGAGGATGATATGTTGATATTGGAGGCCACTTCCTATGGCATATGCGTCATGTCTTTATTCCCTCTTTTTTAATAATCGACAACAATCGGGGTCCGTGGTCAGGGTTTTAAGGCGAATCAAGGCGAACCTCAAGGGGGGCGGAAACAAAGGCCAAGATTCCCAGGGTTTTAAGGCGGAAGCCAGGGAATCTCAGGGCTCGCCGCTAACCGCAAAGTCTCAAAGTTTTGAACACGTGCCAGGGTTTTGAGTCTCAGGGTTGGCGAAAAAGGGCACAAATGTCAGGGTTTGGTTGCCGGGGTTGCAAACGCGTCAACGAGTCTCAGGGTTTTGCGTGTCAGGGTTTTAGAGACGTTCGCAAGTCACCCTGCACGGCAATGTCAGGGTTTGGCGCCTCAGAGTTCTGAATTGACAAAGAACTGTCTCGAAGTCTGCGTATGCGTATCCTCAACAAGAGAGCTAATGTATGCATGTTACAAATCTTCCGCTACGAGCACTGATGAGCCACACAACAAGCTAAAGCTATACCCATGGTACACAAACATTCTCACGCCATAAGCTCAAAAGCAACTCTCCGCCGGCTGTGCCGGCTGTCGTCTTAGTGATGCGTCTGCTTCTCTCCCCGTCTTGTACGGCAGAACTGGCAGCAGAGTCTAAATTTGCCAGTTGAAACAAGATGCGAGCATCTACCAACTCATGCGGTTTGAAAATAAGCAGAACTCACGCAGCACAGTCAGGACTACTCAGTTACATCATCATCATCATCACTCCACGAAGATGAATAGCAATAGTTGTCACACCATAAACAAACTGAGCGGTCCGAGAGCGTAAGACGTTTTCTCACTAAAATCGTCCACTCGCGCACACGCTCGCCATATTTTGATTAGAATTGATAGAGGTATTTTTTTTCGCTTTTCCAGTCCCTTTCTCTTTCGACGTAGTGTGCGAACTTTTCTTGGCTAGGCACTTCTTCTGAGTTCTTGTTGACACCGGTCTAAGAGGCAAGCATACTCTTCAGAAAGTTCGTTTCAGTGCGATTTGCGACACGACTTTGGATTTTTCACATACAACAAAACACTTCTCCTCATACCTACGGCCTTCTAAGGCCTTGTCTCGCTTTTTCTCTCATCTCTCATCATCATCTCACGTAATGCTTACTGTGTTGTAAACACAGTTCTATTCGAGATTCCAACTACGCGCAAAGGCTCTGCTACACACGTCAACCGTAACAAAAGCACACCTGCGTTTTCATGATATCTGAATGCCAGGATTCTCCAAAGGACTACTCAGAACGGGCAGTCTTCATTCAACACAACCATATTATGCGCCCCATCTCTTGTCCCTGGAAATCATCATCTTCAGTGCATCTCAATTGATTATTCTCAACCATTAGCGAGATGAAACAGTCCTGAAAGCGGTCCGAGGACAAGCAGAGGAAGCGAGAACTGTCATCACAAACAATGACGTAAGATTAAGAACTTCTCCCAACAATGAAGTGTGCGACTCAGAGACCTCCCAACGATGAAAGCCAGTGATGAGTATCTAGACGGAAAAACAGTAATCCATCTCGTCACAGCACAACATCACAAAGCCCTCTGTCCCTATCAATCTATGTCCATCGAGTTGTTTGCCGCTGAGAAGGCCGCGCGCGCTTTCTCTAGTCCAGCGCAGTAAGTGTGGAACCATTTTAGGTATGGCTCCAGCGAATTTACCTTTCCACCTGCATTTATCTCGTCGATCAGCTGGCCTAGTGTCGGCACGGTCTCGAAATCGAAAGTTTTTGTTAGAACTGGTCTTGTAAGGCCTTTTAGTAAGTACATGAAGTTCTCGTTCCCAATCTTAACGAACTTCTAGTTCTTGTACGGGAAATCAATCATCCGTTTGGGACTTTTTGCGTTTGCCATCATGATGTTCTCTGTCCTAGTAGATGTGCTTACTTAATACTCGCTAAAGTCAATATTTATATAATTTCGATTTGCAAAATCTAGCCCTTAACTTTGGGTCGACAATCGGGACACACACGCGTCCGGTCTTTGGATGTATGCAGAAGGGACTCTTCGCTAAGTGATTCAGCTGTTTCGTCACATTCGCATCCAACCTGGGAAAAAGAAGTCTCAGTGCAGTTTCCGCGGCTAAATATTGTAGCGCTTCGCTCTCCGGTTTATTCGCGCCTACTTCACTCTTGCTTAGCTTCTCGAAGGGTATGAAAGAACGGTGTACTTGACGGGAAGGGAGATGGGAAGTGGAAAGAAAGGAAAGGCGACTTTTAGACTTTTGCATGAACTTTTAGTATCACTCGTTTTACTGTGCTAAGGCTGAAAATCATCAAGATTTGTCGCTTGTTGGAGTACAGCGTTGTCGTCATCTTGAAGGATGCAGCAAACTTCAAAATTTTTTTCCATTATTCATAATGTGCCTGTAGATGTCGGTCGAAGCTTGATTTCGTATTAGAGGCCTGCCCGCCTAAGCAACACCATCGTCGGCAACAGCCAGTAATATGACAGGCATAACGCGTTATTTTAGCAACGCGTTATAGATGCATGCTGGTTGGATTCTAGTAGTACTGCGCTATCAACATTCTGCTCTATAACGTGTTGCTAAAATAACGCGTTAAGGCTGCCATAACTAGGCTCAACGATATATAAAGCGGCAATGGAGTAGTCTCCTTTTGCAAAAATATTTCGCTGGTACTATACCATTTTTTTCCGCCTAATGGTAGTGAGAGTGCTGAAAATATAATTGACGTCAACCAATTAATTTAAGATAAAGACTGAGATTCAACAAGAACTACTCAGAGAATAGCAAGCGAATGATGTGAAGATAAGTAAAGGCAAATGAAAAAGCTGCGATGCATTCATAACGCCACTTGCTCTACTGACTGTCCCGTCACTTCGCTACCCGTCATTTTTTGCTCTATCCGCGAGCAAAGTGACTGAAACTCGGTCACAAGCTCGGGCTTCTTCCCGCGCTGCAACGTTGCTTCTATTATCTTCAAGTGCTTGTTGTCCGCTAAAGGAGGGTTCAAGGGCCGTTGCTCCGGCAGAATCTTTTCGAGCAGATGCGGTTCGAGAAGCTTCGCGCTTCGCGTCACATGCGGATGAAGCACTGTTGCGTTGTTCTTCTCCAGCTTCACTGCTTGGACGCCGAAAGATTGCAGCAAAGATGAAGGAGGTTGAAGGAGGAGGAAACGAGAGGAACGGGAAGAACTGCTTCTCCTTAGCTGGTTAAAATAAGTCCTCCAAATGAAACTAGTTGATGTAGAGAACAGACTCACAACAATAGTAGATGCTGTTAAAGTACAGTTCCTACTTCTTTTCTCTTGTTCTACTAGATCAGGGTTATCAACATAATCGTCAGGGAGATGAATACTCTTTCCTGCCATAAATTGAAGAGATTGACGTACTCGATAATGGCAGACCGCTGCTCGTTCGTGAGGCGCATCACCTCTGGATCACTCACCCAGCAATGCACACCACGACGTCCGGAATAAACGAACATCAAATGCTGGAAGCCAAAATCTTCCCTCAGTATGTGGTCCAAAAGAAGCATCGCTGCTTTCAAAAAAACCCAGCACTTTCTACATATCTTCGCACCGGTGCAACACGTACGAACCTGGAGTTGTATGCATTACGAATATTTTCAGGCTGGACGGTTGTAATTGTTGACGACATGGATAAATATGCTTGGAGGACAAGAATTTGACACTAATCAACCAAAGATAAGAGAGGTACGCAAAAATGGAACTATCGTAGTCTGTTCCTCCAGCACCTCCCTTTACGATTACACATAGAAGGTACCTCATCGTAATCGTCCATATCAATATCGAACATGTTTACGATTGCGAAAAAAATGTACCTCATCGTATTAATTAGTAATCGTCCAGATCAATATCGCAAAAAAAAAACATTATTTAAAAATGTACCTCATCGTAATCGTCCATATCAATGTCGAAAATGAGCTCGCGTTCTTCTGCAAAAAACATGTCTTTGTGCACGCCGTCCTTCATTCGTGGTTCTTGAGAATACAAGGGGCCTATCTCCATTCGGTCTGGCTTACTCTTTTTAACGGCCTCCCGCCACGCTTGCGCCGTGTGGTAGGACTGGAATCTGAATTGGCGGGGTTTCCATAAAATACGATGGAAAGAATCCTACGTCTCGAGCGTCGACTTTGAAGCTACTTAAGAATTGCGCTCAGAACCAGAAGGCAGTCTATTTCCATAAAAGGCGAACAATACGAGCAGAGCAAAATAACCAGCAACACGGGCGATTTACTATTGCTGATTCACTAGCATACCGGATATAGATTTCCGGTGGAAGCTGGAATGCGATCTCCCTCTTCTTATTTTTCTCCTCGCCGCCCATCCATCCGACCAGATCCTCAAAGGGGAAGAAACGATCATAGTAGATCGGCAAGAACTCGTAGACATAGGCTTCCGTACCGCCTGACATTTTGTTTCTCTTATGCGGTAGTTGCCTATACTCTTATTGAGATGATCAATTGGTGCTTGTTGTGTGAAAGTAAGCAAGCACTTTTTCTCATAGACCACAATTTCTATGCAACGTGTGTTTATTTGACAAGTATGCGATAGTAACGAGTGTTCAAATCAAAATCTTCTACCTCATCAAGAATGCACCGTCGTTGAGAAACTACTACAGCTCCCAGTGTGCCTATGTCTTTGACACACGCTTATCGTTCACTGCTTTTGAAAGGTACAGAACGGCCTCAAAGATGAAATTCTATCGAGCAGAATGATCATAGTACAATGATATGGAGACTGCAAAAACATAACTTCTTCTTAGCACTAATTCCATATACATAGACAGCCGAAAAAGGTCATCATTGATACAAAATCGACATTCAGACATGAATTACTTCCTTCGTCTTTTATGTCCATTTGCAAGCTAGAAATATCCGGAGAGAAGCATGGGGCCTCTGCAAATGGGTATAAATTGTGAGGCCACACTTTTTGTTCAGACATGTCTTCACAGAACTTTGATGAAACTTTGTGCTCCACCGATCTCTGCATCTGGGATCGTCCTTCTTCCAAGTTGATGTCTTCTTTTTTAACATTTCATCGAAGTATCTTAATCTTTGTCTTCCTGGGATCCTCAGAAACGCGTTCGGCTGCTTTTCTCCTTTTGGAGTCGTCGAGGACACGATCTGTTCCCACACAGGTCAAACAAGAAGTTCCCGGTGTAATCAGTGCGAGTCGCTACCAGCTATCGGTTGACAAACTCAACGCAAGAAACAGCATGCTTTCTTATCACCTTCAGTTATCGTGCCTATAGAATTTCGTACAAGAAGCTCAGAAATTGTCGCGTTTTCATACACAAAAGAGAAAAGCAGGAGCTTCATGAAGGACGACGGGCGTCATAGCTTACTTGCAGGTGCACCCTGTACGACAAGTTGCAGCGGATTTGCTGATTTTTTCACTCCATCCAGAAAGCCAGGCGTCGGTACAATCGCCGCGTCCCCCGGTGCCGTGGGCTCTCGTCTAATATTTATGCCCTTCTGCTCCAGGAATACGGCAAGAGGGAACGCAACGAAAGGGTCTAAACTAACGACAACCTGAAAGTCGAATGTATGGTGTTGATGTTGCATGAATTATCTGTGATGTGCTGGTGGGGCGATCTACTAAACTATATATAATATCCGCTGGTCATGATGACAGTCATCCAACCAGGCAGACTGACAGACATTGACTAACGTAGAATTTGTCTCCAATACCTTATCGAGCCCCTTTTCCTCAAGCAGATATGGCGCGATCCGGATCAGAACCTCATCAGCTAATGCGTCATTGGCATGTGGCGCGTTGAGCTTCTGTTTCACTACGCGCAAGACCACGGGTGGAAGCTTTGGTAGTGCAAGCAAGTCCTTGGCACTCCATTTCTTAGAGCTCCCCCTTATCCATCTTGAGATACATTTTGATGCATTGTATTTTTTCCCGATATGGGATAGGTTCAAGATGCTTTTGCAGGTGGATTAGGAGAAGTAGCCTTAAATTTTCCTACCACAGCTTGTAGCTCCTTATTTTTGAGTCTCTTAACGAAAACACCGGGCACAGACGACGACGAAGACGGCGTCACTGAAGACATCTTAATGATATATTCTGTTCTACTCAAAAGTCAGTTTTTTGCTGTATACTCTTGAAAGTCACTTTATCTGTTGGATGAATCTATCATATGGGTGCGCGATCACTTTGTATCTAACCACTTTTTACCTTCATCTGAAAAAACTTGTCATGGGCTAGTGCCAAGTTGTCATCTTCTTTTGATAAGAGCAAAAAAAAAAATAAGTGCTTTTTTCGTCTTTCCCTTTCGTTGGTACTACTAACTTGATCCTCCTTTCGGCGACAGAAAGAGAAGATCGACAACGGCCCCTGGGCTTCGCGGCAGGTTCTTTTTCCGCTCGAGGGGCGACAAGCAATCCGAGAACACACACTGTAGGGGACAGTGGCCAGAGTCAAAGCCGCCATTAGCCATTTCCCTCTTGAAGACAAGTATGTCCTCTACTATCATATAAGTGAAATCATCGTTTCAAGGAGGTGCTTTCTTGGAAAAACAGGGACCGAAAATATCAAAAACATTTTCATTTTATCAACCACAGGGGAGACCACGACGAGGAAGGTATGGCCATGAGGAGGGTGTGGCCATCAGGAGTAGGTTTCGTTGGATGTTGTGAAAGAGTGTAAGTACAAGAACATAGGTACTACTGTATGAAAAGAGTTGGAACCCTAACCCTGAGGTCCTACTCCTAGTCCCACGTACTATAATTTGGTCATTAATTTTAAAGATGTCGCTGAGCAACAGCAAGTGCTTGTCAGAGGTGGAGACGTTGTTTGTCTAGCGTGCGACAGGGGGTTCCTTTCGTCGAGACAGCACGTAGTTTCATTCCTAGGTAGTTGTTCACACGACGAATCTTCTTCTTCTCCCCCGACTCTTCTGTCGCGTCCTGCTATCACTGCTGCTTTCGGATCCACTAATGTCTTCGTCTGGTGAACTCAAGATCTGCTTTTTGCTGCGTTTCAATTGGGCGACAGCAGCCCGCTTAGAAGGAGGCGGACTTCGAAGGGTTCCCGACCTCTTAGAGGGAAGTGCTGTGCGAGCGCTTCGTCGAACTTTACCGGCACCAGTTCCGCTCTTGTCTTCTCGAACTGTAGTGTCACCCATCTTCTTTTTTCTAACCGGTGCGAGAGAGGCGGACGTCGGCTTGAATGCTTTCTGGCCATTTTTGCTTTTCGTGCTTTTTAGAGCAACATCTTGGAACGCCGTGTCTGAAAATCTACGCCGCTTCCGTTTCGTATCCTTGTTTCTTCTGCCAGGATGATCATCAACAGAGGAAGATGATGCTTGCGAGTCATCATTAGAACTTTCTCGTCCTCTCTTTCGCTCAGCTTGAAGACGCGTGTTCACCTTATTCATCCTGCTTCTTTCAGAAACCGCTTTATTTTTCTTGAGGTCTTCTTGATGATGTTTCTCTTTATGACGTCGATCAGCACTAGAAGAGGAAGGCTCCGAACGTGAGGACGATGCCAGTGATGATAGGGATGACTGAGAAGTTGATCGTGATCCCCGCGAAGATTCACTACTAGTATCGCGCCTGCGTTTATTTGTCTGTCCTCTCAAGGAGCCAACATTCTTGCTGTCATGACCACCCGGTAGACGCCGCAACCCTATTTCTTGCTTCGATGATTGCTTTTTTTCGGCCACATCTTTACGGTTCGCCCTGCTTTTTTGCTTTGCGCGAAGAATCCTACTTCGACGCCCCTCGGATCCTGAACTGCAGTCGCTGCTTGAAGAAGAAGCTCGCCATCGCTTATCGCTATGGCGAACTGCAGACACCGAAGCCTGTGGTCTCAGCCAAGAAGACGTCTTACTAGGGGGACGCGCCCCCGCAGCATGCGAAGACGAGGACCCAGCGCCTCTGGCTTTACTAAGAGCATCAACTCGATCTGCTCTAGCATGTGAAGACCCTCTGTTTTTAAGAGCAAGAGTATCTACTCCAGCTCTATCGTCACGATTTGCGAACTCACGTTCAGCTCTGTCAAGAGCCTTTTCGTCGTCATTCTCGTCTGAGTCTGAAGAGTCGCTGCTACGATAGGAAAGACCGGATCTAACCTGTCCCTGTGCTCGCCCTCCACCTCCAGTCGTTGATTTCATCTCCTGATGTCCTCGTGATGTTGACAACTTCTGTCCTCCAGCATGAGTACTTCTCTTCGTGTGCAACTTCTCCTCCTCTGTTTTTGGTGAGCCACGTCGACGAGACGGCAAGTAATGCTCGGTTTGATGATGTCGTTGCACTTGGACAGCACGACCTGGGTCTGGTTGGACAGCACGACCAAGGTCCTTTTGCTTTGGTGGTCGGACACCATTACGAAAATCTCGGCCAACACTGAAGTTGAACAATTGCGTATCCTTCCTCCACAGAGACGACGTCGCCGATGCCTTCCTCCAATCCGGATCAAGCCAAGAATTTTCCCCATCTTTGAACAACTGCACACGGGGCGGTAGAAAATTTTAGAGACCTTCATGTAACTAGATGTAGGTGTAGATGATGACGATGATAGATGATAATGAGAAAAATAATGAGATTAGCAGTCCGTATCTGGGTTTAACACAATTCGCAACGAAAATTACGACTTCTGCAATGATCATAGCAAAGACTTTTGTGTAGAAATGCATGAATCCATAGAAAGAAGAAACTCGAAAAGAACGCCGCACACAATCGAAGCAACAAAAGACATTTATTCTGCGAAAACAAATGAACGACTTAAATTTCTGCCCAATCGTCTTGTAGGCTCTTCTTGTGATTCTCTCGAAGCCACTGTGGGTCGCACCAGGTCGTGTTGCGAGAAACAAACTTGACATGAGGCGGAGCTACATCTCCCCATGATCCTTTCTGTTGAGTTTTAACGTCATTGTCGTCAGATGATGACAACATGGAGCGGCTACGACTTGGAGGAAGAAACTTTTTGTAGTTGGATGTGCCCGTTCTTCCCCTTGCCATGCTCCTACTAGTACTAAAAACATCTACTTTCTCCCTGCTGATATCTTTCGCAGTAAATTGTTCGAGGCCACTAATGTCAACCTCTTGTCCCTTCGCGTGTGCAGCCATTTTTCGTGCTTGTAACTCGACTCTCCGAACATAGGTCCACTCGTGGCGATCCCAGTCGTACGCGTATCCAACATACTCGCCTTTGTCGATGGAGTTGGCGTCCCACGATGCATGCATCTTCGCGAGCTGGTCCTTTGATGATGAATTAAGGTACTTGGGTGCTTGCCGTCCTCCGTGTCGTAGTCCTCCTTCTGGACCTTTACTTGAGGCTTCCCCGTCAAAGAATGATTTCTTCTTGCTATGTTGGCTATAGTACAAGTTCTCATCGGGAGCAACCCTACCACTACGATCTTCTACTCTTCGGTCCTTCGCCCCCCTCTCTAGCCGCGAAACCTCCAACGTAGAGGCTGTTGTTGTAGCGGTTTCGAAGATTGAAGGTGGAACTTCATGCTCGATGAATTTCCGGCCTCTGACTTCAGGAGCTACTTTAATCTTCTCTGCATTGCCCCTATCTGAATCACTGCTAGTATCGTTTTCGATGCGCCGGACTTTCACTACTGCAGGTTTCTTTAGCACTGGACTTTTTCAGATAGTGTTCGGAACTGTATCAAGAATTTCAAACTTTATAAATATGAATATCCCAGCCTCGCACATGCCTACCTCTACATTATACACTTTACATCTGAAAAAATCATTACGTCGATAGAATGATGCCGGTTCCAGTCCTATCACAAAAATACTAACCACGCAAAGATTGTCCCCAACATGTAGTACTACGTATGTCGATTCTAATGCATAGCGGTACATACTGCTTCTACTAGTGGTACAAATGCCTTAGCCAGGTCCTTACAGAATAGTACACTTCCTTAGCCATAAATTCTTCTGCTTTTTATCGCGTCGTATCGTCCACTCCCTGTCCTTATCATGTGGCTTCCGGAAGTTGTTGCCTCGGTGACTAAAAATCTCAGATCGTTTCCAATGATCTCGTCCCATTCGCTCCGGCCTTTTGCTCTCCCTAGTACTACGTTGTGGACCCAGTGATGGTGATGGCTTCGGATTTCGGAATAGACCACGTGATGGTGATGGCTTCGGATTTCTAAAAGTACGAACATTCGGGTCTGCGTTTGCGGATGGTTGTTCCTTCAAGTCCTCCTTATTCATCTCAACTTGTTCCTTCTTTACGTCTGCCCCCTTTTCACCTGCCAGGAATTTTGCAGTTAGCAAGGGTTCCTTCGCTCGTACTTTTGGCTTATCTTTCTTCCTCTCGCGCTCCTGAGCTCTTCCATTGCGGATTTGCATGATGCGCAGGCGCTCTTTAGCGCGGGCTATTGCACCGTCTACGTCGCCAATCTGTTGCTCCCGCACTACGCGTTTCTCGGAATCACTTTCACTATCTCCCTCTGCCGCTAGCTCTCGACGGACCTGGACAAGTGTTGAGGTTGACTGAGTCTGAGGTAGTAAGAACTACTTCTAGTACTCTTGATTTCGTGCTATTAACCACCCATTTTCATTATCTGCAACAAGAAGGATGTTCGACGAGAACTACCAACTCCAGCAATTATAGACTCAATCATAAGTTGTACATGCTTGAATGCAAAAAGTATTCATATGATTTCTTTCACCTTTGAGAACAAATCGATGAGTATTTGCCTACCTCTTCAGCGCGTTGTTCTTCCAGCTCGTCCTCTTTCTCACGTTGGCGCCTTGCTTTCTCTGCCCTCCGTTCTTCATCGGGCGCGCGCTCCACGGCCGCTCCGTTGTGTACCGAAAAATCGCCATGCCAACGACACAGATTCCGGAAGACGTCGACTGCCTGATGCGAACAGTCGATAAAGGGGCACTTGCCGGGGTAGTAGTACTGTTTAATCTCGTTCCCAAACTTCGACCATGGAAAGCCCAAGCCGTGCTTTCGCCCACACATCTTGCCCATGTTCCAAATTAGCAGCAGTAGAACAAAAAAAAAAAGCTTAAGACTTTCTTTGTTGTAGGAAACTTCTACAGATAAAAAAGTACTCAAGCAGGAAAGATGATTCATTCCTCTTGAAGACGAGCTGCAAAACTGGTATCATTTTCCATAGGAGCAAATCGAAATCAAACTGAAGCTTCTTGCCATAGAATCAAATCAAGTCCTCTCGCCGCGTCCTTGCCACCGGGAGCCAATCGGAGCTTCAGAAACTCCATTAGCAACGTTTTTTGGTCCTTACGGACCTCCTTTGACAGACCCATGTTTTGATCGTATCCACTGAGTCTACTCAGTCATGAAGAAGCTGTGCTTGTGTGAGTGTAGTAGTTTTACTTGTAAATCTAATTGTAAAAGCTGTGCTTGTGTGAGTGTAGTAGTTTTACTTGTAAATCTAATTGTAATTGTTTCTTTGCCTAACGTAGTAGTGGTAGTATCGAAACATGTTAAGGATTCATACCAAGCTGTGAAAAAATGATAGAGTCGTGCAACTGACTTTCTGATGGAGCACAAGGTTCCAAGACACTCTAGGAGTAGCAGCCTAGTCACTTACTTTAATAAACCCGCAGCGAGTACCATCAATTAAGTAAAAGTAAATCAATCTTTAAACTATCAACTTACTTTGTGGAAAACACCTGGCGCATCCTTTCTGAATCTATCTCGTCTCTCTCTCTGACTACAAGAACTTCCCTGTATTGATTACCTAAAAATCGACTCTGAGAAATCAGGAATACAAGTGCTGTGAATCGTCCATGGAAACGACTCTGTGTCTCCTGAGGAACAAGCTGTCTTCTGTATCAGGTATTCTATGACAGACTCTAACTTTAACACCTAACACCATTAAAAGATCGTTGAAAAAATTCGCCCTGAGTAGATCCGTTGTTCGACATCTGATTCCGGATAGGAAAGTCACAAAAAATTCGCGGAATACACCCAGAGCGGAACATCTCGCATCCGTGACAAGGTGGTCAAGATTCAAAGTAGGCTGGAAGGCATGTGCGTCACTTGATTGCCAGCGAACACGCGCTTGCCAAAACGCAAACACCGGAAGCTTTCGCGCATCGCGAGGCAGGAAAGATTCCCACCTCTCGCTCTATGGTCATAATATTTGGTAAAAACCACTCAGAAGATGGAGATCCATTTCGAACAACAGCCGCACAAAAAGATTTGGACAGTGGACACGTCCACTTCTTCCCTATAATCTTACCAGAAACGTATCTGCATTATTCACTTAGCTTCCACCTAATGAAGATGTTGGAGTTGGAAAAAGATTAAGATGATCTTCAACATACATGATGATGATACAGGAACTCCTGACTTGCTGTTTCTCCATTTGAATAAAGTACTTTCGTTCTTGACACGAGTTCATTGTTAGATGTCCGATATAATGGGCAAACAAACAGGGTCTGAATCCTGCTTGCTTGATAGTACCAATCTCGCCGATGATGAGGATAATACGAGGGGCGACCTCAATATCGAATCAAACTTGAATAAAACATCATCTCCTGCCGATGTTCATGTTGAAGGAAAACTACGGAGAGTCCTTTTGACAGTAGAAGTTTTTCAATTAGGCGCATCGAAACCACAGATAATTTTGAAACACTCGATTGATTGACATCGAAGAGGCATCAACAGGATCAAATACGTACTGCATTCTTCAGTCTAGTAGGTTCATTAGATGTATCATGGAGTAGTCATCAAAAATTGGTTGAGAACATTAGACTGCTTTTCATCAAAATATGATCTTACCACTCACTAACCCACCTGATGGGCGTACTATGTTGTTACCACTCAAACTAGAGTCTACTACGTATGCAAATGCATTTCTGCTTCTCCCACTTTATGAATTGCTCTTAAGCCGCTCGATTAACCGACGCAAAGCCCAAGATCAATAGAGACTTAATGGAGAGAAAAATGTATGCATACAACGTGTCCGTGTCTGGTGCCATTTCGGTGTCGCATCAATGTGCTAATTTCAAGTCACTCTTCCATGCTTTCGTCTTCATCACCGTTATCTTTGTCGTCCGACACATCTTCTTCATCTTAGAAAGACAATGGAATTGGAAATGCCTTTCCAATCGTGGTCACGTACCGGATTGTAATAATTATTAGGTTTCTCTACCCATTCTAGCACCACCTTCCAGTCTGGACCTAACCCATCCTTTGTCCCGGGTGGCCTTGTCAAAGTCGAAAAGCTGAGTTTTTGGTTTTTTTACTCGTCCCCTGTTGTTTTTTCGCTTGTCGCATTTGCTCCTTTGTGACCGTGTCAATGGCCAAAATATCGAGTTCACGGACGCCATATCGTTCACGATGAGCGCGATCTTTTTTCCCACATTATTGTTCAAAATGTGGGTCAAGGTAGAGATTTTTCCGGATCCCAAAAACGTCGAAAGTACCGTGACCGGGAGACGATCTCCATGACCTCTGCTGCTCAACACCAGACTCTTCGTCTTGTGTGCACCCGCAGCGTGTGAGTGGTCGGATACCTTCTGCCGCTTAGCAACTTGTGCCGACATCCTTGTCATGTGTACTTTTGTATGATCTACAAGAATTGCCTAAGACTTAGACCGTTGGTCGTCAAATATCTAATTGGACATTTCTGGCTATATTAATCGTGGCAATTACTCCTTGCTACGATGTTACTTACATCAAGTCCTCACAGCGATATTTGGGTATCATAATGCTGACATAAACTTTACTCCATTTACATTTTGGCGGAGATCAGAGGAAGGTATTCCTGTCCTGAAAGTAGAAAATTGGTGTAAAGGCATTTACCAGCGAATTCCACTAACAACGCCTCCTTCCAGCTGGTAGAAAATCTATCTTCATCGTGCAGGAAGGGGTAGGGCAATAGCAAATTCACATCACACTCAAACAGACCAAGTCCTCTCAAACCATGACAAAAAAGATCCGTAGTATCATCTTGTTTCTCCGAGGAAAGTGGCACGCGTTCTTTTTCACATCTGACGAGATTTCGCTAAAGGAAACATTAAGGACCGAGACGCAAAAACCGTCTTCCAAGAATTGCTGAATCAGTCCCTTTTGCATTTGTGTTGGGTTGATGCTTTGCGGCGTCGGCGACTCAGAATCCAAACATTTGATCTTGTGCGTTGTGGTTGTTCATGTTATCTTGCGTCATGATCCGTTATTGTTATGCGTGTAATGCCACCAAGGGAACACCTATCATGTCTTTGAGGTGAGTGCCCGAGGAACGGAACCGTGTTGTTGGCCAAGAGAAGTCACAAAACGTCGGAAATAGGAAAATCAAAGGGTTCCACTTCTACCCAATGTTCTCAACAGAGGTCCTCCAGATGATCCCGAGATGAAACCATTATTTGATATACCGGCTCTCATCAAGTGTGATCGGTAGAGTGGGATCATTTTCATTTGTGCCGACCAGTACCAGAGCCATACATTTCTTCTAGGAAAACATCAGACGCGAACGGCAACCTGAGCGTATTTTTCGAAAGCGGATGCAAACATGGTCTGTCCAGCTGGCTTGCGAGTGAACAAGTGATCGCTCGCAAACATGGTTTGTTCCTTCTTAGGGGCCTTGACATGGCCGTTCGTCTCTGGCTCTTTCTTTGCTGGAGCCTCTTTCTTTGCCGGGGCGGCGGTATCCGCAGCTGCGGCATCCAAAGAGATAGCAGTATCAACACTGAAATCGACGTACTGGTACCTAGTATTTGAACAAAGAAATCGATACAAGTCGGAATCCGATCTGAAATTTGAAGGAAAGCCAAACTACTCGACTCCATTTTGACTAGCGCGAAGATTTCTGTAGTAGTTGTAGTTCAGAAGAAGTCAAAAGTATCTATATCTAACGACAATACCTTGCCTCTGCACCCGCCTTCTTCATGAAAGCGTCAAGATCTTGGGAAGAGATGCTCGTCGTGAAATCGTTCTGCATTGGATGGAAGAGCATTGTATTCCCCTTAAACTTTGCATCCAACAGCAGTGTCACATCTTTCGCTGACTCGTTGATCATAACGAAGGGATTCACACTACCCTGCGGAATCGCAAGCACCTGTAAATCGATGTTGTAAGATGAAAAAGTACAACTAATGATGATGAAATTCAGCTTCTTTTTCTTTCTGATCAATGACTAGAAGCAAGTTGGAGTGTGGTAGCACCAAAAACAAACAAAATGACCTGTCTGTGAGTATGAGATCCGCACTCGTAGACGAAATTTCAAGCGGGTACGGAAACACAAGTACAATATCTACAAGTCCTCACCTGATCGAAAAGTTCGCTACTTGCCAGACGCAGCGGCGCGCTGGCCTTGACTCCCAGTCGCGTGGACAACTTTTTGTTGTCTACTTCTGTCGCAACACTGGCACAGATGAGGAACATGCGGTCCTTGAGGGCTCCTCCTTTACTCGGGACTTTAAAGAAGAGGTTCTTCGCCTGAATAAAGCCCGTAGTCTTCGGATCGAAGGCAGTGCCGGTCATCGCTTCCGTGTGAATCTCGCATGTTGGGCAGGCGATGTGACCGATGGTTTTCGTTGAGGCCAGCTTCAATTCCTCAAACAAGGCCAGCAGCGCGTCCTTGCTGTACTTCGCCATTTTTCTTGTGGTTTGTGGGGGGATGGAGGTGATTGAGGAATCGAGGTGTCTTATCTATGTACAAAAGAAAAACTTATGTATCTTTGCACAAAAAAGAACGGGACAAGGACGAAAAGGAAATGAAAGAAGAATCTGTATGAATTCTTAGTTTTTACAATTATAAATATATTTATAAGGATGTGCTCTGGAAATAATTACTTATGTACCTCGTATTTGCATTTACAAAATTGAATGAAACGAGCCAGTGTCGCGTACATGTACGACAAAAAGCACCGATTTCATATAAAGTCCACGGGAACGGGCTTGGATCTGCCTTTTGAGATCTGACCTGTAAGATCGAGTGATTGTGATCATGATGAACTGATCACCCTCGCAGTGCTTAATACCCATCCAAATTTCATAGAATGAATGATCAGAAAGATCCTCGTCAGAGATCGGAGGGATCAGGGCATTCTCGATGGTGGATTTCTAATAGAGATCAAAGGTACTTGGCGGCGTTACCTGTCGAGCCGATCAGAAATGCCAAGCACCAGGGACTCCTGAAGCAGCGGAAGACTTTTTCATCTGCCGAACATAGCATTGATTCTTTTACTTACCTTCTTTTCCTGCTCTCAAGACAAGATGTGGAATTATCATCAAGACCAGTTCCTGAAGGTAAAATTCTTAAAAATCTGCCAGTACTAGTTTCATCATTATAATAGGAGGTGGAGGAAGTTTTGAATGTAGCATAGCTTTGATATGTGTTCCAAAAGAGGCCTACGATAGCATCCCACGTGGCCCTAAAATGTGGTGAGAAATGTCGCTGAATCACGCGGAAATTCAAGCAATCGCTGACTGGCCACACAAACCATGATGTCAAAAAAATCTCCGCAAAAGTATCCTCCAGTCTTTGCATGGCCAGACGAGGCACGACACTGTACATGGACGACAGCTTATCATGCGTGGGACGACTAGAAGTCGGGGAATGTTCTTGTTCTACCGTAACAGTTGTTGCAGCAGTGTGGTCCTTGGCCGTATTACTGCTCGTAGTTGTAAATTTTGATAATCCCGTAGGTTTCTCCTCCTGGTCCTCCGACACAAGATTCGCTCTCCGCTGAAGACTTGTCCGATGAAGACGTGCCACTTCGGATTTCAATCGCTCCAGTTCACGGAGAGTCATCCAGGTTGCTCCCGAACAAGAGGTATTAGCATTCTTGGCAAGGTCCTGCTTCTGCTGGTGCTGCTTTCCTTTGTCCGTCTCTATTCCATTATCGATTGTACAATCTAGCTTTACAACTTCAAAATCGGTGACCTCCATGTTCGTCAGCGATTCACCTACCCGTGCAAGGCACACCGGAATCCTAGATCCGCGGTTACGTGCGTCTGAAACGTCCACTGTTTTTTCTTGTTCATGTCCTTGCTGATTTTGCGACTTTTCTTGTTCCGCTACTGCCCGACAAGTAGACGACAAAGCGTCTATGTTCATCACGTGTTGACTTTCTTGATTCCCTGATAATGAAATAATACTTGTGACCACCATACCTGAGTTCGAGACTTGTTCTCCGTGTGAAGGCATGCCCATGCGCATAGCGTAAAGTCTGTCCCAGATGATTTCGTAAAACAGATGAAATGTCGTGGACCAGAAGACATACAAGGCTATGCTCGTTGGCGTCCAGACAAGCTGCATAAACAGCACTTTCGGGACAACGTCGTGCCAAAATCTCTTCACGCTACTCCCGAAAAGAGCGTCGGCTGCTCGGTAGGCGTGAAACATGAAGAAAGGAACGAGAACAAACGACGAACAGGGGAAACGGGGTGTGAAGAAGGTACGATCTCATATTAATCCCTCGAGGTACAATCTCTACTTCTCACTCGGCGGAGCATCAGACTCAGACACGCTGCGAAAAAAAAACTAGAGCGACAGCGATTAGTCCTTTCTTAGTCCATAAAAATGAGTGCTCCATTGCAGATAGGAGCGGCAGACATGACCCCCAAGGTCCGACACGGGTTTAGGCGCTTCGGCTCCGACAAATAATGCACAAATTAGAATCTGTGAAATACTTACCCAATGGATCATGAGTCTCTTCATCGAATGTTAGCCTTAGCGCAGGCCACTTCATACTAATAAACTCGACGACTCCACTTCCAAAAACTTCTAGGCCGCCGTTTGCAAGCGAATCTCGAGTACCAGTCCCTGTTGTAGCCTTGAGCGTCAGGCTTCTATTCGCCATAATCAATGCGGTTCGCCACGATATCAGTAGCCCCGTAGAGATGGATACCAGCGAGGAGGGGCGCGAAGCGTGGATATCGGGTGTAGAATCGCGACACACGACCAGCAGCTTCGGAAAAAACTTTCATACTTTTTCATCAACGAATAGTATCACATGATTCGTACACACACTTTATGTTCATCATACAAGCATTACTTATCGTTGCAGATCAAGCTACAAAATATTACCAATCTCGCTTTGCGTTCTGAATAATACCCTCGATCTACTGTTTCTTCAACAAAAGTATCTAGCATCTTCTTATGACCACGAGTTATAATGCGCGTCTTCCCGTTTTTTGTAATTTTTCTTGAAATTTCGATTTTCATTTAATGTACCGGGTACTTTGTTCTTGTTGATGATGACATACTTCCTACAACGGCCACGCACGCAATCGCGATTACTATCACTAAAAACAAGACTTGACTTTTTATATACAAGTCTATCCACCTTATATCCTATTATCCCTACTATAACGGTGCACATCTTAACACATCACTCATTCATTCATTACTCGCGCAAGTTCTGCGTCGTTTTTTTTTCCATAGGACTACATGCTGCTTCCCATTCAACTACCTACATATCTCCGTAAAAATTTACATACCGGGAGAGCAAGAAGACCGTGTCACAACGGCCAAACCCTAAGACTATCTGAGAGGACTATATGCCAATAGCCTCTGTAGAACAAATAAGGCACAACCTAACAATGTAGGGCCCTAGAAGCAAGTGCGACGACCTGCAAGGGTATTACATGCCTGCTCAGCGTGGAGTGAAGTTACTGACGAAGAGAACCTACTTGAATAAGGGATCACTCACATAACTACACTAGCAACAGATAGATCGGGTAAAAAGAAACAGACCTTGCTAAATACAAACAAACTCTTTTTGGTAACCGTATTCAATTAGATTAAACGGTATCGCCGACCGCTTGATATCTTTGTATAAGTTGCTCAAGCGTTTATTTTGGTTATTTTCGACTTGTACTATCGATATAAGTTTGCGCCTCCTGTTTGATATGCAGATTTGAAAGCCATAGCCAGCCTACCGGTTCGTGAGAAATAGACAAGGGTAGCGAACATCGTACATAAAACTAGACAAGTGAAGAATCGATACTAAGAACGATGAGTAGAATCCAAGCAAATCCAAATTCAAAAAATAGAGGGCTGCTCAGTGCGACAAAAACTACGAGAGAACCCCCCCGCCCGTCATTGGCGCAGCATCGATATGCACCCGCACCGACATGAGACTTTTTTTTTGCTCTACTGGCTAACCAACGACGGTTTCTTTTTCTTGAGTGATGGTGACAAGCATAGCATTGTACTTCAAGCTTCTAATTTTCCTGAAAAATATTGATAGCACAATTCCAAAAGCAAGCAAGGAGAAAGTCTTGGACCGATCACGCTCCTCTACAAAATGTCTACGTTCGTGGTAGAACAAATTAATCATATTAGAAGTATCAAGGTTTCTTTGTTGTATGATGTTATTGGGACGAAAAGCATCCGGACTCTGAAAAAAATCCTATTGAAGCTCGCTCATATTATAATTAGAGAAAGATACGTTGCCCGCTGACCAGCATTCCAGACTAGCCTATTCGACGGACAGAGGTGGCGAGTCTTGCGCACTCACAAAAGAGGCTATGCTGATGGTGAGAACTAACCCGCTGTCCGCCGTAGGCCGAGTGTGGAATGAGGACGTGGAATGGTTCGAGCTTGGAGAGGGTGGGTGGGAGAAGAAAGAAACTCGTATGGTTGAATGGAGCTTTGCGATTGGTTGAATGGAGCCTGGGGAATGGACGGAAGGAGCTTGGAGAGTGGACGAGTGCCCGCGTGTAGGATGCGCGGCCCCCTGCTGGGATGATGGGAAGTTCTCACCGACTCACTCGCTCAGTCCTGCTTAAACGAAAAGCTTCGCTTTCCTCGAAAGCCATAACTTCAATTCGAGCTAACATACCTATCATGAAAACCTTTCACTGATCTGCCAATCCATCGCTGGTATCTTGTCAGTTCTTACACTTTATGCATAGGAGAACTTCGTCCTGTACAGAGAATGATGATCATGCTGCAAAAGAAATAGTAGTACAGCTGCTACACATTCATAATAGTACTGTATCTGATAGTAAGTTGCTTGGTAGTTGTAGAGAAATCACCTCTACTATTTTACGTGAATACCCATGAATACTACATCAAGGAGCGCATCTTTCGAGAAAAGAAAAAAACTTTAACTTGTCAAAAAAAAAACTAGGCGGCCTCTTAGGCAGGAGCAGAAAAGCGGCTCTTCGCCAGTCTCTGAGCCTTCTTGGGGTCGAATTGTACACGCAAGCAGAAACAAAACTAAATGTAACAATGACATAGAAATATTGATGTGAGCATATTATTCTAGTTCGACGCCATTGAATAATTTTCATTCCATTTCCTTACTGTCCACGGCGACGTCAATTCCATCCTCATGGCTTGGCGATGTGAAGTCCTTTGCTTTCTCCCCTCCGAGGGATGTCAGGGCATCTGTAATCTTGTCTACTGTCTTGGCCAAAATTAGACCTCTCCGTGATTCATCTTTCTTGATTTTTTCAGAAAAACGCCGTGAACGGGTAGGGAAATAAGAATGGACACAGATATGAATTAAGAGAATTCTATCCTCCTTAAGAGAAGTTCCCCAAAACCGTCGACGCCGCCTGTAGCTTCTAGTCCGTCTTGTGAAACTTTGGAGAGAGAATCCATGGCACCCTTTACTAAGGCCTGAATCTTTTGCGCGGTTTCTCTACCCTTATCATTGGACTGGATTGCAAGAAACGCGATAGCGTTGACTACCTCATCTCCGTCTATCGTCTCGACTTGTACAGTTTCGTAATTCGAAGGCGGAGGAGGTTCATGAACCGCTTTTGGCTCACGTTCAACATCTTGGCGCACTTCTTCTTGTAAGCCACAGGCACTCGAAACTAGAGGACGGCTCGTGGACGGGCTCGAAACATCTGCTCCGGTTTTCGGTTCCTCAGATACTCGGTGCGCTTCGTCACACTCCTGAAACCGCAAGGCAACATTCGTTAGACCTCATCGTGAGCGAAGGTGAAGCATCTCTTTATTGTCCTTATGCGAGAAATTCAATCAAATATAAAATATACACTTGTACAAGATGAATTAGGACAGGGTGATCTTGCTGCATTACAATCATAGCATCGTGATTATATGTAATGAGTTATATGCGGAGAAGATGGAACCCCAAGCCCAACAACATCAACATATCTGCATTTAACATATGAGAAGATTTCTAGAAAATTATTGGAACAGCACCACACTTACTGAGGGCATGGATCAGAACAAGCCTTAAATCAGAACCGTGCTGGATGTTCACCTTCAACACTGCTGATCGTGCGACTTGCGGCTCCTGCGAGGCGTCAAATTCGATGGCGGTGTCCACCTCAATCTTCGTGCGACCAGCCTTCGCGGACAAATCGTTTATCCCAGCACCAACTTCTTCAGCCTTTGTATCAAAACCCCCTTCCATGTCTGCGAATGCCCTGTCACCCGTCTACTTTAGAAGAAGAATATGCTCCTGAGTACAGACCTGACGCGATGAATCCTGTCTGCGAAGTAATGGGACTGTCGCCAGTGGTCCAGGTACTGCTTATTCACTGAAACTACATCCATTTGCATGCTTGTTTTTACATGATATTCACAGTGGAACGAAAAGAGCCTTTTCCTGTCATAAAAACCAGTTCGAGATGCGTGCTGACAGCTTTCTGAAGGTCGCCCACCAAGGCCAACGACGGCTTAATCGATCATCGTAGAACTTCTTCACCGCCACTTCGTCGCCCCCAAGACCAAACAAGCTCAGCAGCCATGCAGTGTACCAATCTGAATACGTCTTCCGGTACACAGCGTACAAGGTGGACGAGGTGGACGACGACGAGGACAACGACCACGATGGAGCCTCCTCCTGATTTTCAAAAAGGGAAAGGATGCCGGCCACCAGCGGATGTTCCATGAATTTGCGATGACCAACACCCGCTTCCTTCAGCGTTTGCGGCGCACCACTCTTCGCCGCCGCTTCTAAAATTATCCTTTCAAAAGCTGCGAAGACGTTCACGGACTCAAATGACAAAGGGAGCCATCGATTCTTCATCGAGAGACTGGTCGTGGGAGGAGTGGGTTCTCTTTTACTAGTCTCATGCATGAATTGTGGTGGAGCCGACCTAACATGCATGAATGTAAAAAGTTCAAGTTGGGAAACAAGTTGTATGACGATGACTGACCTGAGAAAAAGTATAACTTCTCATATCTGGCGAAGGACACGAAAATGCTGCTTACTCTCTGTTCTACTGCGCAAGAATCGAACGAGGCCCTCTGGGTCTGCGCGCCACACCCCGTCGCCATAGAACAGCAAGAAACGATCATGGGTAGCTTCCTTTGCAGAGATCTTCTCAAACCGAAATCTTAGATCTTCCCCAAACTACTCATCTACAACGGCTTCATAGACCTACTCCCCCAATTCTGGGATGGCACTAGGATACCGACCAATATGGATGTTCGGAAGCCTTAAAATGAGTGCTCTACTTTCGCCAAAGACTTCACTGGACTCGTCCTCTGCGAACGCTGAACGCTTGTGCTCCACGTCATGCACAATGTTGAAGAGGTCCACCCAAAAGTAGAGACCTTTGGCACCGACTGCGAACCCCAATACGCTTTCAGAAACCAAAGAATGCAGGAAGTGATACTCTCTTGGTAACACAGTTGATATCAAAAGCAACGGGACTTTGTGGTCTTGCTTCTGCCACGCTTCGGGGCTCTGTTCTCTCGTCTTTTCGTCGTAAATATCCTGCCTGGACCTCGCCACCGTGATCATTTCCCATACGATCTGCAAGCAATCATCGGCTGCGGTTTTCGCCGATGATGGAACGCTGTTCGGCGAGGCGGAGAAGAAGGAAGAATCGGGGAGCACGACACCCTCCAAGCTAACACGGACAGCGCGATTGCTCTCGGTGTCTACTCCCGCACCCTGTCCATCATTTGCCGCACCGTCATGCTCATCTTTTGCCGCTCCTGCATTATTTTGCTCCATCGTCGACGCGTGTAATCGGAAAACAGTCGACTGAAAGCGAGACTTGAAAAATGCCAACAGAGCGCACCTGGCAAACGGGCTCACCCATCGATGTGGTTTACCATTGGGCTCCTCTTTCATCAATTTTTGAAAGGTAGGTTCGGGCTTGGCTGCGCCGTCCGCGTTGTGCTGAAGATTCTGGTTCTGCAACCAAGAGCGTGCGCTATTCGCTACTTCTCTGCACGACTCGTACGCTTGTTCCCCTGCTTGACGCGTGCCAGATCCAGTCCCAGATGCAGACTCACTTTCGTCGTCGGCTACCCCGAGTGCGTCCTGAATCATCTTCAGCAAGACTGGAAGGATATCCGAATCGCGTGCAAGTACTCCCGCTTGAAGAAGGCCATGCTTGCTGCGACGTAAAAACAGCTCGGATCGCCACAGCTGATGCAAGCAAAATTCCAGCCAAGTGAAGTGGGTCTGCTGATATTCCTCCCACTGCGAAGCGGCCTCTGTTGCTGACTCTTCCCCCTTCTTGGCTGGAAGTGAAAGGATACTTCTTCGCTCGTCACTTTTGTATGCAGATCTGTAGAGGTTTTTGGCATCCAAAAAGGGTGCACCAAAGCTTGATCTTTGACCCGCCTGATCAGACTCCCTTTGCTCGTCGTGGTTAGTTTCGTCATCGAAATTCTCTACCTCGTCATTGCCCATGCTTAGAAGTGTCGCTCGGATCATTGTTGTTCGTGGTTGTTGAAGAGTGAAAGTGATTCCACCTCAAGTTATAAAGTTTTTCTCTTAATTCTTTTAAGAAACTAAGCGGAATTCCTTCGGCGGACTCCACGCGAAATAATGATCGACTACTCTTAACATGGGTGACCGTTGGGGCGCAAAATTTTTCGCTCCGGTAGACCACCATGCGTGTAGTAGCTGTTGGATCACGCTATAGCTCAAGCTCTTCCCTTCTTTCTTACTCCACTCTTCAAAGTGTCGCTCGAGTGTGCTGGGTGCGATCCCTCTCGGCATCGGAAGCAGAAGCTTGTAGCCACTGCGAGGCAAGCGCAACATCGACGCTGCGGTCTGCGGATTCAAAAACCCCAGGCCGACAAAAAAGCCACAAAAATGAAAGCATGGGAGCTTCTTCACACTCACTAGGAAGTTCATTTTCGAAAAGAAAATCTTAGACTAGTCCCGAAATAGGCGTCCATCAATCCATCCAATACATAGAAATCAAACAGTGAAACATTCTGAAAATAACTGTCGTGTAGAGGTACAGCATCTTCATTGAACGTCTTAATTGAAATTTTACTCACAGAGAAACAATAAGCGGTTGATTTCGGATGGGTAAATTCGGTTCCCTCCTAAAACATGAAAGCTCATCGCCTACCTTTCTCTGACCCCATCATAACCACAAGGCGCGCCCGCGCCGTAGACCTCTATAACAATCTAAAACGCACGGAAATCTATGCGATAGATCCAGCCAATGCGTGCTAGAACAACTTACTCTTTACTGCAATTTAATCATCAGCAGGTTGTGACTATGGTCAAACTCATCCAGGCAACTGATTTGTCATAAATGTGCGGCTCGGAGAATACATCGATGGCATAGGCACTTGGGTGCAAAACACTAGGAGTGAAAATTCGCGGTAATTGGCTGACAGCGAAACGCCACTTGAGCGAATCGTCCCGCCGGTCGTGCTGTGCTAGCTCCTGCAACTTCCATGGGAGTGAAAGTGAATACTCTTCACTTCTGAGGCGCAACGACAAAAGGCGCGAGTATATTGGTCGACCCCGCCACACAAATGGGTTTCTAAATCCCTCTAGATGTTGTTGGCCATGCATGCTACCCAAAGCTAGCGTTGATGAATCTTCCAACAAGTTCTTGAATGAGGCTTGGAACTCTATTTGACCATCGCGCCCGTCCCAACCCAGGAGCATCCGCAGCCGAAAGCCCTTCCTCTCAGAGGGGCTTGGCCACCGCGACATCTCATCGTCGCTGCCGACCGCGCTGCTTCTATCATCTTGATCGATGTCGTCAGATATCTGCTTCACAATGTCGCTATACAACCTCTGGAAATCCCGGATCGGTGTTTGCGGATCGCGCACCTCTTCCGGAACCGGAATTGCTCCTGTGTCATATGCTTGACGCACTAAATTCGATAGGCTGCCAACTGGATCCGTAAACAGGGGAGAGAAAAAGTGGTAGATTCCAAAAAGCAACTTCTTGAACGCTCCGGAAATAGCTGCTCCATTTCCGTAATTAGAACTAGGCTCGGGGGATAGCCTTTTGCGCAAGTCGATAAACGAGCTTGCTTCGCCGCTTGACGCGGGCGTGAATGGCGAGCTTGCTCGTGCAGTTGGAGAATAGAAGCTGAGCATCCACCAGATGAGGCAGCCCAAAAAGGTGCTCGTTAAGACCAGGACACCCACGAAGCCCAGGATCGAAACCCAAGACGCGTTCGGCCATTTTGATAAAGCCGTCCTCGGGAATCTAACTCTCCACTTCGAAGACAAACAGCTCAGTAGGCATCTAAAGCAACAGCCGCTCAATTGGTTAAAATATTGGCGAACTGCAGACAGCAATCCGCGCACCCCTTTGCACCACCTCGCGCGCCGCTTTCGATCAAATGCACGCCTTGCTGCTGCGCGAGGCGACGTGAGACCCCGCATTCTTAGAAGATCAAGGTTTCCGTCCTTTTTCTGATCATTTCTGGCCTGTTTTCCCCTTGAAAACAGAGGACCAAAAAATGCAGATATCTTCTTTAAGTATTCTTTATTCAAGTCAATGCTTAGCTACGTCATGCGCGTGCCTCTGATATCGTCTTTCTTGACGAGGACCGTAGGGTTTCTATCTGAAAATGATCACGACAAAGCCGCGACATTGACAGCATTTACCCTGCTTAGTTTTAGTTACCTCGGACGGAATATTATTCAACGCCCTAACGTATACATAGGCAACAAGGGACTTCCTGCAGGTACGAACCTGCGCAGCGCATGCTCCGGGGATGCTATGACTTCGAGGTGAAGCGCATAACAAGTTGTCAAAAAGTCTATTTACCACGACAGCGGCTGAACATTGCAGCTGCGAAAAAGAACTTCACCATACATGTCCCACCTGTGTCAAAGAATTCATCAATCTCACGATCAAAATAATAAAAAAATGAGTCGTATCTCTTTCTTGCCATTTATCCCAGATATGCTTGAAATAGTTTAAGTTTTGTTCAGCCTTAGAGAAAGGACTGCCAGAAACCGGAAGGACTTCGTTTTTCCGACGATTTCGTCTGCGCTGGTCCGGGAACCCTCTGATTCTGATTTCTGCTAACCGTGGAGAAATCCGAATACCCAACATTCAGCTTCCTCGAAAAAACTGTGTCTGTGTCTCTTCTATTCGTTGTCCGGAACTCGTCCTGACGCCCGGCCCTGGCTCCGAAGTGGCGATCTGTCAGCAAGAACAACGATATGAACATTCATTGATTCTAGCATATTCAACAAAAACTACAACATGCATCAATGAACTCTTCATGCCAAATGAAAAAATTTGTCGAACTGTATCTTCGTTCTAACACAACTAGACCCACAAAAGCGCAAAATCCCTCTAGCATTCACTATCGCATTCTTGATAAAACAAAATTCCAAGTCCAATCTGAAAAATATATTTTCTATTACAAGTACTCCACACTGCATAAGCAGGTAGTACCTCTTGTTGTAGTTGTCCCCTTGTCGTTATGACTAATAAGAGGTTTTGCAGAGCTTTCGTTTTCCTGCATCTCAAGATAAATGGGTCGGAGAGGGCTATTCTTGGAAAGCGGGCTTGGACGCGGCGAGCCCGAATAAGGTTTTGTCGGCGTTCGTGAATATCTCGATTGATCGTTCGATGTTCTTGTTGTTCTTGTGGCAGATGATCGCGATCCAGGAACGAACTTATTCCTACACACGTGGTCCGGCGTTGCAGAGAGCCCGACCTTGTTACTGTGGCCCGGTGGACGAGCCTCTGGCGACGAGACGTACTGCTGTGTCGCTTCATTTCTAGGTGGAGGATCACGCCGAAAGACACAGCTTTCTATCTTACTTACAACTGCACGAGCAGTTGCACGAGAAGCAGAAAGTAGCGAGTCGCGGTAAAATCGGCTAGCCGGAGTATCAACATTTCGAACGTTGCTGTGCACTGATGCAGGGCACAACTGAGCCGTCCCATACGCAGAGGCGGATTCAACTCGTGCTTTCTGCGGATCAGTCGTTGCATTCTTCAATGCTGAAAATGACACACCAGGACGAGGAAGTGGCGGCGATTCCGTCTTTCGATGCGAGTGCTGTAACGTCTTGTGGGCTTTGCCCCTGCTCGGATAAGGAGTGCCTTTGGTCGTTTGGACGGGAGTCGAAGGGGCCGCTTCTCCTTTAGTTGTCTGATTGTTACTGCTGTTATTGCCACCTCCTGATCTTTTTCCTCCTTCTGCCAGCCCATCACGACGTTTGCACCACCAGTCCCGCGTCCCACCTGCATGATCCTGATCGGTCGTGCTGCTCGGACGCGCATTCTCGAGTGAAGAGCGCTCATCCAATGAAGATGTGGAACTGGGAGTGCGCGCGGATAATAAGCCCCGCCCGCCCTCTTGCACAAGTGTCCCTCCGCCGACGGAATTAGCCGAACGCGGAGCAACTTCGCTGCTGGAAGGAGGACGCCCTGCCTCACTCTCACATTAGAAGGATGAGCCAATTCCACCCACATCAACTGTTTTTCTATCCTACTGCAAAAGCAAAAAGAAAAACATAAAATATCGTCCTTGCTACTATTACCACTTATCGCACACCTACATATATTTGTTGCAAGCACATGTAACATATTTTTCTATCTTCTATATTCGTTTTCCGCGACGTCGTAGATCTCGTCGACTTCTGAATTTCAATACATCTTGGATCTTCTTGCGTAACACTCCCAGAGTAAAAATTAATACTAAACTAAAACTATCAGCCTTAAAGTTTCCGGCTCGAATATGCCTTGCCCTTCTTTTTCCCACTCGCGGTCATTCTTTTTCGGAGCGCAGCATGCTTGAAGTGCGACCTACGGGGTTTTTCGCCTCACGTTGCTGGACCCGCCCTCCCAGCTGAGCATCACTCAGCATCGTTTGGACATAGATTGTATGAAGATGTTCATCGCGACGAACCAAGTCCTGCTTTGATCTTCTGAACTCAGTCATGCATGACACGCATCACAAGCACACACAGATTCTCGAAGCCATAGCGGTTTGCTGGATGCAGCTGCTGTAGTCACAATACAATACTTCTACTTTTTTCGTGGCAGATTTTCCAGGTTTTCAAGACAGCAAAAACTCATACTATCATCTCCACTCCGATGTCTCGTAATCACTCAAAGAACAGGAGGCAATGTTGTAATGGATTTCAAAGCCACTCACCGTCTCATCGGCGGTCTTCAATCTCTTAGTGTACAGCTTCGGCACGGGGATCGATGGTGTGTGGTAATGGGTCTCATTTTGGACAAAGTAGATCTATCAACAAGTTACAGAATTGTGGCAATCTTCAAGCTCATGAGGTAGAGAAGGAGCATTTTGACCTTCACCTATCGTGGGGATCAGTCAACATCATAGGCAGATCATATTGACCAATGAGTGACAGACCCCTTCAATTTCCCCGCGGCTCATCGGCTCCCTTCCGACGTCACTGTAGCGTGAAGGAGCAAAGTCTGACCTTCGGCGTGTGGTGGATGGTCTACAACCCTAATCCACAGGTGTCTCCGAATCATCCTCATGTGTCCCAAAACCACTCTTCCTCCAAACTTAATCGCCACTAGTTGGTGCTGTTGACTCGAATCTTATCGGGCAAGCCCGCTCTCTGCGGAAATAGCTTTTCGTATAAGAACACCAGCGCTTCTTCACTCGATAAGATTGCCTCGATGTTTGGAGGATACCTGATCACAAAAATGGCGCGACACAGGTCTCGTCGGGCAAGGCGAAGAAATTCAAATTTTGATCACAGGAAAAGCGAACTACAATTCAGTTTAAGTGCTACTACTTTTTGTTCGTAGTCGAAGGGAGAACAAATACCTTCCTTTTCCCAATTGTTTCCTGCTCTCGTCTATGCATTGTAGAAAGAACTCCTCGAGCCCGCTTTTGCGGGAGAAGTGGTCGGCTCGTGTACTCCTCAAGGACCTCGCTCGCGCTTGCTCTTCCCGCAAAGTCTCTTGTAGTCGTCGCGAATTAGAGTTGTGACGGGCAGACAGGGAGAAAACCAAACCAGTAACAAGAGGTGAAGAAATAACTTAGAGCAGCCAAAAAACTACTGAGATTGCCCAGTAGTTTTTTCTGGCTGCTCTACCTTATGAGTGAACCCACTACCCCCAAAAATAAATTGAGATCTAAATATAACCCCTTGCGAGATTTTAATATTCCAAAAAGAAAAAGTCGACAATCATAAGGATAGCGTCCACGTATGCCAATTTTTCAAGATCCGCTGCATGTGGTGCCTTGTTCGCTGCCTCTGCAGCATCCTTTCCTGCCTTATGCGCCTCTTGGTTCTCTTGATCTTTTCGTAGCGCAACCTTCATTTTGATGCGAGAGATAGTGCGCGTTGAAGACGAGGAGCACTCGCGATCGCATTCGATTGTAGAATATTTTCTTCTCCCGTTACATTTGTAGTTATAGTGACAAGATACATACATCTACAGTACAAAAGTAATGGCACAAAGGTAGCCTACCTAGCTAATAAACAAGAACCCATAATTGCACAGAAACAAGTACTTTTGTGCTCGCTTGTGCACGCTCCACCGCAGCTTTCAAGACTTTGTTTTGCCTCTTTGCTCCTTTGATCTGATCCTCCAAAAAGTACCGATCCTCCTCTAAAGCCTCCGCCTTCGCTCGCCATTTATCTACCTCCCGCTTGTGTTGCTTACACAACTCGTCAAGTCGCAAAGCCTCAGTCATAAACCACTCCAGTTCCTGGCAGTAGAGGGCGTTGTTCATATTGGGAGATTCTTCTCCTTCTAAATCTAAGGACGATAATCAATAATTGAAACCTGGCCTGCTGGTCATCCGGTAAATAAAATATGAAGATATCTATAGTTGCATGTCCAAATACCTATGCTGAAATAATAATAAGCCTGAGGAAGGAATTTAGACGGTTTAGATTCGATGTTGAACCTTTGGAAGTAATTATTGGATAATCGCGCTAGCTCTAGTAACAATTCGTTCGACACTTGGACCAAAAGAAAGGAGCATCAGAGTTTGATCAGTCGACTTTATTCAGTGATCTTGACGTGCCTCTGATTTATTGTTGCACGGGGTAAGCCTAGATTTGTAGAGGTGAAAACTAACCGGTGTATAGCTCTATATATTTTATGAAGATGAAATAATAAATATCAATATCGGCCTTCAAGATACTTTTTCCAGAGACTGGATTTTCGCATCGCGCCTGGTCTTTAGCACTTCCTCGTCAGCTCGTTCTTTCAATGCTCGAAACTCCCTTTGAATCTGGTACATATGCGTCTTGTACGCAAGAAAGGATTAGAGTAGTTATGATGTTGCTCTTGTTCAACATGCTGTGATTAAGATTAAGATTAAGAGATTTCTGGCTTGCGACAGGCAGCGGCCAGGGCTCCAGAAGTCTGGGCTCAGAAAACATCTGACACGACTGCCGCCAGGTGCAGCCTAGTCCTTTGTGACCCCTTTGACCACATGTATGAAGTATCATTCAACAAGTGCTCTCGCCCAAGTGGCAGCGACATTAGGAAGATATTCCGGAGAATAGACCCGTCTAAAAATGTTTCCCAAAACCCATCACCGCCTCATCCACTCCATGACACAGGAGCATTGTGAAAATAAGTACATGAAGATACACTTTCCTACTCACCCGATAGTGTATGATGTAAGTATGGAAAACTCTACTCTATGACGGACACGGACACACAAAAATGTCAAAAAAAAACTATATTAAGTCTTCAAGCCTTAAAAAAAATCTTTCTCATGTTCGGAGAGCAGTGTCGAAACTGATACGTCCAAGTTCTGCGCGAGGCTCTTCAGTTTGTCCGCGAGAGAAACTATCCGGGGTCCAGCGCCCGGAACGGATGCTAGAACGAGCTTCTTCTCCTTCACGGACGTCAAAAACGTATCCCCTCCTAAGCCTGCCATGGTGGTTTTTCTTGTTTTTTTGTGAGGTGTACATTAAAGATGAAAACGATACTTATTATTGATGTAACTGATGGATTAATCGATCAAGTCTACGTAGTCCTCACAAATCACGACAAAAATGAGAACACGATTTAATGATCTCCAACAAAACTCGAACTGCTACTTTGTTTCTTCTTTGTCATCGTTTTCTTTTACTTGGCCGAGAGGACTTTGGAAAAGCTCTTTTGCCAAACTCCTCCTCCGCAACTTTTTTTCCTACACTTTAGAGAGATACGCGAACCAACTGCTATCTTATGGGTAATGGAAATAGTTTTCTCCCTCGCATTGATCGAAAAATTTTCCTACAGAAAGCCGTGAAAAAACCAGCCTCGGGACACTCCTGTCCCGATTTTGTCTGTGACGTCGTCGCTCGCTCTTCCACCGTCACTGCATCACCGATGTAATGGTCCGAAGGCGCGGCACACTTTTAGATCGACCCATCCTCATGTTCGTTGAAGGAGGCCACACACCAAGAGATAGTCACCCACAACCACCCCGCAGGAAGTGGTCGCGGAGCCGTGCTGATGAAATCCTCCTAGAAGAGATATCGATTCTCATCCTTCTCGTGGAATCTTGCTCGTAAGGTGGTCGTAGTTACCACCACTTCAAACTGTAATTGTAAATACCGCAGCACGGACTCTTGTTCATATCAATCTTATTGGCTTCTCACTGACCATCTTCATCTGTGAACGTCAAAGCTCGCCTGTCTGAGAGAGAAAGGAATCATGTTTTGAAATCACTTGATTCGGCACTTAGAATACTCAGCAGAAACAAGGAGGTCCATCTTCACCCCTATGAAGATGTAATGCATACCAAGGTTACTTACTACGACTTCGTCGATATCGTAGCACAGAGGAATGAATGTGGTGGATCAGTCTCCCTGTGATAAAATAGCTCTCCCATATGAACAGAGTGTTACTCGTAAGATGACATCGAATGTTATAGAGGAAGCATTTTGCTACACTATAAGGTTTCTGCAAAAACGTGCGAAAAACTGCGAATCATATCAAGCATAAGTAATCGTTTTCATGCGCAAGCGCACCAAATAAGGATTTGAATCATAAGGGAATAAAAATTGAAAGAATTGAACGGCAATCCTTCATCTGTTATTTTCGAAATCATCGTTGAAGTAATTACAGTAAGCTTGTAGGTAATGTAACTGTAACTGTAACTGTATTTTCGGCCTGGCTTTTTACGCACAAAAAAAAAATAGTGATTCCCGAAGCAACTTCTGCTAAAAGTACTTGGTCGACGTAGTTCATCTTCGTTTGAGTCTCCGTACACATAAGTACAACTATCGCAGATGAAGTCTCCTCAAAACTAGCAAGCAGCCTATTCCTGCAACAAATTTCGTATGATGGGTCCTTTCCGAAAGGCGGTCGAACGAGTAGAGGAGCCTCTATCAGGCAAGTCCAGGTCATCGCGCGCAGAATATACCTCTTCATAGGACTCGAACGCGTTTGGATCGTCATTTTCCAAAAAAGCGCTGTCGGAGCCACCACTTCCAACACGGTGGCGCTGTTGGTGCTGATGTTGACTCGTAGATGTTGCAAAACCAGTGGTTCTACTGTTGTTCGTTGCACCTCCGCGGGGTCCTCGCGTGTTGAATCGTGCAGTGTTATTATTTGCGCGTTTTGTGGCGGATAGATCAGAAACGCTGCGTGAGCGATCTGCGTTTTCAATCTGTCGAAGCAAACCGTTCAGATCATGACTTTTGTTCAGCATATTCTCTGTCTGCCGCTTGGAGGGCGACGCTGGTCGCGATGCTCCTCTTTTACCCTGTTGTGACTGAAACGACGCGTTCATCTGTTGATCCTCAACGTCGCCGGCCGCAGGAGACTGTTGTGATTTGACATGCTGAATCTCTCCAGCCAGTGCATGCTTCGCTGACTCTAAAGCGTCCTTCTTCCATCGGAACTCTAGTTCCTGCTTCTGTCGAGTCACGTCCACTGCTTGTTCCCGCTGTCTGATCTCGCGTTCACGAGCCTGAAGTTTTTCGACTCCCGCCGCATACTCCGCTGCGCTCTTCTCTTTCTCCTGTTCCAGTGCCTGTTCCTTCTCGAACAAGGTTGCCTTTTCAAAACGGACGACTTCTTGCTCCAACTCGAGTTCGGCCTTCAGTTCACGGTAGCGCTGCAGTTCCTCCGGCGTGCCGTCTCCTAGCGCTGCGACGCGCTCGAGCAGCCGTTCCCGCTCTAGCTCCCACTCGCGACGCTCGCGCCGCTGGTCCTCCGCACTGCTCTCTAGCTGTTCGCGCTCGGCTGCTACTGTGGCGCGCAGCGACTCCAGCTCACTGCGCTCATCGGCGAGACCGCGCCGTTCGTCGACCAGACGCGTCGCTGCCGCTGCCTCCTCGGCTTCCAACTCACGGGCACGGGACTGTAAACTTGAGCGTTCGCTCTGGAATTGCTCCCACTCGGCTACAGCTTTCTCGTACTTTTCTGAGAAGTCCGCCTCAGCTCGACGCAGCTTCTCTTCATCCTCGGTTAAGAGTGCACGCACGCGCTCCTCCTCACCGCGGATTTCAGAGCGCATATTTTGCTCTTGCTGCTCGAGGTCTTCACGTAATCGCAACTCTTCTTGCTCGAATTCAGAGCGTAACCGTTCCTCCTCTTTAGCGAGCTCCTCCCTTAAAGCCTGCTCTTCGTTGGCTACGCGATCCTCTCTTTCCTTCACAGCTGACAGATCTGGGAAAGGTTCATTTGCAATTCGATTGAGCTTAGGAAAAGGGCTACGTACTAGGAGCAAATGTTGAATTAAGGGGTCTCAGATATTTAAAAACTTTAGCTCTGCTATCACGATGATGTGTACCTTCCGTAGCTTTTTCTTCGTTCTTTCTGGCGCGTTCCTCACGATCGGAGAGGAGTTCTTGTAAGTGGCGTTCACGCTGCTCGTATTCGCGCACTAGTTCCGTTTCTCGTGACGTAAACCGCGCCTCTGCATCCTCGCGTGCCCTCGCTAATTGTTCGCGCTCGATCTCTAGAGTCTCCAGCAGCGACCGCCGCCTGCGCTCGCCCTCCATCTCTCGCTGCTCCGCTGTCGCGGCAGCCGTGGCCCGCCGCGCTTCCCACTCGTCCGCTAGGGCCTTTTCTCTCGCAGCCAAGTCTTCCTGACGGCGGCGATACTCGCGCTCTCGCTCCTCCTCTTGTACCCGACTATGGGCTTCGAGTTCCTGCCGTCGGCGGGAGAGTTCGACCTTGTCTGAATCTGTTTTGGCAAGAAGCTCCTGTTCCCGCCGCCGCCATCGCTCCTCAAAGCTAGCCTCCATCTGCTGCACGCGCTGCTCCAACTCGCGCTCCTTACTGCGATTCAGGCTCAACAGCTCTTCTTCCTGAAAAGATTTTTCATATCAGAGGATGAACAAGTCTCATGAAAGGTTGCAAGATGAAGAACGGACCAACGAGGAGGATCGTTTTTTAGTCGTATGAAGCTCTATCACCTGCATCTTCACCTTCATTATCCTCGTTGAAAAAGTAGAGTCATCCTAGAAAATGTCATGTCTGGATAGTCAAAAGAGGATTACCATTTTTCGTCTGCGCTCGTCTATTTCGCCTTCTTTTCGACGGGTCTGTTCCTGCATCTCGTGGAGGTCATTGCTAAAGCTTTTTTCGAGGTCCAAGCGTTTTCGCGTGGCGTCCTCCTCAAAGCGTCGCCGCTCTTCTGCCAGCGCCTGTTGTTTCTCCTCAAATTCCTGTTCAAGCTCGTTGCCGATGCGAAGCAGCTCTTGTTCGCGACTAGCAAGGAGCTCTTCCATCTTCGTTTCCTTCAGCTGGTACTCCCTCTGCAACTCGGCTCTCCAGCGTTCCTCCCCGCTTACATGGTCGCGTCGGGCACGCTCCTCGCATTCCCGCTTTTCCACCTGGAACCGCTGTTCTAGCGTGTTCTTAAGAGCGAGCTTATCAGTCTCAAATTCCCTTTGCAAGGCTTGTTTATCCGCGTCAAATTGGCGTTGTAACGACTGCTTGTCGACGTCTAACTGCCGCTGCCACGCAGCCTTCTCGTCTTCGAGCCGCAGCCGCTCGGAGTCGAGCTGCTTGTGGGCCTCCTCTATTTGCGTTTTGCACTGCTGTTCGAGCATCGCTTCCTTCAGTTTCCACTCCCGGTCCATCTCCTCTGTGACACGAGCAACATCTTGTTCCAACTCCTGTTCGCGCAGACGGCTCTTCTCCTCGACTTCAGCACGTACTCGCTCGCTGACAACACGTTCGTGGGCTGCTTTCTCGAGATGCGCAGACTCCTCGAGTCGGCTGCGTTCGGCACGCATGTCCAGCTCTAGGCGGCTCCGCTCCGCCCGCAGCTCTTCTTGCTGCGCAACCTCTAGTCGCTGCCGCTCCTTCTCCAAGGTCTCTCTGTGGCGCTCCTCTAGACGCGACGACAGATCCGCCTCCGCCCGCGCGCGCTCGGCGGCTGCCTCGGCCTCAAGCCGCGCTCGCTCCTGCCGCAGCTTGTCGTTGAACTCTAACTCTAGCCGGTGTCGCTCCGCTCGCGAGTCGTCCTGCAAGGACAAGTCTAATCGGTGGCGCTCGGCTCGCGATCGCTCCGCGAAATCCAGCTCTAGCCTATGCCGGTCTGCACGGCCTTCTTCTTCGAGACGCAAACGCTCCGCGCGCACCTCCTCCTGCTGTAGGAGGTCTAGCCGGTGCTTCTCCGCTCGCAGTTTCTCCGCATACTCGCTTTCCACGCGGTGCTTCTCCGTACGCAGCCGGTCGGCAAGCTCCGTCTCCGCTCGTTGAGCTTCCGCAGTCTCGAATTTCGAGAGCTTTTCCGCACTTTCCGATTCCAGCCGGAGCCGCTCAGTGCGCAATCGGTCAGAGAACTCGCTCTCGAGGCGCTGCACCTCTGTTCGCAGTTCTTCGGCTTGTTGCGCTTTCAGCCGCCGTGTCTCCTCTCGCACGGCGGCGCTCACGGCATCGTTCTTTTCATTCGAGAGACGAAGTGCTTCGGCCCGCAGCCTCTCACCATGCTCCATCTGCAAACGCTGCTTTTCGACCTCACAAGCCGACTCGATGCGCTCCCGCTCAGCCCGCCAGGTCTCTTCGACCTTTTGCCGCTCTGCGCGCAGGGCCTCAGCATGAGCCAGTTCAGCTCGGTGCCGCTCCCCACGGATAGCTTCTCATATGAAGGAACAAAGGGAAGAGTTCAAAATCCGCAGATGAAGAGGTAGATGTGGAAGAAGAACTATTTCTCTAAACGTCCAGCTAAAAAGCATCAAGCACGTTTTTTGCCTAGTACAACAGCACTCGATCGAATGACACAATCAAACACGAAGATAGACTATGACAATCACATTCATTCGTGAATGCTTAAAAACACTCCATCAAGAAGTGTAGTCGGGTATCTACTATCATAACAGCTTTTTCCCAGTCGAAGCGGTCTCTTTCTGCTTTCATACGATCCTCTAGTCGCTGCTTCTCGGTCTTCAGATTCTCTGCTTGATCCCGCTGGAGCTCCTTCAGCCTCGTGTCGTAGTTCGCCTGCAGCTGCTTTGCAGCAGCTTGCTTCTCCGCCTGCAGCTTCTCGCCAAGCTCCCGCTCGAGGTCTAACCGCTGCCTACTCAGTGCCAAGCGCTCCTCGGACAGCTCGGACGCAAAGATGTTCGACCGATTCAGCATGTCCGACTCCACTTCGTTGATGCGAGTGCGGTACTCCTTCTCTAATTCGCGTTTCTGAGTGTGGACTTCGTTCTTCTCTTGTTCAAGCTCAGATTGCCGCTGCCGAAGGTCTCGCTCAAGCTCGCGACGTGTCTTCGCAAGCTGTTCTCTTTCGCTTGCGACCTCCTCACTTCGCAGGCGCTCGACTTCGGCGACGCGCCGATCGGCCTCCTGCTTCCAGCGCGCGCGCTCAGCTGCGGCACTTTCAGCGTGCTCCGCTTCCAGCCGCGTCTGCCGTTCCGCTAACTGTCTTTCCAGTTCGAGGCGTTGCCGATGTACGCTTGCGCGCTCCTCGGAGAGCTCACCAGTGATTTCTGAGGACTTTCTCTCGAAATCCGTGGCCATTTGCGCGAGTTTCTCGCGCAGCTCAGTCTGCATCTGCCGCCGTGTCTCTGCAACAGCGGCACGCTCGCTATCCAGCTGCGTTTCCAGCTCGTCAACACGCTTTCGTAGAGTGTCCTCCACCTGTCGACGCTGGCGGGAGACGGAATCCCGGTCGGCGTCCAGCTCAGCCTCGCGTGCGCGCAAAGCGGCCTCCCACTCACGCTTTTGCCGTGCAGCGTCTTCTCGCTCTGCAGCCAATGTGCTCTCGACCTCAGCGAAGCGGGAAGAATACTGAGTTTCTAACTCTTGCTTACGCCGTGACAACTCCTCACGCGTCGACACGCTCTCGGCTTGCAGCGTCTGTCGCTCACGTTGAACCGCATCTTGCCGTTTGCGGAGTTCGCTCTGGTCACGCTCGAGTACTTGTGTAGCCGCGTTCCTTGCGTCCGCTAGCTCGCGCTCCGCCTTGCTCCGAAGCTCTGCGCGCTCCCGAGCCTCGCGCTCAGACGCCTCCTTCGCCATTTTTTCCGCACGCTCAGCTAGCTGCTGCTCAACTGCGGATCGCTGCACGGCTAGACTCCCAGTGCTGTCCGCTTCCAGCTGTGCGCACTTCGCCGCAAATTGCTGCTCCAGCTCCTGCTTCCTTCGTGTGAGCTCCTCTTTCGCAGCCGCCTGGACCTTGTCGGCTTCGAAATCAGCAGTCGCAATGCGGTCTCTAAGATCTGCTTCCAGCTGACGCCGTTCTGTGGATGCAGCAGCGCGCTCCGAAGCTGCCTCGTCTTGGAGTTTGCGGCCCTTCTCCGCGAACTCACGCTCTAGTGCGCGTGTTCGTTCCTGTAGAGCGGACTCACCATCGCTGCGGAGCTTTGCGAGCTTCGCGCGCTCGCTGCTGGCGGCACTTTCGAGATCCTCGCTACGCTGGGCTAGAGCTTTTTCAAGCTCCAGCTTCTGACGCGACAATGCCAGTCGCTCCTCGCTCAGCTCTGTTGTAATCGCCGCTGATCTCCTTGAGAACTCCTCCTCGAGCTCAGCAGCCCGCGCTCGATACTGTTCCTCCAGCTGCTTGCGTTCTGTCGCGAGCTTGTCGCGCTCCCCCGCGACCTCTTCAGCGAAGAATTTCTGCTGCTCCGACACCAGACGCTGCTTTTCGGCCACTAATTCCCGAGAGAGCCGCTCAGCCTGCGCATCGCGTCCTGCGACAAACTCCTCCTTCTCACGCAACTCTGCCTCCATCTGCTGCAGTCTTTTCTTTTCGCCAGCAGCGGCCGCTTCCCTCGCTTCGACGTCGCGAGACGACTTCGCCAAGAGATCCTCACGCGCCTCCAGCGCCCTTTGCAACTCCTCTGCACCTGCGCGACGCTGCGCTAGCGCCTTTTCTTCTTCCTCGAGGCCCCGCCGCAGCTTCTGCCCCGCCTGTGCCTCACTCTGGAGTTCGCTGGCCCGCATCTCCAACTCTGCGCGCCGTCGCAGCGTTTCCCTCTCCGTCTCCTGTTCAGCACGAGCTAACGCGCGCTCCTTCTCATGCAGCGCGCGTTCCTGGTCTGCAATCTGCTCTTTCTTTTCGGCCAACTCTGCCTCCATTGCGCTCTTGCGTGCATCAAAGTCAGCAATTAGCTTTTGCTGCGACTCGCTTCCTTTGGCGAAAAGCTCTGCCCGCATCGCGATCTCGCGCTGCTCCAGCTCCGCCCGCAACTGCCAATGCTGCTTCTCCAGAACCAATGAAACAAGGAGTAGTATCTAAGGATGTTTAAAAGTCTAGCTGGCGAAGGTGGTGTCGAGGAAGTCTAAGTAAGTACACATAGAAACGTTCGGGGTGTGAGTGAGACTTGATCAAAAGACATTGGCATCCACATGTAGTCTTTCTCGGCGGGAAAGAAACAAGAAGTTAAAGAAATAATATTACCAGTTTAGCCAACGTGGCACTAATCACAAATCAATGTAAAATATCGAAAATTGTGATATTGGTCCAAAAGTTCATATCTCTTGCTCCTTTTCTGCGAGCGCTCGCTTCCGTGCTTGGTCCTTTTCGGCGAATTCGAGTTTGAGCACTTTTTCCATCTCTTCCAGCTCGCCAACGCGCTTTTTCTCCATGAGTTCTGCGTCTAGTCGCTTCTTGTCGAGAACTTCTGTACTTTCCTTGAGTGCGGAATCCTTGCGGTCCTGCTCTGCACCGCGCAGCTCCAGTTGTTCGCGCTCTGCCTGCAGTTCACGTTCTATCTCCGCTTTGCGCGCTTCGAGCAGAGCCTCCTTCTCGGAAATTTTCGAAGCCAACTCACTTTCCTTTGCTGCGACACGTTTTTGAAGAGCCTCTTCGCTCTCTGAGAGCTCAGCCTCGATCCTCTCCTTCTGTGCTTGCAACTGCGCCTCCTTGGCAGAAATTTTGTCTCGCAGCTCCTGCTCCTTCTCCAGAATCTTAGCCTCGAGTCGCGCTTCCTTGGAGCGAAGCTCCTCTTCACGCCGCTGCCGAGCAAAAGTATGAAAGAGAGCTGTGTACGAAGCAATGTAAACGTTGGCTGGTTATCAAAATGCAAAAGCCACAGAGACAAAGAACAGCTTTTTTACTAAATTTCTAGAATCTACTGCAACTTCTAGCTTTCAGATAGGTCGGACCCTCTCAAAAATAATTTTTGCATGTATCCTACAGATTCTGAAATATTTTTTCCGTTATACTTGTAACAGACTGTATTTGAAGCGTGAATTGCGTCTAAGTAATTGATCTTCTATGAACAAGGTGTGCTGTGATCAGCTCTAACCATACACTTCTTCCCTTCCGGCGCGACGCTCTGTTTCTTGTTCACGTTCTGCTGCTTTCTCCGCGAATTCTGACTCTAATTTCGCTCTCTCCCGATTTAGACCGTCGATCAACTCACGTTCGCGCTGCTCTAGACGGGTCTCCCTCTGCTTGGTTTTCTGCTGGAGCTCTGCCTCGAGCTCGCTCAGGTTGCTCCGCAGGTGCTCCTCACGCTGCTGGACCCGCTCGGCCCACTCGGTGTCGCGCCTCTGGCATTCTACGGCAAACTCCTCCTCGCGAGCACGCAGTCGTTCACGCTCTGCAACGATGCCTGCGCGCTCCTCTTGCAGCTCTGCCTCTTGGCGTTTGAGCAATTGAGCCATTCGCTTCTCCTTACCCGTGAACTCCACTGCCACCGCCTCTTCTCGCTCCCTCGCAGCCTGCTCTCTTGCCGCAGCCTCCTTACGCGCCAAATCCAACTCGTTTTGCTGCTGCAGTAGTTCACCGCGAGCAGCCTGAAATTCATTTAATGGTCGTGTTGAAGTCGTTTACTTGGTCGTCCCGTTTTCAGGGTGAAAACAAAAGCGCAAGTCATGCCAGGTCCTGCTACGAACGCTGTAGACGGATCCAAAAAGTCGTTTCGATGAGAGCCCCATCAAGTGCGAAGTACGTAGAAGTGCTACTCTATGTATTGTTCGCAGGATAAGCATCAAATCACTATCATAGCAAGAGTACCTCGAGCTGCTTTGATTCTTGCTCGAGACTCCGACGGGTTGTCTCAACTTCAAGGGATAAAGCTTCCACCTCACTCTGTCGCCGGTGTTCTACCGCTGTCGCTTCAACCTGTGTATTTCATGAGCCACAGAATTCTTGGGCTTGGATGTTGATAATCAAAGGAAGGGCAATACTCTTTTCTTAACTACTACTTACAGGGTCTATAAACCTTCTACCATCACTAATCGATACGCATCCATGCATACCTGTCGCCTCTCCCAGGATTCTTGGGCCTCCTGCTCTCGTCGCGCGATTCGATCCTCCTGCTCCTTCATTCGCGCGGCCATCTCACGCTCTAGATCCTCCTTTTTCGCGTCAAATTCACGGAAGAGTCGCTGTCGCTCCGCATCGAGCGCAGAGAGCTTCTCTGCGTGCGCTTTGTCCGTGTCTGCCGCGGCCGCCTCGAACACGCTCCGGGTGCGCTCTTTCTCCTGCTCGAATTCGAGCCGCATCTTTTCGACCAGCTTCTTCTCATTCTCGACTAGTCGTTTCTGTTGCTGCAGCTCGCCCTCCAGAGTCTTCTTTTCGGCTTCAATCTCATCAAGGTTGCGCAGAAGCTCTTTCTCGGCATCAATTTTCTGCTTGTCGAAGAGACTCCTTTGCTCCTCGAGGGCAGCAAGTTGCGAAGCTAGTTCTGCACTCTTCGCCTCAAGCTCCGCGGCTCGGTCTCGCGCATTGGCTTCTGCCTGACGGGACCGGGACAATATCTCGTCCTCCTGCTCTCTGCGTTGCACTTCTAGCTGCTGGCGCTGCGTCTCCAGCGCATGTGCCGCTTCTTCGCGTTGCCGCTGCAGCTCCGCGGCCCACTGCTCTCTTTGGGCGTGCAATTCCGCGTCTAGGTCTGCTTTGCGCACATCTAGCTCCTTCTGGGTGGCACACTTCGCGTCCTCGCCCGCACGTCGTAAGGAATCCGCATCCCGTCGCGCAGCCTCCCGCAGCTGCTCCAGCTCCACTGCCAGCCCTTGCCGCTTTGCCAGAAATTCGCTTTCTAGTTCTTGGCGCCGCTTCGCAATTTTCGCCTGCACCTCGCGCTCCCGCTCCTCTGCCATGAGGCGGTCTTTTCGATCCCGCTGCTCCCGCTCGGACGCAAAAGCTCTCCGCTCCCGGTCTAAAAGTTCCCGCTCAGCCTGGATAGCGCGCACCTTAGAGAAGGACGAACACAAAGTAGCCACTAGTCTATTGTAATATAAACAGAAGTATCTTCTTCAGCTTCTGTCACATAAATCACAATCTCACTGGTCACTCTATACTGTGTTTGTTGTCAGTATTTACAGTGACAGCGTTGTTGAATGGGTAATATTCACCAACTTCTTCTAGAAGTGAATGTTCTTGAAAACTAATACAACAACTTGTTCATCAAGTGTTAGTACAGATGTTGCCTTAATCATGCCATCCTCTTTATCCCGCTCGGATGCAGCCCTCAGTTGCGACCGCTCGCGCTCCAGTGCTCGTTGGGCCTCCTCGAGCTCGCTCTCACGTGAACCCACTTCCCGTAGCGCATCTTCGCGAACGCGTGCCGCATCTCGCGCCACTTTTTCCCGTTCTAGCTCAACTGCCTGTCGCGCCTTCTCCAGTTCAAGCTCCGCAGTCTGGGTGTTAGAAGTGGCTGTGGCTGAGCGGAATTTTATACCAGTTACACTTTTTTCCACACTTAGTTTTGCTTTCACATCATGCATACGTTGACTATAGAGAAAGAATGAAAGATTCAAAAGATTGCGATTAGTGGCATTGAATCTAAAAGGCAATAGAACAACCTTGGCTTAACTTTTTGTAGCCGAACTTTCTCCCGCTCTGCGGCGGCTGCAGCTTCTGCCCGTTCCTGCGCACGCACTACTTCGGCTTCTAGCTTCCGTCGCTCCTCCTCCATCTCCGAAGTAAAGACATCCTCCCGCTTCTGCAGGCTCTCGCGTGACACAGCTGCTTCCTGCAACAAGCTCCGGCGCTCTTCCTCAAGGCCTTGGACCTTACGTGCGAGCTCGGTCTCGGCTGCTTTGCATTAGAACCTAATCTTGGTAACTGGAATTGGTATTAGTATAGAATACGAATAAATCTATCTCGGGAAGTAGATGAAGACGAAAGGCAATCTGACTCAGTCCATAATTGTGCCGATCGGAAAATTCCTGCTCGAGCTTCTGTCTTCGTTTCTCTGCTTCCTGCTCAAGCTCCTTGCCTCGCGCCACAGACTCTTCTTCAAGCTTAGAGGCATGCTACTTTGATGATGTTTTCAGGGATACCTTTGATTCAAGAGTCGACTGCTTACTTTTTCATTCATAACTAAGTGTGCGGTGGCTATTGTACTTACGAATATTAAAACATCAGAATGATCAACAAATACAGAAGTTCAACCACAACCGCGCCTTAACAAGCTTCTGTCGCCGGCGCTCTGCTTCTTCCGATAAAGTGTGTTCGCGCTCTTCTACGGACTCCAATTCTCGTCCCACTTTTTCGCGGAATTCTGCTTCCAGTGTGGTTCGCCGTTCTTTCCAGTCGGCCTCTAGTTTTCCTTCTTTTCCGAGGAATTCTGCCTCTAGACGCTCCAAGCGTTCCGCATACTCCTGCTGCTGGCGCAACACCCGGCTTTGGAATCCTTCCTCAGCTTCGTCCATAAACTTGCTGAACTTCGTTTTTTCCCGGTGTGCTTCGGCTTTCCAGCGTTCGCGCTCAGCATCGAAATCCTGCCGACGCTTTTCAAGAGCCTTTTCCATCTCCTCCCGCTCTGCGTCCCACTCTTGACGCCGCTTTCGGATTTCGTCCTCCGCGCCGTCCATGCGGTCGCGGTAGCTTTTTCCGAGTTCGTCCCGCTCCTTGCGAACAGCCGCGTCCCTTTCTCGCTCTCTTTTCGCGTATTCTTCCTCCAGCTCTGACCTCAATTTCGCAACCGCCTTTTCGTCCTCAGTCCGCTTTTTGCGCAAGTCCCGCTCACACTGTTCTAAAATCGCGATTTTTTCCTCTTGCTCCCGCTCAAATGTCGTCCTCGCGCGCTCTAACTTCTCTTTTTCGGTTTGAACCTTGTCTTCGCGTTCACGGGCCGACTGCTCTGATTTCGCCTCGCAGGCCTCTAATTTGCCTTTCTTATCCAGCAGTTCGGCTTTGGTACTGCGCAATTTCTCCCACTCCTCTCGAATCTGTTCTTCGTTTCGCATCTTTTCCTCCTCCATCTTACGGAATCGCTCAAGCATGTCCTTTCGTCGCTCCTCAAACGTGTGCTTCTGCTCCTCGAGCTGGGTTCGATCCTTGGCCACCGCGTCCGCCTTGCCCTCATACTTGCATTAGAGGACATCAAACAAGAGAAGTAGGATCAAAGAGCAATAGTTAGCGGGTATCAATTTCAATATCAAAACTGAAGAGTGATTTACTGAATATCAAAACTGAAGTAACATCAGACCCAGTCCCAGTCGTTGTAGAGGAACAATGACGAAATCAAAAGATGATCCGAGATTAAAGAGTAGGTAGCCATGGCAGCAAAAAATCGCTGTTCAACATCAGCCATAATCTTGTCTCCGTTTGTGCAGACGTGCTTTTTCTTCATCAATAGTCGCGAGTCGCTTTTGCCAGTGGCTCTTTTCCGTTTCTAGCTCCCTTTCCGCTTGCCTCAATTGCTGTCGATCCTTTTCGAGGACAGCGTATTCCGCTTCCTTCTGTGTTAACTGCTCTAACCTGAGGTGGTGGAAGACGAAGACGTGAATGTATCTATGTATGAGTGTAGCAACAAGAGCAACCCTGTAAAGTTTTGGCCAGTGATCAAAAGATGATGACCAAGAAGGATTTCAAAATTCAAAGTCAACATGTACACAGGGAGATAATCATGACAGGAAAGCAAACGGGACAAGGATCTTAAAGAATCTTTTCCATATCCTCCAAAAATACTATAGTACCTTCGCGTATGATTCTGTGTTTGCGCCTTCACGTCCTGACGAAGTTTCGTGAGGTGTACTCTCTCCCTTTCGTAGCAGGCTGCCGCACCGCATGTACAAACGATGGTGCTCGAGTTCCAATTCCGAATGACGAGCCTCCCGTCTGCACTAAGAGACGACAGGTTGTTGTCCGTGGCTGGAGGCGCGATCAACGACCCGCCAGCGGATGATACCGTAGACCCTGCGTTCGGTGGCTGACTCGTGCTGTTGTTGCCCGCTGAAGCTCCTAATCCAGTCGGCGAGTGCGAGTAACCTCCTCCAATAGACGAATTTTGATGTTGTTCTTGCTGCATTTGGAGAGACGACACTGCAGCGGCCGAGAGAGATCCAGCCACACCCCCCACTACGGTGCCACTAACCGGTGGTCCTGACCCGGTGGAATTCAACAGAGAAACGTTGGAGCCGAAGGAATTGTTATTCATCAGAAACGAGTGGTCTCCGCGAGCGATTGAGCCCAAAGAGGTATCGTGAAGGTTCGACGATGAAGCTGCTGGAACCGGAAAGGAGGAATAAGGACCTCCTCCTGCTGTACTGGTGGATATAGGTACTAGCTGTTGATGTTGATGAGAAGTTGATGCTAATATAGAGCTATTATTATTTGGTCGTGTGGAAAATGGAGCGCGGTTCGCAGCAGTAGTCAGAGATGGCGGTCCTCCGCCTGCTGCATTTTTGGGCGAAATGTTGTGTTGAGTTGAAGAAGTCATGTCGCTACTGTTATATGCAACCGTGGACGAGGCTGGACGATAGACTGCGCGAGGGAGCTTAGTGGGCTCAGCACGAGGCGAGCCCGTAGAAGCTCCTGGCACCGGACTACGTTCTGGCATCTTCTCTTTGTGTCAACGTACAGTGATTCTCCTGCTTCCCTTCGAGCTTAGTACCACGTCTTGTTCAGAAGAGGTCGTTGTATTGGTCACATGTCTTGATGTTCTCCACTAGGGGAACGAGTTTTTAATGTCGTGGCTTGTATCATATCTCGTTCACCCAACACATCGTCTATCTCCCGTACAATATTCGGAGCTCTGTTGCGACGAGAGTATCGGCTACAACTATCTTCGTAGGTTGATTTATCTGTGTCACAAGAAGTCGTAAGATGAGGCGGCCATCGTCGCTTATTCTTGAGCACAGTCCTAGACCGTCGCCTGTTCTGCCCCTTCTGAGCCGCCAAGGTCATTCTCTCAAATTTTCACCTCGGTGCGAGCCGCAAAGTGCATAGGTCGAGGACTGCGCTCCTACTGTAGGCATCTCTACTTTACTGAGCGCATTGTTCTATATGATCATAGTTAGAAAAGATGATGGAAAAAAAAATTTGTCTTTATCATTCGATGAGTTTAGTATCATTGGATAACATCAAGGTCGTTATTGTCCGAGCACAATTTCGGCGATTGTCTTCGAGTCAGTCTATCTCAATCAGGCCGACGCCGAGTTCTGAAAAATTAACGGGGCGGCAGACCGATTTTTCTTTCTCGAACTGAATCTCTCGGATGACTTTTTCAAACTGATTACGTCCAAAAACTTTTCTTTCATATGAGTTCTGGGTCCACGAGGACACTTTCTCTACGACTCGCTTTCTAAATCTATCGTATCATACCTGCATGTTCCATGGTACAGTTAGCACAGGCGAGGAAAGTTCTGCGGCCATTGCTTGTTCATCTATTCTAATTATTAGCCTCCTGTGGAAATAGAGGAAGGGACTACATCACCGTCAGAAAAGTCTATCGACGTCTGACGAGTTTAGAACACTCCTGATGCACAACAAGCGCGGCACGAAAGTTGCTCGACGATTTTTCGAAGCTGCTTTCGTTCGCGAGACGAAGGCATACTTTAATTCTATTCCTATTCGTCTCGTGCTTTTTTAGAGTACAAACGAAGATGTTGTCACTTTCCTTAGACAGTACATAAAGACTGACTTTTTTGACTTAAGAACCAAACAAAGGAGTATCTTACCTTCTGTAAGGTTCAAGTACGCAGATGCATTTTCTTAACCGTCTGCCTTATATTTCCTTATAAAATGTTTATGTCGGCTCTACATGTTCACTATGCATCTGTATCTGACAGACTGACCGAATAAAAACGATGAATTCGAACAACTGTGAGTCAAATGATTCCCGCGAGTGCTAATCCTTGACCAAGAACGTGATTTACATTATAGTTATTGATTCTTTCTTTGAAATCGTTTCTAGGGAAGATACTGCAGCAGCTGTAGCGTAAGCGTTAATCACTAAACATGAAAAAAAAATCCCAGGACGGCATCCCCCCATTTCATGCAAAAAGACATTATCTGCACTTGGCGAGTGCTTTAGTATGTTGAAGTTGATTGCATTCAGTGAACGTGCAGAATCTAAAAAAAGCAGTTCTACTTCTATGTTTTTCAACAATAAGTATGGTGGAGAGAGCTAGAAGTTCATCATCCAATTCAGTTTTACTTCTTTCCTTTTTTCTTACCCCCTTGCTTTGGTGAAGCCGTTTTCGCAGGTTCTTCCTTAGCCGCAGGTGCTCCTTCCTCCTTAGCTGGAGCTTCTTCCTCCTTAGCGGTACATGAGGACTCGGTCGTGGATCGCGTTGCCTTGCCATTGGCCATTTTGTTGCCCCCGCTTGTTCCACTGCTTTCCGAGGATAGGTCGTTGGCGATCAGATTCTGTCGCTTCTCTTCACGGATGCGCTCAACTTTCTCAATGACCTTCAAAACGCGGTCTCCCTTGTGCGCGCGCGGGATGTCCGCGCACATAGTGGCATGAACTGTTTCAGCGACCTTCTGCCATTGCCTCATTCCAGGAGTGTCCAGCGAGTTACCTGGAAAAATTGGGATATTATAGATCATACAGAGTCGTGTCTATTCCAATTGTCAAAATATTAGAGGGCATTAAACACGATCACAAGAAAGACCTTTGGATAGCCCGTGGTCTCTACTTAAGTTCTACAAGATATTTATCAAGAGTTTAGAACTATCTTCTAGCCTCCAGAGGCAGTACTCATAGCTGTGCCCTCTTTTCCAATCCATCGACTGGGTCTTCTGCTCTTAGTCTTAGGAAGAGGGCTTTCGTCTCCCTCTTTCATCTGCGCTTCTTGAGCCATGATGATGTCATCTTTTTCGTAGTAGAACATGTCATCCATCGCCACAAATTCGCGCAGACATTCATCCTGCATTGCCAGAATCGTCGAATCGCGCCACATTTGCGCGCCCTGTTCTTAGAGTTTGTAGGGCTTTGGAATGGTGCTTCTAGTCCTACTTAGTTACTTACCCCTTTACTGTTATTTATTAGTTCTGTCTTTCTTTTTTCCTCAAGAGACAGACAGGCAAAAACAACTAAGGGGGGTAGCGGCTGGTGTTGTAACAGAAATCAATACCAAAAGCCTGCTCTTAATGTTTAGACGGCGGGCCACTGGCGCAGAGAGTGATCCCACACATTCCGCAGAGACCGCGAGAAGGCTTCGCTTCCTCATCGAAGCCACCTTCTTGTTCCCCACCTCTCGATGGCGACGTGCCGAATTCTCCATCTGCAGCACCCATTTTGTTGTAGGTATCTTTTTGAACAAAATTTTTTTTTTGATGAAGTAGCTATGGAACAACGACCCTAGAACATCGAAGAAGCTCACTAGATACAGGAGGACTTGATGTCACTTCTGGTATACAACTACTTACTTGCTGAAGACGATATAATGAATGTTGTACAGACGAACTACTTTGCAAATCTCGCGGGTAAGTATGAGTTGAAGCTTGTAAGTGTGGTCCAAAGATCCTCTAAAATTTCTCACCGAACAAACTCGTCAAACGACCAGTTTTATCAATCTTTCTAAAAAAAATCTGTAGGGGAAAAACGACTGTAGCTGAATTTTGACCCTTTGGACTGACGGTTGAAGAAAAATTTTTGAAGATTTTTCGCATTCAGTAGAAGCTCAAGTTTGCCTCAGATGAGCTACCTCACGCTATTGACAGAAGATTCCTTTTGACGCTCTCAACAACAGACCATTTTGTGTTTTCTTTCTAGTGCGTTACTTAATCGCATCAATTATCAAAAATGAAATTCATTGAATGTTAGAACAATTTCGCAGTGTACACAGCCGAGTCATAATCCTCAATTCTTGCATAGAAGAGACTGCAGTGCGAAACATCAGAGCCTTCACTCTCACGGGATGACAAACGGTCTACCCTTACAACTCGAACTCATTCAGGTTGTTGAACACAAAACGATTTTGCCGACTCAAAGCTAATCAACCCAAAGGACAGCAATTCTTTTCTTTGCGCGAGCTTGGGAAAATGGGGATGATAGATTCGTTGGATGTTGAGAGTCGCAGGTCGCTGTTTGATACTCCAGTAAAAACTGCTGCAGCAGGGCTCGTTCATTTAGTCTTTTGCCCTGCTCCTGCTGCACTCTAGGGCTCGTAGTTCATTTAGTTTTTTGCCTCTTCGCAGATGAAGAGGCTGCGCCACCATTGCCGTTCTCGTTTTTTCGCTTTTTATTTTGATCTTCGAAGGCTTTACCATGCGTGAATTTTGTTTTACCAGTGTATATACTCCCTTCGGCTCCTTCCACCTGACGAGAAAAAGAAAAGTTGATTAAGAAAAACTATAAGAATTATCTTTCTCACCTGATGAGAATACCTCCCCCCACCTCCTAGATAAAAAAGCTGTAGATACGAGTTGTAAATCTGATTTCACGAAATTCAGAAGATTGTTTACTGAGCATCAGCAAAGCAGAACTAGAATTGCTTACCATACCACAATTCATGCAGATACAAGAGTCCAAAACGAAAATTTAGAAGAAAGAATTCTACCTTTTTCAGAAGGTCTAATCCCTCTCCTCCTCGCTGATGATCGAATCCCTTCCGAAACTCGTCTTTGCACTGGTTTCCCGACTCTATCCCTCGACCGTACTGTCGTCCGTCCGAGACTCCTGGGTCCAAATCCACTGTTAATGCCCGTCCGTCTAGTCTCGCACCGTCTAGCACGTGCTGGGCGCACACTGCCTGCTCATGCGTCCTGTACTGGAGGAAGCAGAACCCACAGGGTTGTTTCTTCAACTTGTTCAAACCCATAGTCAAGGCGACTATGTTGCCGCACTTCGAGAAAAGCTCCCATATTTGCTCTTCCTGCGTCCAAAACGATAGATTCCCTATGTAGAGGGTCGCTGCTACTTCGAGGGCCTTTTTCCACTCACTAACGCTCATACCGCTCTTCCGGTCGACGTACACCGACTTTGCTGGTAGAATCTCCTTATACAGATGCGCCATCTTTTTTATGTTGTCTTCTACTTCAAGTGGTCGTTGTTATTTCTAGCAGTGGTCATCCACTACGTCTACATAAGTACTAACTTGTCTATAACGATAAAATGTACTAGCTTGATGTTTCAGTTTCGAAGATACGTCTTCAGTCATGTTGAAAAGCGTCTACAACAAGGTCGTGGACATCACAAGATTAGACGAGGGACGACAGACAATACAACTACAACAAAAACAAATATAGCAAACAGCAACAAAAGAAAAAGCCTAGTGCTCACAAATCCCTCATGCTCATTAATTCTGCTCCTATGAGAGATCTGCTTGCATGCGAAAACTGGAAATTCATGCTACTTTCTTGTGATTTTAATACTCTGCTAAGTAACATAAACATTGTCCACTTTGTTGGAGCACGTTCCAACAAGATGCATCAATCATGATCAAAATTGCAAGGCTCTGATTAGGACATTATGATGATGATCTTCCGAAAAAATCTGTATTAAGTATTTCAAATTTCCTTTTCCCCGACGTCCCCCTCCACCATCACGGCAAAGATACTCCAGAGAGGCACAGAGAGAAGGTTCCGATTCCAGTGTGTAAGCGAAGCGATTGAATTTTTTGGTGAACACGTGATCATGAGGCGTATCCCCGCGTGAAGAAGAGTTAGAAAGACCCCCATGACGAGATTTCATTCCTGTCTCTACAGATCGTCCTACACTTACACTTGGGAGCAGAGTGTGAGAGCCTTACTAGAAAGAGATGCGTCACTATCTTGGTCGAGCCTTTCTCTTCCCGGTCGGACCACCTGTCCTGACTGCCACATCTACTACTTTCTCTACATCATCATGATCAGGAAGCGATGTCGATGTCCTCCTTGGTTTTGATGCAACTACAACGTCCATCTTTCCCTTTGTCAGTGAAGATGAAGAACATAAATTTTGATTCATTTTTGTATTCGTTCCCAAACCCGAACCTGCTACTAAGCCCGAATGATCATTGACATCTTCTTCGCTGAAAGACCCGCTAAGGTTGCTGAAGAAGCCGTGACTATCAATGTCGACCACTTTCATGACACCGGCACTCACGTAGACAGGATCACGCGGCACGTGGCCCCCGCCAGGAGGACCTACTACCTTGCTATTCGGACCTTGCGCACGCGTTGAAGTTGATCCGCTCACGTTAGAACTCACTGCCATCTTTGGCGCCATCATCTGGGTCCATTTTTCTACTTGAAGACAGCTTACACATGGGCTAAAAGATGCATTAAGTGAAGCCTTAATCAAGGAGGAAGTGGACGAGGATAGTGGCGTTCCTCTCGCACTCGCGCCAAGCAGCGTTCCTCCCAAAGCATCTCCTCCAGATGTTGAAGGATGATTTCGGCCTGCGGATGCAGTCATTGGAGACGGCTGAAGGATCCGAGTTGGTGCTGGTGGCTGTTGCCCAGGTAGCATGGTGTTCCCGCTCTGCAGGTCTAAGACCCGCATTGTTGGCGGAATCATACGCGTTTTTGCGGATGACAGATATTGCGCCTCGTTTGTCACCGGCGTGTTCTTCTTGATTCCTACGTCTTTATTCTTGTTATTCTTTGATGAAGAGCGGCTATTTGTTCTTGACTCGCGTACTAGTCGCTTGTCCACATCAAAAGAAGGTCTATCATCATCCGAAGAATCGTTGCTGCCTTTATCAATGTCATCTTCTCTAGCATCTCCAACAAAGACGCGCCCACGCAAATGCGAAACCAGCGCTGCAGCAGATGAAGTGGTGGCAGTCGAAATCGCGTCAACATCGGTATTCGTAGTACGAGTATCCTCTATTCCTGCTGCTGCAGTTGGATGAGCGACCCCTTGTCGTGGCAGTATTTGCATTTGAGTAGCATCGACATTTGGCGAGAGCTTTTGATTCCTAGAAGCCGCGCGAAAATCACTCGCAGCTTTTTCTGGAGAGAATCGCAAGGAATTTGCGAGTGCGTCTGTTCCCATGGTTACCTCCATTTCGGCCAGACGCAATTTTTCTCGTCCATCTTTGGAGAAAGCCAGGAGCCGCGAAAGTTCCTCAGGCTGCATGCTCTGCTCTATAAAGAAAGAACTTGCTGGCCGCATCGTACCTGGTGGGGACTCGTCAGTCGTAGAAAATCGAACTTCTCGACCCTCTGGTGAAGCAGGCGAAGTAGTATTTCCAGCTATGCTGGGTCTCTTCTCGTCGGCTGTAGGAAGGACAGAAGAACTTTGGCCCCCTGCACTGCTTTGTACCCTGTCATGATTCTGTCCAATCTCTTGTTCGGTCTTATCATTTCTACTCGGAGGCGACGACGCGCTAGCCAAGGAAATGTCTCCAGCACTTCCGCGAGCTGCAGGTGCAACAGTAGCATACCGGTCAAACAATGTCGTTTCCAACCCCGCAGTCGAACGCCTTTTCGCTAGATAGTCTGGCGCTGGCGATACGTTGGTGTCCATCAACCGCTGCCTTTCGGTCTCCATATTCGCTAGGAAGGACTTCAGGTCTGCTACCGTGCCTGGCGGTCTGTTTTTGTTTTTCGACGACGCTCCCGCATTAGGATTTGCTTGTCCGTTTGTGTTCTCGTCTAACGGCGACTCCAACGGCGACCCTTTTAGCGCACTCTTGGGTATTTGTAAAGGCGAAATGAAGTCAGAAGCGACCGACTCCAAGGACGTCCTCGGCATCGGCGGCCTGTTAGATTCTGTTGTCGTATCACGCCTTGGAGAAGCTCGCTGTGTTTCGAGTGCCTTCGATTTCGAGGAAGAAGCTGGATCCCCTTCGTCTATTTCTGGATTTTTACTAGCAGTATTGGCTGTACTTTCGTCAACAGTAGACTCTCGAGCTTCGCCAGGTCCTCCTCCTAGGAGCTGCGAATCATTTTGAGACGCTCGTAATCGTGATGCGCGTTGTTTACTCTTCTCGATCGTCTTATTGCGGATCACATTCTGCCCACGACGCTCGTCCACGTTGGCTTTTGCACTTGAGCCTCTCTCCATAGCAGCCTTCTGCGGATGCCCCACTTCTGATAAACCTGCCTTTTGCTTCGCATCCTCCTCACCCTCTCCCTTGTCACTTGTTTTCCGAATTACTGACGGAGATGCTTGTACTGCTCTGTTTTCTGGCGAGATGCTGCTCCTCTGCTGTAGTTCCTCGTCTCGGTTGCTTGCTGCAACGCCATCTGCGATTAAAGGAGAGTCCCCGCCGCCGCCAAAAGCGCGAGCCACGCGAGATTGCGATGTGCGACTTTGAGCGCTCTTTTTGCTACCTCTATCCTCAACAGCTACAGTTTTCTTGGTCGTCTCCTCAACACCCACTTCTAGCTTATTGCTCTTGGAAGTGTCCTGCGAAGCACGACCTGTTCGTTGCTGCAGCTCACCAGTACTTTCATTGGTGGTCGACAACGAAGGTCTAAAGCGTTGCTGCTTGACAGGAGAAGTCGTCGTACTAGGAGCTGCAAAAGGTGGACTATAGTCTGGTTCTGGCAGACGAGCGACGGAACCTGGGAGGAATAACTTGCCTGAGTAAGCAGGCGTCGAGACGAAACCGTTGTTGTTCGTCGAGGAAACGGCTGCCGATCCTGGAGTACCCGCTGCTCCTGATGGACTCGTCTTTACCAGTGCCGAACCCTCATATTCGCTTTCATTTGCTGCAATTCGTCGCGCTGGCGAAAAAATAGGCGTTCTTGAGCTTACTTCTCCATTTACTAAGGCAGCATCCCTGCTCTCTTTCTCTTTGCTCTCCTCCTCCTCCTCCTCTGCGATGCGGCTTTCCGAATCTGCGAAGGCCTTGAGAGCGGGGTGGCTCAAAACGGCACTGGCCGTAGCTCGCTGCTCCGGTTGACGCAATAGTATGGTCCTCAAAAGTGCAATCCGGTCTTCTGAAAAGCGTTCAGAGGGCGGACACTCATACCGAACGTCACGTATGTTCTGCACTCGTATCGCAAGATTAGGGCCGTGGAATGGCGGCGATCCGGCCAACAGCTCGAAGAAGACGACCCCCAGTGCCCAAATGTCCACAGGTCTCCCGATCTTGTGCGTCTCCTGCAGGAGCATCTCAGGCGACAGGTAGTCTTCGGTGCCACAGAACGTTGCGCGACGGTCGGGATCAGCGAAATCATCTCCTGCGCCTGCTGATGTATTTTTACTCTTCTGCTCTTTCTGCGAGGAACCTACAGTATCTGCTGCTTTCGTGAGGGACCCATCGACATGAGCCGACCAACCGAAATCGGCAATTTTGCAAACCCAAGTACATTGGCTTTGGCTCCCAAGAAAAGATTCCGATGAGTCGCCGTTTCCTGTTGCAACAACGCTACTGCTCGAACTCGCTGGACTAGCAGACTGTATTAACGCTGGAGATCTTCGCCAACTACCATGATACAAGAACTTACATGATAGATAAGTAGCACTAGATTCCGTGACCTTCCGCATTACTTTCCTACTAAGCGGACAAGAATATCCTTTGTGCTCCCATAATAGGCGTACCGACGAAGTAGAACGTTGAAATAAATTCAAACTCTCTCAATGTTAAGCCTTATCAGCAGAAGGTTTTCCAATTTCAAATCTCGATGGATGACGCGGAGTCGCTCGTGAAGAAACTGCACTCCGAGACAAACATGAACGAAAAACCGAAGAGCAGCGTCAATCGGCACGATCTGCAGTCTCGGAAATCTCCTCATGTACTGCAACAAGTGACCCCGGTCCGCGCACTCTAAAATCAAGTAGACGCTCGCTGCATCTTCGAAGGGACATGAACGAGTCTTGGGTACTTCTAGCGAGAGGAGAACGAACGGGGGGAGAGAAAGAAAGAGAGAGGGGACAAAGATGAGGAGTGGCACCACCTGGTGCACAGAGAAAAAGTAGGAACTAGAAGAGCCCATGAAACGGAGAGGCAGAACTTACACTACGATACTTACACTACACCTTCACCTACATCTAGTGGAGCAGGTCATCATAAGTAATGAAATAGCGAGACCAGATTCCGATGTTTGCTCGCTTGCATCTGAATCTTCACCTCTCGCATTAGCTGGACCTCGAGTTTGCGTTCTCGTATTTGCCGTTTCGATAAGATCTTCATGGCATAGGACGAGGCCTTTGCTCCCGGCGACCCTCGAGTGCGAGTCACCCTCACTACCTCGGAATAGGATCCAGAGCCAAGGACATCTTCGCGCACGAAGTCGGACAGAGTCCAATCTTTCGTACTGGAAACCATCTTCTTCACTTCGATAATCGACTTTTTAAGGCTTGTTACACCAGCAGCACGTTTACAAAAGAGAAGAGTGATCCTGGTTCCTCGCAAGCAAGTCCATGAAACAATTAACGACTTGCTACTACCATCGCGACCGCAGGCGCTGAAGAAAGGTTTTCCTAGGATTCTTGTCGAAAATCTTTGCATAGTCCACTTTCATCATGTGTCCCATTTTTGTCGAAGGAGCCACTTTTTCTGTCCATCTCTGGCCAAATCCTTTTCCCGCGCACTGGCCAAATTATCGCCTGTCCTTTTGATATTGATTTTTCTGTAATTTATAGTTCTCGTTCAAAAACAAAAGAACATCAAATGCATCTAAGTGCACAACGAGGAACATGCGCATTTGCGAGTTGCTAGGCACTTGCCGTTACCATAAGGGTGAGGTTAGGTTATGGATCCTGCACATCGAGCTCCGCTGGTACCATAATAGATAGAAATAGATCATGTAAAACTTATCCTTGAAGAATCGTAACTCAACCGAAGGTCAACAACGTCTCCCCACGTAGGCATGTGTGTGTCTCTGTTATGATTCAGCTTGGTCATCTAAGAAACATCATACATCATCTCACGACATTCTACCAAATTCCATCATGTCACAAGTTCAAACTCGCTGTCATCTTTGCGTCGTCCCCAACCTGCACCAAGATGTGGGTTCCGCAAAGAGTTCTGGTGCCTCAGATCGCTCTCCGTAGGTTAGAAATTGCACCAGACATCCTTCTCGTCAACCTCACGTCGGTCCTTCTTTACACTTTACATACTTCCAGAACATGATCTCGAGAAACGCTTCGGCGATGGCAGATCAGATCTTGTGGGACGAGATGGATTTCGGATGAACCACTCATGGTGAAAGCCTTAACATTGGTAACTCCATTGCGCGTAATACGTTCCGCCAAAGTAGCTGACACCTAATACACCCACAAAAACAAGCGTCCACTTCGATTTGAACTTGTCGTACTCTTTCCTGGCTAATATGAAAGACCCATAGCGGTAGTACTAGGATGAAATTGCACCAGTGGTTGTTCTAGAAGTCCGAGCACTGAGTGTACAGGAAGTAGTACTCGAACGAAGGAACTAGTGTAGAGGATTTTTGTGGAACAAGTAGTACTAAAGTAGTAGTTTCTTATAATATATTTTTCAATAAATTGTATTCGCGAGTTAGTAAACTAACAGTCAGTCATTCAGTTTCAGTCCATCTTCCTCTACATTGGCACACTGATTTCAATTTTCTGAGTGACTCTCCTATCTACCTGACAGACTGCTCACAGGACTGGGAGGATAGCTACAACTAGGACATCACTTGCTATGATTGAAATGGAAACGTATACATAGCTTATACCTATACCATAGTATACATAGATACGGCAATGAATCCTGTTCAGTAGTAGTAGTAGTAGGAGTAGTAGTAGTAAGGAGTAGTAGGAAGGAGTAGTAGTAAGGAGTAGTAGTAAGGAGTAGTAGTAAGGAGTAGTAGTAAGGAGTAGTAGTAAGGAGTAGTAGTAAGGAGTAGTAGTAAGGAGTAGTAGTAAGGAGTAGTAGTAAGGAGTAGTAGTAAGGAGTAGTAGTAAGGAGTAGTAGTAAGGAGTAGTAGTAGGAGGAGAAGAAGTAGGAGGAGTATGTAGTATGTAGGAGGAGGAGGAGGAGTAGGAGTAGTAAACCCGATCCAGGGGTACGTCTGTAAAATACTGGTGACGCAATACTGTTCATAAATACTTGTTTTTGATCTGCCAGTGTGGAATTCATTGCACCGTATTTGCTTCTTGCTCTCATGTACTGGTGACGCTCAGCTAGGGGGAGCTTGTACATCGCCTCTGCCTCACGTTTCGCTTGCTCCTGGTTGAATCTCGAGCTTATCTCGCCAGTCTGTACATTGCGCATGGCTTCGCTTGACGGACGCTGAGGAGCAAAGCAGATTGAATATAAAGATGGAAAGTATAACAACATTAGTAACCCTGTTCTTGAAGTAAGTAGAAGAAGTGCGTCTTCAAAGAGGATAAAGATAAAGATTCAACTTCGTAGTTGATTGATGAAGCCCAAGAAATATTGTCAGTTAATAAGTAGATTCATTCTAATCCTACCGCGGTACTACTTACACAATTTTGAACCAATTATGACCGTCGTGATTCGCCAGTCTACCATGATCCAACTAATTCAGAAAGCCATTGCAAACAAGTTCTTCGAGCTTTTCTCGACTTCACTTTGTTCACAATAAACAATACAAGGAGACCAGGAAAATCGATTACCTTTCTGATCACGTCCATCTCGTGTCTAGAAATTCCCCAACGGGAAAGCTGAGAATGTCCGCCCTGTAATTGCCGCCATTCTTTCGCAAAATCCTCGCAACTATCCAGTACATAGTGCCGCTTAGAAGAATGAGGCAAAAGAATATAGTACTCCATGTGAAAGTGATCTCTTACTTATAAACCCAATTTCAAAGTATCTTGTTAGTTTGATTTCCCAGAAGAAGGTTAAGAAGATAGTTTTCCCTGCTCACGCGATCACGTGCACGCTCATTCTAATAAAGACCTCTAGTACAGACAGAGGGATGTTTCGCCTGATGAATTAGGTTGTGCACTTCTGCGAAATAAATGTTTTGCATTGTACCAAAACAGGGACCGGCGTGAATACAGTCTCACTTATTCCCGAAGGCTTAACATAAGCACGACCCACTTGTCCAGTCGCAGCCTGGACTGTTTTCGCGACTCCGTCTCTCCGCATTTTTTTTGTCTGCGTCTGAGCGAAACGGAAACTCGAAGACGCCCGTTCCCGCAGCGCCGCACGAAAAGATGAACTACTCATTTCCTTGTAGGTTTTTGCACGAAAACGCTATGAAGAAGATTTTGGAAGTTTGAACGATAGTACATACCGTTAGTTTTAAATATAAACTTTGACAGCACTCAGACGCCTTTTGAGGTATAACATGGAACCTGTTCTTAATCGCAACTTCAAGCGCTACTGGTTTTTGCCATAACCGAGGCCGAACGACCGATTGGCGTTCAAGTAACTGCTCATCCTCCAAAAATACACTTTAGCAATCATTTTTTGCTCATCTTGTTCTTGTTGCACCCTATATTCCTTGATAAGATGTCCCTCCGACTCCTGAGCACCACCTCGCCCATGCACACATTTCTGTGCAAAAAGATCTCAAACAGAAGGAACAAGACAGAGGAAGAGAACAGCAGGTAGAACCTAAGACTCTCAAGCAGCGAACACAAGGCAACTAGAATCCCGTCACTCGTAGACTGCTGAAGTTAATATATTTATGAGTTTTGAAGCAGACAACTCAGTCATGTCATGTCATGGAACCTCGTTTGTAGTTGCACGTGACTACCGATGAGGTCAGCCAGCAAAAGAGTATCTCCTAGAGGAGCGCTAATTTACCGGGTATATCGCTATTTGTTTTTGACAACCACAGTTCTTGTCTGCTGTCGTCTTCCGTATTGCTTGTTCTTTCCTCTGAAATGATTAAGCTTGACGGATTTTATAGGGTCATCTCTTGTATGACCCCGGGACGATAAAACTCCAAGAAGAAGATTGGATCCATTCTTGCTACAGTTGGTGTACGTTCACAAGATCCTCACCCATCTCCGACAAAGAAAATTATTGTTGTCCTCTTGTAGCTGTTTGCACTGTAACTCAGAGGTGTTTGACCGCTTCTATGAAGCATTTTGGTCTAAGACTTGAGTCGTTTTTTCTTTGTTGTTGGCTGTGAGATAGTCTGACTACAATGTCATCAAACCTCCTGAGTAACTTGAATCTGTACTACAATGTACACCTATCAGAAACGCTTACCTTTCAGAAAGGTAATATATGAAAAATTCTCAGGCAGTCCTACTCGGACGACCAGCCCAATTACCCTTATCAGTGCATCACTAGGAGTACGCGGGTCGCGGTAGCCTCACTTGTTTCCATAGCGATACAGGAGGCCACTCTCGTTCTCCTTCTCTTCCCACATTGAATGCCTCATGTTCATATTGCAATTCAAATCCTGCCGCGTCACGCGTCTGCAGGACTGGGTCTGCGTCTACCCCTTGCTGCGCCGGCTTGTACTGAATGGAAAAATAGACAGTACCTTCTGGGCGGTCTAGCACGCGCGGGAACTCTGCACCACCTGCATCCCGCAACACCGCGTCTAGTGCTCGCCGTAATTCACCCTGAGTGGGACCTTGCGGCCCCTCCGCCTCGTTTAGATCAAACGCTTTGTCTCGCGGCACGCTTTCACCGTCCTCACCGTATTGCTGCATATTTGCTGTAGATCTCGGGCTCTCAAGCCCGCGCGTGACTTTCTCGTACTCGGTGTTTCCGTATCCGGGGTCTAGCTGCTCAGCTAAGAACTCTTTCCAGCGGTAATCGCGAAAAGCAATGCGAAGACCTTCTTCGCGCGGAAAAGTGAGCATATTCCCCGCGATCCACAACAGGATTGCCTGCGCCATGCGCGCTACCTTCAGCTTCTTTTCCAGTTTCAAGTTGGCCTTCAAATGGTCCTCCATTTTCGCGACTTGCTGAAGTTGGACCGCATGCAGACTTGACAGCGTGGAGATAAAAGTAGACGTAGAGGTAAAAAACCCCTCCTGTTTTTCGTCCGCGGTGGCAGGAGCAACATCTTCTTGAACTTGTTCGCCTTGACCTTGTTCACCTTGATCGCTGTCGTTTGGGCTCTCGCTCTTTTGCGAATCCGGCTCCCCGTGCTGCATTACCACATCTTCTGCAGCAGGTGTTCGCGTTCCTTCCACCACTTTTTCGTGGTGCAGCCCACAACGCCGAGACAGCGGTGCTGCAGCCACATGGTGGGCGTAGTCGCAAGTTAGCAGCTCTCGCAATTTCGAACGCCAGAAGCTCACGTACTCGCTCGTTTCCACAGGGACGGAGGCTGAAGGGATGAATTGCATCTGCGGAGCGACACTCGTCACAGAGTCGTGGTCGAAAACGAAAAGCTCTTGTATATTTTGCATGCGTTTTCCTTGGCCGAGTGGACCCTCGGGAGAAAACACACGGGGCGCCAACAGTGTTCTGCGTCGTGGTTCAGAACCGATACCAGCAGGCCGGTGGCCTTCTTCCCTATAGGAGACTCGCATTGTCAGACTCGGGTAGGCTCCGGATAGCTCCGAGAATTCCAGTCGAAAACGCTCTCCGCGTCCAAATCTCTTCTGCTGAGCTAGCGTCATTTCCTTTTCGAACACGGCCCTAACTGCAGCCGACAACTCCTCGTCGATGTTATAGGGTCCCCCAAAAAGTTTCTCACGGGCATCCGCACTGTGCAGCGGCTCATAGGTAGCATGCAAAAAGAAGCGCCGCCAAGGCGACGCCGTCACGTCATCTCCGAGCAAAACACTGGTGTCGTGCGGAAACTGGATTGCATTCAAAGCGATTTCGTTCAATATGGCAGAAACCAGCTTCGAAACCATGCTCATTTTCTGAATCTTCACATGTTCCCTTTCCTCGCGTTCCAGCCGCTCGAGCGTGTGTCTTTGCACCGCGTGCACGTCGTCAAACCACCGCCCGAAACATCCATGAGGTTGTGAGGCGTCTCTTCCAGAATTGGCTGCTCCTGCTACGGATGGGTGGTCCATCAAAGCGAGGCCTAAAGCTTTGCACTTTCGTTCCTGCGCGTATGGACATTCTGGCTCATCTCCAGCAGGCGAGGCTGTAGCAGAGGCGACCGCCTCACGACGACCTGGAGAGAGTAGCGCAGCACTTTTTCTAATGGCTGGAGGCGAGGATGCGCTCGAAGAGGAACTCGAGGGGGACCCTCCATGACGAGGTGGACCCTGAAGATCGTCGGCTGCTGCAGGGCCAACGCCTCTATGATGTCGATCATCTTCTTCTTCCCCGTCAGAATCTCCGTGAGTAGACGACGCATTTTCATGCGTTGTCTGCTTCTCTGCCCACAGGACCAAGTACTGCATGAAAGACGAGGACCCACCGTATTGTTGCTTGACCCAAAAGTCGGCATATTCTTCCGGAGACACGCGCACTTCCCGGGGGTCAATGTCGATATGGGGCCGGATGGTTATTTGCGTCGATTCCGTTTCCATAGAAGAAGGAGCGTTATCACATGAAGAAGCGTCATCAGAACCAGCCGCGTCAGCAACGCGAGCATTCCACCCGACCAAGACGGCTGCCAAGAGTGTAACGCCTTTCCAGCAGTTTCGCGGGGTGATGTTCAACATCATTTCGATTTGTTGTCCCTAAATTGAAGTCTGGGTGTACACGTGGTATTACGAGATGTTGAAGTTGAGTAGATTCCTATAAATATAGAATGAAAGCGTATTTTTACCTTTACGAGGCTGTTCCTGTTCCTGATCTCGAGTGAAAAAGCAAAAGTCAAACGCATGTCATTTCACGGCCTATTTTTCGGCATCCTACTGTCATAGCCTTTCGTGTTACTTATAAATAAGGACACTCAGTAAAGCGGTACCTCCTAGTACGGATAGCTACGAAACCGAGCTAAGATAGCAAGATCATTTCTTGCATGCAAGTAGAGCCACCGCTTTGTAGTTAGTGTCATTGTTATTGTGGATCAAGATCAAGCCGATCCTTTTATGAACAAGAAAATCCACCCAGGGACGTTGGGTGGATCTCCGGGACCACGATCTTCGAATTCACACGCGACAATAAAAAAGAAATGCGTTGACTCCGTGGTGATCATCATCGATCAATTCTTTGTTTTGCCACCTCTGCCAGGTTCTATCAATCCATTGAAGAAATCAGTGACCAACCCCAGCCTCTGATGAGTGAAGTGCTTCAGCATTGACACCCAATCCGAAATTTAGGGCTGCGATGCCTTCCTTGCCCTTTTCGTTGGTGGCGTGTTGGCCGGGTCGAGAGAAGACGCCAGCTGCTGCTCATCAGTTTCTCCAACTGAAGTTGTTCTTTCATTCTTAGACTGCTGTGGCCCTGCCTGGTCTTCTGCGTCGATCCGATCAACGATATTCCTTTCTTCGCCGGTTTCCCCCACCGCTGGGCTTGGAGTTAGCTGTCGTCGCGGGAGCTGCTCTATGTCCGCTTGGGTCAGCCCTCGTTTCTGGCTCTTCAGATTGGGCAATTCGTCCGCGATTTGCTTTTTCAGTTTAGACGGCTCGCTAATCTCATCGAGTCTTTGCTCCCCTGCACATATCTCCTCCAGATTTTTTTGATGCCACAGCGAGTTCTCCTGCGCGGATCTTACTTCCTTCTGCGCCAGGTATTGTCTCTCTGCAACGTCATCGATTTCCGTTCGGTGCTTGTGCATCAGATCACAATCCGAAAGCTGTAGTTGGCGCTCGAGCTCTGCGATTTTGCGCTCGGTATCCTTCGGCTGCCATTGCTGATACGCATTTTCTCCCCACAGATCGCGAGTTCCCCTTCGGCTGCCATTGCTGATACGCATTTTCTCCCCACAGATCGCGATGTAGTCTTTTTTCCCTAGGGTAGAACTAGAGCTTTGATGTAACTAATGTGCGCCAATACTAACCGAGCCAGCACTTCTAGCTTTGTCCAGGCCTAGTAGATATTCATCTGGGACTCCCCCGGCGTCTTTCACTTCCCGTCGCCATGATTTCGTCCAATATGCAGCACCGTAGTCGTCCCCCGTGACTGCGAGATGCAACTCTGTGATGCTTGAAGGCACCGACGTACTTCTTGCGCTCTTCTCTGATGTTCTTGATGCCTTTTGTGAAAGTCACCATGACGAAACTTAAGACGAAATAAAAGAATGCCGCTTTTGCACGGTAATTCATCGAATCTGACAGACTCGCCTCCGATGCCACAATTGAAGAAAGTCTGGAGGAAAGCGTTAAGAACGCGATTGTCATGTTTGTCGGCGACATTTGACGCTGCGCGGACGGCATCTTTCAGTGTGCCATTGTAGTTCATCATGCCGTCCTCGTGTATGATGTCGCGCCACAAGTCTCGCCAACAACGCACAACCCAACCGCGAAAATCCTCCGCGCAGTTAGCGGGTGGCATGTCGCTTTTCGTGAAGAAATCCTCCTATCCTAGCACGCGCGTTGCCAGGTACCGTAGCAGGATGTATCTTTCTAACTCACTTCGAAACTGGGATAGGAGCTTCAGCAGCTGACGAATTTCGCGCTCATCAATCTGCGACAAAACAATCCCCAACCTGGTCAGCCCACGCTGTGTTTCCTCCCGATCGTACGTGACTGTTGGCAGCTCTTCCAATGGGCGAAGCACAGCGACGACCTGCTGAAACTTTTCAGCTTGGGCTGAGTCACCCCTTGCTTCTGCCAATGCCTTTTCCCCTTTTGCAATCTGGAAGGCAGTCACGTAGGGTCGTCGCTGCCTGTACTTGCTCCTTCTATCCTCCGCGAAGTCGTTGCTCCCTGTATCCGCCGGATCCCTACATCTCCAGGCGGCATAATTACGAAGCATCTTTTCCTTCCTTAGCTGAATGTCGTCGGCGGTTGAGGCATTATGCCACAAGCTGCTCTGCGCACTGACGAAATGCTCTAAAGCCTCTTTGACGCCAGCCGCGTTCCCGTCGGGGTCGGTCGCGAATTTCTGGAGTGGCGTCATCCCAGTTTTGGCATCGGCTCCTGAGAGATCGTGCGTCCTCGATATGTTATCGTGTGTAAAAAAATCGTGATACCTGTAGTACTTCGCGATCCGCTTCCTCAAATGCTCAAAATTCTGGAGCCATATATCGTCCCAACGGGAAGGATATCCATAAAATTTCTGACGAGTGCGCGGAAGTAATAGAAATATTCCTTTGAATTAGTTCGTCGATTATTTTCGAATTCGGGGTCGGTAAGTAACAATCTGTTATGAAGAATTAAGAACCTCCGATATTGCCGAATCATTGTCCAGACCCAGTTGTACACGCAGGCGAATACGAGATACCAACTTCCCTTGCGAGAATCAAAGTCTTATAAATATTCGGACTGCATCTCCCTCTTGAGACCTTCGCTTTCGGGTATGTGGCGCTCAAACAAGAAAAACTTGAGGGCACCCACGTGTCCCCTTCATGAGAACGCTAATCGTTTCGTCCATAGCGTTGCCAACAGGAATCAGCGGGACTGCATTGAGCAAATGTTCTTCCAGTTTTCCGTTGAGCACTTTTCCGATCTCGTCCTCTATGAGAATGTTCTCCGAAAGAAGCTCGAACTTAGCATTACTAAAAGGGAGCGGCTTCTTCAATCGAAGCACACAGTCATCAACAGCGGCCTTCCCCCACGAATCGAAGCTTGGCAATGCAATTCAGTAAGCGGAAGGGACCTCAACAGTATTGTCCGTCCGCACCTGCTCGACGTCTTCAAGGTATCTTTCTTCGTACACTTGTCGATGTCTTCAAGGTCAAACGAAAACTCCTCCGGAGCCTTCTTCCTCTATCTTCAAATTCTTGCCCTCGACGTCGTTGACTCCGAACTTTCTCAGCAAGTCGCTGCTCTGAGCCTCCAGTAGCTGACCCTTCTGTGTTAACTGCTCCTGAAACACATTTTTTTCCTCCGTGAGCGCAGCTACAAGATTCTGCAACCTCGATACTTGTGACTTAACCGCAACGTCGACCGTAGCTGGAGAGATGCTAACAAGCGAAGATGGAGGATCCATTTTGTTGATCTACTTGGTATCTTTCGAATCTTTGTTGAGTGATCCCATTTTCCAAGTGAAATTTAAATGCTCGAAATCGAATGTTGTCAAATGACGTTTTATTTGTGACGAAATGGTAAGCAGTGTCGTCTTATTGACCTCAAACTCAATATCTTTAACAATCGAATAGTTCTACACCTCTTAGAAGTTTGAGTTTACTCACTGAGAAAGACTGGTGTCGCGTCAATGAAACATGACTACAACAATGTCCAACAATGTCCTGCAACAGGGAGTACAAGGGCTAGTACTCATAGAATCAAGTGGGAGTCATCGTCATCGACATCCACGTTTTTTTGTCTCATTATCATTTGACTTTTTTGCAATTTCATGTCTAAATGCCGAAGATTGTAGTTTTTGCGTTTTCTCTGATGTTCATACTATTATATTAAGATGAAACGTGATTGAAATCAATAAGAGACAAGACGCAAGAACATAATGGTGGCTCACGTGCACAGATTGATAGGGAGCCGAAAGTTTTCCACTTTGCAATTGTTTTTCTTTCATTTCTTCATTGGTTCATTGAATTTTTCCTGCGGGCCGCAAAAACAACATGAACATTTTTCGCTAGTATCGCTCTGGCGGTGGATTCTTGAGAGCACCGAAGCAGAAGTGTACCGAAACCTTCGCCAAAAATATTATGGTGCTTCCTGTACGGACCTATCCGCAATCTTTTCTGCGGAAGTAGAAAACACGAATACGCGACTGCCGCTAGAAACCATGATCAAACATTCGTCTTTCTCGGGCCTTAAGGACCGGTCTCTAGCTGTACAGCCTTTTTCGGGCAAAGTGCACATCATAGAAGTTCATAGGCATTTCATTTCCATCTGTGCTTGTATGGGAGATATGCCGACGCAGTCATCAAGCAGTCTGACGTTGGTTCTGTCATTCTGAGTTCCAATTGCAAAAGTCAGAACACGTTCCTCACATGAATCGCAATCGCTGTTTCTTCATTCAAATGAGTAACACCTTTTGCTGTCCTTCGTACATACTTCATAGTCAGGGAATTAAAGCTTTTAAGTGGTGGAAGGCAAGAATGCATTCAGAGGCACAACCGCACAGCTGCGGGAAGTTTTCGTCGTTGCTTCTTGCTATGCACTATATGCCGCCACATCCTCCACCACGACTTCTTTGCCGTTCGACAGCGCTTCTTATGTCTCTCATCAGCGGTTCGATCGGGTTGCCGCGCCATAAGTCCAACCGCTCCGTGCGCAGGCGAGCCAGAATCTTTAGAGGATTTCGGATTCTTGCAGTGTTCGGTGATGACCACGACGGACTGGCTCTATCTATTTCATATATCTGTGTGTTTGTTATTCGTTCAATCACCAGATGGCTCACGTGCGTAGAGCACGGAGGCATTAGGAAGCTTCAATCTGATTGTGTGTATATGCAAATCCAACAAGTAGAGACGAAGCTTCTAAGGCGTGTCTCTAATCAAAGTATCGTCGCTGTACTAGAAAAAACGCCGTAAGATCAAATGCTAGCTCTACGGGTTCGAGTTCCAAGAGGAACGCACAGAGTGTATCAAGCACACGCTGATCTTGGTCTGGTCCACGATAAGAGAGCGTCAACGAAGGCAGAGGTTCGAAGTCTTTGCGTGGTAGCTTAGCAGAGCGAAGTTCTCAACTTGAACCTCAATTATTCATCCCCTCGATAAGCCCATCGATCCCCCTAGATTCATCGACGGGTCTGACTGTGTCTGAAGATGCACTAGGATTTGAGGAGGCCTTAAAGACTAGTGCTTCAGCCAAGGCAGTCTGTTCTGGAGACGAAGCACGTATTGCCATCACGAGAGCAGACATGCGATCAGTGTCATCCCTCCAATTCAAATGCTCGGGCAGCACCCACGGCCGGGAAAGTAGCTTGTCGAGGATGTCTCCGCCATGATCTGGGGATCCTGAGTGCAGCTGAACGTTTGCTGCCTCGTCTGCGGAAGGCGGCATCTGCTGGTGCTGGTCTACTTCGACAATAAGACTGCTGTTGCAACTGTTCTTGTTCTCCTCCTCTACTTCAATTTTTTCATTTTCAGTACTGTGTTGTTGACAGGTCGTGCCAGCGTCCAAAGTGATCTCCCATAACTGACGCCGCGAATAGTTGTCGCAGGACCTTTGCTGTTCGCAGATGCCGTCACCAACTTCTGGCTTATCAAATGCATCTGTCCTGCCAGCATCTCCTGCACAGCGAGAGGAGGTTGTGTTGTTGGCCAGCCCGTTGTTTCTTCCATACACCTCCGCGATCTGGTCCATCTGCAACATATCCAAAGCTGCTGACTGCAAGTGTTTGGCCATACAAGCATGGTAGAACACAGGACACGCTTCTAGTTCCAAGCCACCGCTCGACTCAGTGTAGGAGAACATAGATTGCGCTTGCGTCAGGGCTGCATCTAGGCGCGCAATTTCCTCTGTCATCTCGGACGAATCAGAAGTAAAATGCCTTTCGGAAGATGCGATCTGTAGCCTTCGAAGCCAGAGCCCCTGGAAAAACCGGAGGAGTCCCCTGCCCGCATGCACCACTGCTCTGTTTTCGACGTCGACTATGAAAGAATGGATGATGTGACAGTCACATATTAAACTCTGGGTTACATTATTTTTACTTACATGAATAACTGTCAGGGCGGAAGACATTATTTATTTTACATGACTAATTATTAGGGCGGAAAGCAGCAGGAGTAGGAGCGACAGGCATGTTCTACACGGAAATGATGACCACCTCGTAGCATAACAGCATGATCAGGAGCGCCGTGTGCGTTAAAAATCCACGAATCGGCGTGTAGGAGTTTGTGCAGGAAACTGTCCAGATTTCGATTTGTCTTCGTCCAGAAGTCTCCACTATTGAAGCTCCAATAGAAAAAAACGTGCCAGAACTCTTTGAAGTCTTCAAGCGAGATGCCTGAGTCCTCACGCATTTCCGCTATCAAGGCGAGCGTCGATACCACAACATCCCAATCTATCTCTCGTTGATTAGAGTACTAAGGTTTTGATGATTACTAAAGGTAGAGACTCATTTCCTAGTCCTTCATTATAACAAGTTCAAATATAAGTAAACAGAAGTCTTCTCGTCAGAATCCAAGTCCAAAACTGAGAAAAATCCCCATCGAGCGTGGAATGAATTGCCAAAAGCCTTAATCTCATGAGGAAGGAAAATTTGTCGGAGCCTTCGAAACAAAAAATCGTGTTTGTTCGATAGGCATAGGGCATTCCCGTTCATCCTCTCTGCTCGAAGATGGAGTGGTCTCTGCCTCTGATCGACTTCTTCAGACCCTTCATCAGGAGGACGGCGGCTAACCAGATCGTCTAAAAACTCAGCAAGTTCATGCCATCCACGGCTACTGGTAAGCGCGTCCCATAAAGCGCCACCATCTCCCCTCACAATCACCCGCATTCATTAAGAGGTGGTCATTCTCATCTCCTTGGTCATTATCTTGAAGAACTTCACAGCTTGGCTGCCTCATCATTATTCTGCATCGCAAACAACCATACGAGGCTGCTTTCACTTATTGTTTGTGCATAATTTCACCACAGATCACAGACGAGGCTATTTTTCGGTTTCGTTGTACGGCGGCATCTTCTCTCTAGCTTGCTTACATTTACACAGATCTTGATATACAATGGCAAAACGTGAAATTAGTCACCTTTTTTGACATCCTCTACGGCTGTAACTGGTATTGAGAAGGAAGTACCAACGAGGACATACCAAATTGATTCCCGGATCTGGAGAGTCTCCATGGCAAGTCTGTGTTTCTGTAGTCACCAAATCGGAATCTTCGAGGGGCTTTAGACTTAGCGCAGATTCTATATCCCCATCCGCCTCAACGTCTGCAGGATACAGCGAAACTAGGGAGATTGGAACGTCCGGAGCCCTAGCAGCCACGTATAACCGTTTTAAATTTCCGACACGCACCCCTCCTCCTGTTGACGTTCGTTTCCTGGCCGTTCCGAGTCCACCATCTTCTTTTCCTCTCCCTGCTTTTCTGGCCCTCTCCTTCTTGGTGTCCTGCTCCTCCTGCAGCTGCATGATCAAACGCAAGCTCCAAAACGCCCAATGGGCCGTATAACGGGGCAGGGGCGACGGGGCATCAGGAACTTGCGTTTCGAACGCCTCTCCCGACATATCGAAAAAACGAACTACCGCCATTATGCTCGTTGTGGGTGCAGTTCCTGAGAATCTTTGTTCTAGGCTTGAGTTGCGTGATTTGGTGTGGAGTAACGTATCACGTTTGGTTTATTTGAAGACTAGCATACGTATTATGCTTGCCAACATGATGCTACTTCTCTTGCACTTAAATACCTATACTGACGAGTTTGAATATGCAAGGCGGAAGCTTTACTAAGTCATTCCTGGAGGTATGAGAACTCCACTTGTTTTGTTCAAGAATTTGCTTCGTCCACACGAGGTCGAGAAGATTCCCACGCGGCAGAATTTGTTGTATGAACTACAACTACTGTGAGTTGTCATAGGATAGGCGTAGGCGAAAGAAATATGTAAGTCTAAGGATCTGCATCTGTATTGCGTTTTGAGTTTTGTATGGATCTTTGATACTAGAGGTAGGTCCAGGAGCAGGCAAGACTGTAAAGGATTCGCTTCGACGCTCAGGCTTTGCTCATCACGGGAGTGCTTTCGTTCATTCACTCACCCACTCACCCACGCGGCCACCAACATATTTTTTTTGTTTTGCCTGGTTCTACTACAATTTCCAACAGTAGCTCCATTCGATTACCCCGCGGGAGGGATGAAGCACAACGGCCAGGCGCTACAACTACGCAAACGATTAAGCACGACGGCAACCGCTTCAGAAAGGCTAGAGCCCAAGCCCCACGGGCATATTAGTCGGCGGCCACTTAACATAGCCGGTCGCAACAGTTCTTCCTGCAATGGGATGCGTATGGCCCTACTAGTTCCGTTGGGGATTCAGCTTTCGCTCACTCACAGTTCCCTTTCTCCAATGAGAGCAGCAGTCTCCTAGAGTGGAAAAATAGATCTGGAATTGACGGACGCTGTGTCGTTGTAGAGACCGGCGTAGGGTAGATACAGCCACTTACTCATACGTCGGTGCTTCCAATTGCAACTCCAAAGTCTTCGGCCGAATGGCCAGCGCACCAGCTGGGGTGGTTCTCTTACACCCTGCCAGTCAGTGTCAGTCTATCAATCAGTCGTAGCGGAAACGTCTGCGCTGACTCGACGAACACCTTATTAGCTCAAGCGCTCCTCCAGTGCCACTTCTCCAAGATCTAAATCACAAGAGTGGAGGCCTATTTGTTTTTTTCCGGTAACTACATTGTTGCTCAACACATGAAGATCTGACATTTATTCTCTATCTTGATAAGAGGTGGATTTATTATACTTAGTTATACGAGGATGAACGTTCAGAAGTGTTCGTGGTGCACTCTTCGGGGGGGGGGTTGATTAAGAATTGCTGAGGACTAGAAGGAAGAATGAGTCCTATTCTTGGGACTAGGATTCATTCCTTGATGTCCTTTGTACTCCAATCAACACGACTCTACTGGTTGAGCGATACCCAATGAAGATACCACACCTCACGCCACTTTTTTGGATCGATTGAGAAAGAAGACCTTGCTTTTGATGTTTGTTCTAGAATCAGTAGAATAAGATTGCAACTCTTATTGCTCGTTCGTTTATAGGATCACACAGACACGCGCCGCAGCCTCGGCGCGCCTACCATGCGTCAACGACCAACAGCAGACAAGTCTCCTGAATAGTACTCGTCGAGCATGATTACGCCCCCCGCACAAACACAATATTCACAAAAATGCTTAGAGGTCGAAGGTCTCTGGCCTGCGATCTTGCAGGGGCCATGGTTCCAGAAAAGCTGGGCCTAGAAAGGCGGGGCACTTTGCGCATGTTTTGGAGCCTACTCCTACGACTACTACTACTACTACTACTGCTACTATTACTACTGCTACTACTGCTGCTGCTTCTTCTGCTTGTCCTGCTCTCGCTCTGCCTTATTCACTATAGTTCTTCTTGTTCTTCTCTTTTTTACAAACTTCTACTCATACTCGTAGTGCTTGTGTTATTCTTGTTCTTGTACAGCGATTGTCGTTCTCGTTCTGCTCAAATTCCAAAACCAAAATTAATCACTTGTCGTGCTGAAGATTCTCTTCCAAGTACAAGTTTCTCAAGACTTAAAGTCAACGCACCAGAAGGAGCGTGAGTGAGAAATCTACCATGATGAGGACGATAACGGTTATTTGCGAATACGCCTAGGTCACCGGGCAAGGAACAAACAGCTGCTTCTGGATAGATAATCCTCACCAACATTCCTAGTAGTAAATTGAAACTCAAACTATTCTTACTCCTGTTGAGTATCATTAGGTACTAGAGAAGAGAAGATGGGCGGACGTCTTCCCCGAAGAGGAGGAGGAGAAGGAGGAGGAGGAGGAGAAGGAGGAGGAGCAGGAGAAGGAGGAGGAGGAGGAGGAGGAGGAGGAGGATAATTCCGAAAAACCAGCAGAATCTTACCGGACCTATTTCTTTCACAATAACCCATATCGAATATGTGCGCATTCATCTTTATCATATTACAAAAGCATTTGCTCAGCCCCATATTCCATTTAGCCAGTACATTATCCGTTGTCATGCTGTCCTTTACCATCTATCACCTAGAACTAAACTAGTACACTCGACAGAAGAAATAAAATGTAATCATCATCATGAAGAAGATTTTTGAGTGGGTTTATGAATCCTCGCGAAATCGTGAAGCGCCGCCACTTGTTACGCTTCTCTTTCTTCACTAAATTACTTTAACTGGAACATACACAGAGCTGTTCTTGTGAGGAGCTAACCTAACATGTCGCAAAAAATTGTACTTCTATACATAGGAGGCAAAATCAAGTCAAGGCCAAGGGGGTCTACTTCTCACCACGTTGTCTCTTCAGTGAAGATCTTCAACCTCCAACACTACGCCTGCCGAAATCAATCTCAATGTACATTAAATTCAAACCATTTTCCTTTAATCCAAACATAGCATTATATTTATAAATATATATGTCATATTAGATATGCTAGCACCTACCTAAGTACCACCTGCTTCCAATAACGGAATAGAATCACGTAATAAATAGAAGATACATAAGAACAATGAGTTTGAGCATCAACTTCCTGAGCTCTGTGTTTGATTTTGCCAATCTAAGTCTAACATAATTAAAATTCTCATGTAACAAAAGGCGAAGCCAATGAGAGTGAGGCGATGCGGGCAACTACAGCCACGTCCTTCTTCTTGGTGCGGGAGATGAAGTAAGTTGCTCGCATCATAGCCCACGACCCTTGGCTGCCATCTTTCGTCTATCTAGTAGTCGGGGTGGCAGTAGACCGGGTGACGAAGATGCAAAATTGCAACACCAAGCCCAATATACAATACGAATCGGCGGACGAGGACGAGCAAAAACTGGTGAATGGCTGTGCAACGAAAATAGTGGTAAACAGTATGCTTTTGTTGGATACGTTCTAGCCATGCGAAGTAAATGTGTGATGTAAATATCGAAGCGGCCGTGAAATTCTTGGGAACTGCAATTCTGCTTCATCTACCTGCCGAAAATCAACTGCATTGATCCCCTTGTTCATCATCATATAGCTACTAGGACATCAGTAGAACTACCTAGATTAGAACTGATCCATGACCGTGAGCTAGCTAGTTTCTCCCCGTTCAGCCATGACGAGGGCACCTGCACTTTACGAGCCATTCCGCTGCTGGAAAAGTGATATCCTCACCAGCTGCGGGCGCCTGTGGTTGCGCTGCTTTTGTGCCCTCCCCCTGCTTGGCCATACTCGTCTTACTTCCATCATGCAGTTGCACGCACCAGAAGCTTCGATAAGTATAGTCATGGCCATGTCCCCACATGAACGCGATGTTGCCACGATATGACTTAATCCTATTCGATCGTCGCATACACGCTTCGATCATTCCCACGTTAGTATTACAAACCTACTTTGCAAGTACTTAGTCGTTTGCACTAGCAAAAAGTAAAAGAACCATCCAAAGAGTGGACAGATGAATCGAGCCTCGCTAGTGCTTCCTCGTCACTTCTTTTTACCTCATTCATCTTGTCCTAAATCTTACAACTTCTACGCGATCTCTGAATTTTACACGATAGATGACTTAGAAAGTCTGCAATAAATATCGTTCCAAAAAATTTCGGTGGCCAACAGCACTTGTACTACTTCCAGTAAACTCTTGCTCCTACGCTAACATATTCAAACGGGTTGGTGCTTCACTTGCGTTCTTTTCTTGACGAATCAGGACAACTACTGCTCGTTTCATGATCGATATTAATAAATATTTATGAAAAATCGATACTCAATTACATGATCGTCCGTAGCTCCTTGCAACTACACCACGCCATGTTCTTGAATAGATACGATTTAATAGGGAGACGCGGTGAGGGGCAACCAACGGGCGGCACAGTTGTAGAGGTTGTACCTGCAGCTGCACTTCTTCCCGTTCCCTTTTGTAATTCCGCCATTTGATGTCGTTGATATCGTTAACGGAAGTCGACTTATACGTAAAAACCCATTTCTCACATTCATGCATTCACTTACCTGTTCAGGAGGTAGCTTTTGACGCTCTAAGCAGCCAATATTTAAGTCACAAATCTCGCAAGTTTTGCCTTCGTTTTGATTTTTTGATTTTGAGTCTTGATTTTAGATTTTGAGTTTTGACCTTCGAGTTTTGATTTTGGACTTTGAGTTTTGATTTTGAATTTTAAACTTTGAATAAACTAAACAAACGCGGCGACAACACTGCAAAAGCGCGCAGCGTTTTGCCATGCAGCTCATGAATTGCGAAACAACGCTAGGCCATGAACTGAGAAAGTTAGGGCATGACTTTGAAAGTCATGGCATGAACTGAGAAGGTTAGGGCATGAGCTTTGAAGTTGACAGTTAGAGCGTGGACCTTGAAAGTCAGGGCATGAACTTCGAAAGTTCAGGCAGGAATTTTGAAAGTTTGCTAGGGCAAGAATTTTGAAAGTTACGCCATGAACTTTGAGCGTGAGAGCGTAAACTTTGGCGCCCCGCTCTCCTCCCCCCTCCCCTGGGCTCGCGCTGCCCGATAGCGCGAGGCGGCTGCCCAGTGCAGTCGCGTCACTTGCTTGCAGCGCCACGCCAGACGGGCAGCGCCCTACATCCTTGAACCCCCGCGGACCCGCGTGGCCTCTGAAAGCCTCAGACCCCGGCGGACGAATCAGCCTCGAAAGGCATGCGCCTGCCTATGCCTTCCGCCTGAAGATTAGAGAGGCCCGCAGGCGCCCCCGCCCCTTTCAGGCGTAACGCACCCGCACAGGATCGCGCCGCATTGTTATTCCAATCTAATGCAGTGCGTCACTTATCGAGCCTGCCCGGTGACATTTCTGAGGCTTCTTGTCAAATCTGGCGCCTGCTGAAGAGTGTCAGTGTCTGCGCTTTGTCTAGCAAGTGTCTCGGGCTCCCAGCGCATCCTTTCCCTGGGGAACCACGCCAGGAGGCTAGTTTTTGCGCATTTGGAAGCCCATGCCTTGCTTTAAACTTTCTTTTAGTAATTTCTTAGTGAAAGGAGAAACTCTGGCTCGCTCTCTCTGTGGTTCCTGTAGAAAAGAGTAGAAGACACTTTTAATTTTCAGGTTTATTTTGGCTTTGTCGTCGCACTCTTTTTATTTACTCCTTTTTTGCTTTATTTAGATTTTTTGACTCCCGTTTTGCATCTTTTCATGTGCTTTCTCAATCTACTACGTCGAGCAGAATCTACCAGCTGCAGCACTTGTGGCACCCGTAGCAATTCGGGGACTAAAATTTTGCGCAGACGTACTCCGGCACCCGGGCCAACTCTCCCAGTCAGCTTATTTTCCGTATACTGTTCCGGCCTGAAAAGCTTACGCATCGCCCCTAAATCGACATCAGCGCAGCTCCCTTTTGGTAGCACCTGGCAGCTCTTCGTGGGTTCTCCTTCTTGGTGGCATACTTCGCGCTGCTTCATGGATCCCCAGGAAGTGTCGCGCTTGCCGTCACATACTCTACAATGGTATGTTTCCAGGTACTTCTTGCGATGTTTCAGCTTAGGACCTGCCGGACTTAGTCTATGGAAATAGGCCCCAGAACCTCTGCGCTGTTGCTCCTTCTTGGAGACAAGTGCCAGTTGTTATTCATCCAGAGGTTTGGCACACTCGCACCTACACGTTGGACACTGACTCTTGCCCCGGAGCCAATGCTCTGCGCAGTTGTAATGGAAATAGTGCCGACATCTAAAGCGCAGCACGTCTGCTTCCTCTCCGTCCTCATCGAAATCGGTATAGCAGATTGCGCACAAATTGGAAACCGCGTCGTTGACACCTGAGGGATCAAGATGTCTGTATTTATAACATGACATCAACCCATCAAACAATGAATGGTGACAAAAACTCAGTCGGAAGACTTCAGTAGGTGCGACTAAATGTAAATCTTGATTTTGACAAAAAAGAAGCGTCTTACTTGCAGAGAAGCAGCTCCCTTCTTCGATCGTGATTTTCATCGCAGCGAGTTCTGCCTGTGACACACGTACCATTAGAGAGCGCAATTCCAGATCTATGGATTCGAATAGCCGTTTCAAGCGAGCATCTTCGGTCTGGATACGCTTGGCCTCTGCCCTGTGGCTAGGAGGTCTCGGAATGAAACTCGAGAACTTGCTCAGCATTACTTGGACGCAGTTCCTGGTCGTATTCGATAACTAAATATTTTTTGGCAGTGAGTGCAGTTAGTGTTTGTAGGAATTGCGGCGGGAAAATTATGTCTCATTAAAAGTGAACTACGGATTAACATGATCTCAATCTCAACATCAAATACGTAAAAACGGGTTCATGCCCTTGATTCGATTCCCTAAGAAGTTTGAAGATCCTCCTGTCAATACCTGCACTCAAACCATGCCTTGTGCGCGTCTAAGCGTGTCCGGCTGACTGGACCAGTTCCGTTGATCTTGCGAATCCACTGCCTTTTTTCTTCGAGTGTATAAAAGACTTTGTACTTCAACACCTCGCGAATGTCCCTAAAATCTGTCTGTAGCATCTTCGGAAAGAGAAATGACGTTTCGTACAATTGCGCCCAAGGCATCGCCTCAGACATTGCTGTTTGTGTTTTTCGGTGGAGCGCATGGCTGGAAAGGATGAGATTAAGGAAGAGAGAGATACTCGCTTCGCGGATATTTGTTGTTTCTAGGTAGGTCCGAAAATCAAAGTAGCTTTGTGTCTGCCGAAATTCATTCAACATTCTTCGATGACAACGAGAAGGTACCAAACATTCTTGGATTCTTGGTGTAAGGTGGATCAGCCTTAGTGAACCCTACTAAACATTCTTGGTGTAAATTTTACCAGCGATCGGACGAATAGTAGGTGGATATAATTTTTACCAATGGGAATAGTCGGTGGCTCAGCCTGTTCCTGACAGTAATTTGCCCAAATATCGACGATTTCCATCAGTAATTTGCGTCGTTCCAGCTCCAATGACGCTGGAGGCTGATTCCGGTAGCAGTCAAGATTCTTAGAAAATCAAAATAACAACAAAAAAGGACTATCCAATCCGGTGCTTTCCCGTCGAGGTGGAGGCGCGGTCTCCTATCTAATACTAAAAAATTATAACCCGAAAAAAGTGCTATAACTTGTAGAGACAAAATCTATAGAAGCAATGTTAAAAGCATCAAAAGCGTTAGATTCATTTTCAGCATGATAGGTCAGCACAGCATTGTCCTCCATAACATTATACCTCGTTCGCTTTTCGTTGCGTTCTTGATTTCGAATATCTTCTTCGGCCACGCACGGATCTAGGGTAAAAACACTACTTTCGCCAGCTTTTTGCGGGTGATAAAAGCCTTCCTCACTGCTGTCACGCAATTGCTGAACACTACCACGGATGCGACCAGTGGCATAGTCCAGCGTACCTAGTACGGCTCTTGAAATTTTTATGGAAAAGGTCGGATCATCAAGAAAAAGTAGCTAGAAGAAGTAGCACAGTTTTTGAAATTTCAATTTATGGAGAAAGAACATTTTGACTGAGAGGTGTGTGACTGACGAACTACTTCTATGTGCAAAGAAACCCAAATTCGTTTTACTTAGAGAAAACACAGCTGTGCAGGCAAAAAGAGCAGGTAATCTAAGATACCTCTGCATTCAGTTTCGAAGTCGTGCCAGAAAAGTTCTGCGCAGTTAGGATCCGAAGTGTCGTCTTCGACAACGACCCGCACGAACTGCGCGTCCGTATCATCGGAGTGTAGAGCGTAGAAGATGCCACCGATACTGTTATCACTCATTTCCTGCAGCACAAACGTAGGCGCTCGCGTCCAAGGACGGTCGCACATGTTGAAATAATAATCCACACCCGATGTACCTGATCGGGACGTCGTGGAAGGGACAACTGAATGACTCCCTTTTCTAATTCTAGACTATCCGCTTTGGCTTTGCATTAACAAAAAATAAACTGTAATATCTGTACAGGCAATTACCATATGACGGTGCAAGAAATGAAATACCTCTGGAGTCACCAGGTATGCAAATGTTTCCTTTCCATCGTCGTCCTGGTTGAAGCCACGAAGAGACGGAGTTTCGGTAGAGAGACCCCCCAGCCTTTTGCTGTTCGGAACGGGTTCCAGCGGATCCCTCATCGGACACCTCCGACGCGGTGCTTCTACCTGGGCGATCCATGTTGGTGTCATCTGTCTGATCCTGGTTTGTTTCATCACTGCCTGGAGCATGACCGGCAGGGGATACATCGGACTCGGGACCGTCCTCATCGTTGCCAGTACTTCTAGGCGGGAAACTTGGGAGGGCACTCGACACCTTGGTCGAAGAACACGTTGTGGCGCGATGGCTCGAGCTTTCCGGTCCGGGAGCTGTACTGCTGGAGACCGGTTGTTGCGAGTCGCCGCCTACGGTACGGCGACTCCCACACGAAGATCCCTCGTCTCGACTCCCCTGGTCGTCACGCAGCTGCGGAGGTCCGCCCTGGAGCTGCACTAGACTCGCCTCCCGCAAAGCTGGAAGCCTCTCGTTTTGCAAAGAATTGAGTCCTGAACCATCTTAGAACTCAAAGCAATCGAATCCATTCATCCCCATCATTTCTTCAGAATCCTATAAGAAGGAAACAGAAGAAAGAGACCCGTGGAAATGAATTGCATCGAGCCTTAACCATCGGGACAATCACTTTCGCCGCTGCTGGGGTAGGGCAAGAGCCCGTACAACTCTATGTTCATCAAGTCCGCCATCCTGCGCGCAATATCTCTAACTTCTTCCTCCTGCGCTTCGTCCCTCATAATATTCTCAAAATACTCCGGACCTAGGGGAATTGCGGTATGATGATGATGAAAATGGGTCAGTGGTAATTTGGATGATCATACTAGGTCGCGGTTTAGATATCAGATTCACAGACTGAAGAAAGTCCCCTTGTACATCAACTTCAATACAGCAAATAGGAATTGTTGCCAGGAGCTGCATTCAAGTTTGAACTTTTGATTGTATCTATACTGCTTATATCATGATAACTACAATTACAAATGGGTATGGGTACTGATTGATTACCTAGAAGTTAACCTCTTTCTGTTACTTACATGTAGACTCAATAAAGGCTGCTCGTTGGTGTATACCCTGAGGCCGCTTCATCGCTTGCAGCACCTTGGAGGTTGTTGTGGAGGTCCCTTCAGCCTCGACTAGGCGAAGAGCTGCACCGCTTGGAATGCCTTTGACTTGCGGTGCGTTGGTCGGGTTTCGAGGTTCTCTTGGGGGTGGGGCGTACTCGCGGAGGTGCGGTGGCCGGTTACTGCCGGCCATCACTTCGCTGGCATTGGTCGCCGTGGGTTCTGAAACCTGTCCGGGGCCCCGGCCGCGAACAGACACCGACGAAGCGACGGAGGGACCCGACGCAGTTGTAGTGACCGTGCCGCTGCTCGAGGACGTGAGTTGGCTCTGGCCGTGCTTGCTGCGATAACGGGCTCGGGAATCCACGTCGCTGGGATGTTGGGATGGGCTCGTGTTGGGGAAAAAGGAGGTCGCTGAAGAGGTGGGGCTCGTAGGAAGTACTTTTTGCGTACGCTGTTGCTCAACTGCTGTGTTTGATGTCGCGCTACTTTGCTTGATGATCAAAGGCGCCGCCTGATGATCCTTGATGGCGCTATCCTCTGAACCTTGTTTCCCCCTTCGGGCGGAGATGGAGTCCCCACCACCCGGAGTCTGAGGTAGCGCAATTCTCCCGGGTATGACACGCACTGATCCCACAGGGGTTACCCCTCTACCGCTAGCAGACTCGTGATCCACTACAGCATTCAGTAGAGCGTTGTAGGACCCGACAGCTCCTGTTGACGTATTTCTTACGCCATTATTCGACACGTTCAAGTTGTCGCCCTTGTTGTCTCGTTGTATTAACTTTTGCTCATCAACGCCCTGCAGCTGGCCTCCTAACACCGTTGGAGGCGGGTTACTCTTGCTGTTGTTGCGATTGGCGACGCCTCCACCGTTTAGTAACGAATCGGTCTCGATACTTCCTGTCTGGGATCGGGAAACGGCAGAAGAACGAATACCACTCGGACTTTTAGAAATATTATCATAATCGTTGTCCGACCTCCTCGATGGAACGATTTCGTCCACAACGCCGGGAAGCATGGTCTCCACGACAGTGCCATAGTCCGCTTCGCTGCCAAAAAATGGCAGCAGGAACATTTCCCCCTTTGCGCGTTGCTGCTGTATTTGAGAATTTACACCATGACCGTTAGAACTAGGAAAAGACGAGCCTCCTGGCAGAAGAGAGGTTCCGTCAGGAGATGAACCCACAGGTAACGGTAGCCGTGGACCGGATGAAGCAGCAGACGACGCCGTCTCAACCAATGTATTGTGATCTACAGGGTGGGCTGCGCTAGCGTCGGGAGTACAGTAACTGCTATTGTTCAGCTGTTGAACCGGACCTCCTGCCCCTGCACCCCCACTGAGAGCCTTGTTCGCATTCACTCCACTAAGATAGTAGGCAGCACTTGTTCGTTCGATTTTGCCCTCGCTTGCCGTAGTAGCATCAAGACAAGAGCGTGAGCTCGAATGACTGCCGGCGCCGTCATTCACAACGCGGCTGTAAGGTTCGAAGCCCTTGCTCGTCGCCGCTTGGTTGTACGTAGCAGCTTGCATATCGAAGTGTTCGTTTGCGGTGGGTGATTTTCGTAGCATCTGCTGGTTGTTCCCTATAAAGTCACTTCCTACGGGGCCAAGGGATGAGCTAGCCGTGATCCTCTCGGGACTCGACATCTTCACTACGGGAAAGGCGTTGGAGGGGCTATCTCGTACTCCTACCCCGTTGAGGGATGCAAGACACAGCGGCCCGTTCATGTTCGTGTTCACGCTCATGTTGGCATTCTGGTGCGGAGGCACGAAAGACGTGCTGTTCGTTCCAATGATGCCGCCCGAAGTACTGCCCCCTTCCCCACTATCACAGGACGCATTCCGCGACAGTGTTAAGTCGCCGTCGCACACAGTCGGGGATGAAACCTGTCGTGACAAAACGCTATAATTCGACGTGTGTCGTCGAAGCTCAACCGCACCTGTCCTGCTATTTACGACATACCACGACGCCTCGTATCCAGAGTCGCTATTTCTCAGCGTCACGCTTTGAGCTGCAAACAATGTTGTTGATGGTAGTTATTTGTTGATGACATAAAAATGAGAAAGACAAGGACCTTAGGCTTAGATAGAAGATGACCCGCGATCTTCATGAAGATACTGCAGTAGACAAAAATGAGAGTAGTCCACATAAAAATTGTAGTGACATCATCAACAACACTTGTTCAACATTGTGAAGGATATTACCACTCTCTTGGGAGGCGTGTCTACTAATAGCCTCATTTGCTCCACCGGCGGAGTATACACTGGAGGGCGCGTTGTAAGTTCGCGTGCCGGACGAAGCTCGAGAAAGTAGGCGAGGGATCATCACAGTTTTTCCTGCTTCCTCCAAAAACATATCGTCATGACCCAGAGTGTCCATATCCGCTGGAAGTGGTCTGCGTGGTGCAGATAATGCAGGAAGATATTTTTTTGATGAAGATGTCGAAAAGGAAATCCACCACACAGACACGTTAGGTTAGGTTGTGAATCTTGCACATGAAATGAATGTGAATCCTGCACACAGATATGTTCTATATGAATCTACATTCATATGTATTCAATGGCATCAAGAGCTCAAAGTTTTTCAAATACACATTAACATTGTCAAAAAAAAGAAAATTACTAGGAATTTTACTTCTTTCAGAAATTTTACTTTTTTCAGAATCTTTCTACTCAAACAACATCAATATGAAGTACTTATTGACACGCGGTGCTGTAGCCGCCATTAAGCTTCCACCAGCGGGCACAGAAAAGACAGAGTCATCGTCATCATCTACTTTCGCAGCGCTGCGGCCCCGTCCACCTCGCCGCAGCGTTCCCAACGTTGATCCGGAGAGTGCGCCAGCTGGGCCAGACGACTGACCGCCTGGACTGCTGGAAGTACGCGATAGCAGCCTCGGCGCGCTGACCTGATTCGTCATGCACCGACTCTGCGATGACACCAGTAGGGAGTCCTCGACGCCTGGCGTCACGTTTAGCACAGTATTTGATGCCTCATAACTCGCATCACTGCTGTGCAGCATGCTCGTCGTCGAGATGTGCCTACCAGTGCTGCCGCGGGCCTGCCCTAGCTGTGGAGGGCAAGCCGTAGAGGAGGAAATCATGGTGCTCACACTCTCACCGCAGCCTGCAAAGGGGATATCCCCTTGCGGGACGACTCCCTTGCCTCCTTCACCGATCAACCCCTTGTTGGTTCCATCTGCTTCATCTTCGACTTGACCACGAACAGTTCCATTCATTCGCGCCTGCTCGTCACCGGCTGCAGCGACGAAACGTACTCGCGAGGCATCGAGCAGTGCTGTATCAATATGGAAGTGAGGAACATCCTCCACGACAAAAGCTTTTTAACTAGCTACCAAGTCTTCACACTTCTAGACTGTAATCTTCATGGTGTTATACTATCAATAATGAATGCACTATATCAAGTGCCTGTCTTAAATCTTAAACAGACACTTGTCCATGATCATGTTCCACTTAAATATATAGAAAAAGTTGTGACCCCATATGTAATATGATGATCAATTGATAATCATGTTCCACTCAAATCTCAAAGTATCTATAGTAAATTGCTAAGTACCTGAAGCAGGGAGCTCTCGCTGGCTGCCCATAAACGCGTGGATATTTTCTTCACTGAGCTTCTGTGGCTCGAACTTTCCTCCAGTGTTTCCTGGCTGCAAACTACCACCTGGTAATGTCGGAGGCATCGGCACAACTACTCCGTTTAGGGTTGCCGAAGAAGTGGGTACTAGTTGCAGCCCCGTGATCGACGCAGGGGACGGACGCTGAAGCCCCGTGGTTTTCACCACTGCCGCCGCTTGGTGGGCCTGTCTTTGCAGCAGCGCCGCTTGCTTCGCCATCGCCGCTGCGTTGGCCACCGCCTCCAGCTCTTCCGGTGCGTCGAGGGAGGTGGTGGCCAGCTCCACTGCAGACCTTTCGGCACTTTCTAGGGCTCGCGAGGCCTCCTGCATCACGTTCTGCAGACTCATGATGGCCTCCCGCAGTGCATGTCGCGCACTGTGAACGTGGCTTGCGTGAGACCACCCGTCAATGCTAGTACTACTTCCACCTGCTTGAGACGAGGTGACGGACGCGGCTGGCGCTCGTGAACCTGATCCTGACAGCGGCGCTCCTCCAGCTCCGCGGTCTGCGGAACTGTTCGCGGTCTGCGTTGTCTGCGTGGGTGTCGCGGGGTTCGCAGCACCCCCGGGTTCGGAGTTGATGACACTGTGCATGTTCCCGGACGAGGACGTGGCTGGGGAGGAGTTGAGGAGGTAGTGAGGCTCGGTATTGAGCAATTTGTTCACCCCTCCCATGCTGCCGTCGGGAATAGTCATGTGCGCCGAGTCCAGGGACGTCGACCGCATGCCCACGAGACCGCCAGCAGGCGAGAGCTGGACCAGAGGGCTGCCTTCCCTTGTGCCCTCGTCCACTGTCTGCGGGTGCCCCTCATGCAATACATTTGCCCAGCCAGCGGCCGAACCGGAATCGCAGGAACCTTTGGTAAGTGCCATCGTAGAAGCGTTCGCAATGTCATCGTCACTGCGTTGCCGCCGAACCTGTTTCATGGTACTGCCATCGTCGACATGATTCTGCCCAAGCGAGGTCCATGAAGATCCTGCTCCCCCCGCGCCGTCATTTTGTCCTTGTTGAGTCGAGGTTCCTCCTGCTCCCATTGTTCCGCTATTCATACTCTGGGAGGTAGCTCCACCATTATTCTGCTGACGACCGTTGTTCTGGTCTTTCTGTTCCGGTTCGGCTCCATCCGCAGCACCTGTGCTGCCGGACCCTGCATCAGACAGATTTTCATTTTCACCTTCGTAAATAGTTGGGTGCGCCGCTTTGTAGCTTGCTGCGCTCTGTGAACTCGTCTGCCGTGGCGGGAGCCCTAGCGTTGCTGCAGGAGGCAACATGGCCGGGCTCTGCGCAACCACATAAGGAGTTGTACGACTTTCTTGATTCATCTTGTAAGAGGTTGGCGTCGTTGGACTACTACTGCTTTTTGCGCCGATTGTAGGACTACCCATATTTTGAAGAGGACTACTTCGGCCGTCCTTGATATTAGTAGTCCTGGTAGTAGTGATGTGGACATCATTGTTTCTATTCTTGTCCTCGGTGCTTCCTGCTTCCACTTCTGGTACAGGAGGTGGTGCAGCAGGTGCTCCTTCGGCACCAGAAGACGCAAGAGGTTGTTGGTGTCCTGACATCTTCACCTGCTGTTTTAGACCATCGAGACAATGGACATAAGGTACATGTTGGTCCTCTAAAACGTCGTTTAGGTCTTTATCATCGGCGCCCTGCGTCGTTGTTGTAGTACTGTGACCAGAAGACACGACTGGTGTGTTCGTGGGAGGAGACGCACTTTTCTTGTCGAACGCGTGCGCATCTGGGCTGTCGTTGTCGTTGGAGAATAGCAAGTGCGAGATGGCTTTCTTCTCGCCGTCTCTCAAGGGTGTCCCCTTCCGCCGTTCTTCCTCCTCTCCTACAGGAACGTAAGAGGGCGCCTGCGATTCCTCCATCTCACACGGGAGACATTACTGCTCTGTACATCTGCAAAATGTTGCCAGTTGTTGCACTTTTGCGTCGTAATATTGAAAACCTCCGCTAGTTGTTGCTGTTCTATCCGCTCGTGCAGGTTATACAATTGTCCTTCCTTGGTGCTCTTCCGATGAAAATGATAAAAGCTGCGTTGATGTATACAAATGATACAAGTTCCCTTCCTCCACTCAGACTCCTTCTGGGTTGTGAAAGAACTGATGTACTTCTACACCAAGTACCGTCTACTTCTAGCGTTTGCGCTTGCCTTCTTCTGCGAAGCCGTACTCTGGGTTCGCTTTCGAAGAGATCGTTGCTGACACACGTGCCCGCAACTTCGGCAAGCAGCTACTTGGCGGACACTGCACTAGTACGAACTCATATATTCGAGGTTACGGAATTACATTCCTCAGAACGTTCCTAGCTTCTTTTCTACTAGGAAAAGCGCCAAGGATGGTAGTGCGGGATGTAATTCGATAACCCCTAAATATCCATACTAATTCGAGCTTGTTCTCCTTCCCACGGTTGAGGTTGTCCCACAACAAACTGACAGGATTCTTGTTGCACTAGTTTTTGTTGTTGTCCTCGTTCTTCTTGTCCTCGTGCTTGGACTTGTACTATTCTTGCTGTTGTAGTCTAGATAGCACTACGGTACAAGCTTCAAGATTTAGGGTCCGCAGCTCTGCGGCCAGGCTTCTAGATAGCACTACTCGAAGTTATCTTGATACAACAATTTAGGTTAGGTTAGGTGCGACACTACCAGAAAAAACTGCTTCTTCACGTTGCTAAACTGCGTTATGCGTAGAGGACGCATAGCCTCTATTCAACAACAAATACGTGTGTTTCATCTATTAGTAACTAGTTCAGACTTGACTACAAACGTCAAAACTAAGCACGGACCCCGGACACTAGGCTGCAAAAGAAGCCACAAATGTCTATTCCTTGCTTTAGACGTGTAGCCTTGCCGTGAACGCAAATGTACTAAACAAGCAAGCACCTCCACCCGACTATCACTAGCAGTCTGTCGACCGTTATAATCGACGATGTTGATGAAGATAGTTGTCGTAAAAACAAGATAGCCAACAACTTCTTCCGACACCCTATATTGGTGTTGATTCACATTGACCCCACCTACGACTTAGTACTCTAGAAGAAGGATCCACTTCCATCTTGCTGTTGCTTCGTCTGCTTCTTCTAATGAGCTTTCCTACTTGTTATAAAAATTATTGTTCGACCATCAAAAAATCTAAAAGGTTGAATTCCATCGAAAATCTTTGGGAGCTCGATAAAGAACATTAACAAGAAAGATAGGAAGATGTCAGATCATAACAATGATTTTTCTTACAACGATTTTTGCCGAGCTATTCAAGCTATGTATGGTCTCGAGTGTTAGATCCGCTGGATGAAGAAAGTCAGACGTGACACACACAAAATGTTTCTAAAAATATATTTTGATGCAAGTGCGTGCTAAAAACATTTCTTCTCTTACTACATGGAAGAACCCTACTAGAGATGACTTTCGCTGCTTTTCTAGAGCTACGACATTCACCTACTAGCCGGCGCTTTTCGACGACCAAAGGCAACTACAAGCAAGAAAATAGACGAGTTTGATCAATCTATAAACACAGAAACGCTACTTACTCGGTTTGAGTCTCATATCTATTAAACCTACCACGACCTTGACTTCTTGTTACTGTCATTTGAAGGTGGTCTTGATATAATCAAAAATTTGTACTGTTAAGTTGTTCTTGCCAATGTTGAAAATCTGAAATGGTAACAAAATCCTGCTTTTTACGAGGACACACACATACACACAAGAAGCGAAGATTTGTTTCTCATAAAATTTCAGTCTTCAGCTTAAAAATTGTTCTTTCACAAACTTCATATGATTGCTCAAGACTTTATTTCTTGTACCTTCTCGACAAACAGAAGTTTCACTTACAAGATCATAGCTGAGGAGAAGCACCCAGTAGAGACGACCACTCACGATAATGGAGTTCAGGAATCAAGGATTCTGAAAATGTATGCGCGATACGACTTTAAGAATCACCCACCCTTGTTCTATCAAAAGTCTTCTCTAATAGGCCTGTCAACAACAGCATGAAGAACCATCTATTACTAGAGAGAGAAGAAGTGCAAGAATCTCTATACCACGTAGTAGTCAATGAAGTAGTACTTACTTTCTCTATTAACGCATCTATCTATGACTTCTGTAGTTTTCATCTTCCTTTTGCCCTCTGGCTTCAGTAAGACTGAGATTTTTCTCTTGCTATCATGAGTACTTAGGTACAACTATAGTTGTCTCTTCAACGATTGATATCAAATAGACACGTCTGCCTCCTTCTGCAGTGTGAAAATCTCAGTTGTTCTTTTTGCGCTTTGTAGTTCGGACACCTGGCTGTACTTGTGGAAGTTCTTTCTTGTTGCATCTTAGAAGTAGAAGTTTCTTATCGTCCTCCGAGGCTCGCAATGTGATAGTGTGTCGTGGTTGTTCAACTTTGATGATGATGCGGCCAGCTGGATCACGTCTCGCCGGCGCATGTTCACGGAGTCTTTCTTTTCAACACTTCAATATTGCGAGCTCGTTCGGGATGAGGCCTGAGAACAAGGTCTACGTCGAAGAAGAATCGTTCTGCTTGTGAGAAGGAAGTTGCTGCAGCACTTTTTGTAACTAGCTTCTTGAAGATGTACTTAGTTGCACCTGTTTGCCTCGTCGTGGAGTCGTCGTGTTAGCACGTGTAAGAACTCATATTTGTGATGTCGTGAAGATGCGTCTCCTTTCACTTGCAACGAAAAAGTTGTGAAGATGTGTGATGTGTCTTGATGTTCAGAAGATAAAGTTTTTAGACGAAGATGAAGCGTTCTTTGGCCGTCCAACACGTTTTTCAGCACTAGTTCGCTCCTTATGTATCGTCCAAAACAACTCTGCTTCTTCACATCTATACTCCACGGCACATCGACTACGTTTTTCAAGCGAAGCGGACCTTCGACGACCGAGAGTCGACTTTTCTCGCCTTCAGGAGTCGGTCTTCGGTTATAAGTACAACTATTGTTCTCCTGCCGAAACCTAGTGACAAAAATATCAATGGTAGTGGCAAAGCACCTGGTGTCTTCTCGTTCAATTTTTCGCTATCCAAGTCGTCGTAGAGGAGCTGTAGTCGAGAAGCAAAATAACCGGAACAGCTGCGATGAGGGGAGGACGAATGGAAGGCCTCTATCGTGGGCAGCATTCGAATGACCATGCTACTGGTGGAAACAGTCGTTGCTCTCGCTTGTTTCCTCGTCTCCTATAATCGCGAGGAGTTCCTATAATCGTGGTTCTGCTCTGTGATCGAGAAATGCTTCCCCCGCTGCTCTACTTCACGTGCTGCGGGTGTTTCTGAGGACATTCGTGAACCAGGTGTTTATGTTTTCAACGAACCTGGCTAGAGATTCTTTCTTCATATACAACTACTACCTAGGCATATGCTATTCTCAAACGAAGTAAAAACGAGCAGAGACTTCTTCTCATAAAGAGTTAGTCGGCCCTAATCCTTTTTATCACAAGCCCATCACAACTTTTCTACTGTACTAGCCCGGATGTCACATTTAAAAGCTGAGATTGAGATCCACTCTCACACTCCTACGCCATCCATGCGTGCGTGCCTATTATTTGACGAAGGGAATGATCGATGATAAAAGTTGTACTACCCTCCCAACGAACTGCACCCAGTTCATCTATGGATAGGATAGGAGTTGACTCGCCGTCCGCAGTTTGACCTGTATCCTCGGGCGAAGGTGCGTAGCCTCAGAGTAAATGCTCACGATTACCGACCATCAAAATGAATACCAATCGACAAATACGAACAGCATGATAAAATTTGAAATTCTTGATTATAATAGGAACGCGACATCAATTATTGATCTAGTATGAAATAAATATGGAAAAAGTTAGAAAGTCAGAAGTTGCAGGAGCGATGGTCCAAGTGTGAATAACTTAGTCGAGATAAATAACAAGAGAAGATTATACTACCCACGAATGAACAAGTCTCGTCCATTTGTTGATGGTAGTGTGGTGCGTCATCATAGTCATACGTCTTTGGTAGTCATGCTCAAACACCGGCAAGGCAAGATAGTAACGGACAGTGTGTCACAAAGACGGCCGCGAGACTATTTACCCTACGTGAGGGGACAGAAGACAGACCTAGACGGGTGTAGTGCACTCCTACTCCCGACAAAGCCTCACGCTGGATCCCTTACTTATTGTGAACTTGACATACTTTCACTTTCCAAAGAAACTCATACTTACTAGATCATGTTCTTTCAGTTATAGAAGTACGACAAAAAGTGGAATTCTCGATTGCTTGGATCGATTCGCAATGGTAGCAGAGAAAAATATGTTGGCACGAAGATGAAACGAAAAAATAGTTCAGAAGAACACAAAAAAATCAAACCGGATTAGGCAGCCCGAGTGACGTAATGCTTTAGAAGTGTTCTAATATTCTAGTACTAGTTTCACTTTGATCTGTTCCTAAGGGGAATGACTTAGCCAATCAAGCAAGTGGCCGACGTGCAAGCCCTTATGAACGTACCGCAGCGAACCGCGGTGGTGCCGCGCTTCCTGCAAAAAAATGATCAACCTTTCTTAATTTTTCAGAAATTCTTGTCCCAAAGACGCCTTGTCCAGAGAGCTTCTGCATTTGCTATTTCATCTCATCATCGATCATCTAGAAACTTTAGAAGCAAGTGGTTAGGTTAGGCGTGGGCCTACCAGGAAAACTGGCAGACATGAATGGCTGCTGATTGTTGTTGATATCCTAAATCATAATTTGATTTTTGTAGCCGTATGTAGTGTGCTGTCTGCTGTATTAAAAACTGTAACTTTTCTGACTAGGAAGACTGCGGCTGTATACTTTGTCTTAAGCTGTTTTGAGAGCGAGTAGAGTCGTTCTTTCGATAGGTTATAGTCACGACAAACGAGTGCCGTTGACTGTAATAAACTAAAGAAAGAACAAGACTCAACCAAGTACAGCGCGGTGTTTTCGAGGTTGTAGACTTAGTGAAGACTATGACTAATCATGAATTACAAGTATCAATCTCTTACAGTATAAAGTTTTTCCCTCGTTTTGATTTTGATTTCATATTTTGAATTTTGATTTTGAATTTTGTTTTTGAATTTTGATTTTGAATTTTGATTTTGAATTTTGATTTTGAATTTTGAATTTTGATTTTGAATTTTGATTTTGAATTTTGA